GCCTTGGTAATAGGAAAATTGGACGACTGGGACCTTGTCAACTGACCATAGCATTGTCTTCCAGTCCTTGAGGACAGTGATGGTGGGCTACTGACCATGTTAAGGTCACCCCTACGATCTTTTTCTGTCAACAAGGAAAGCCCAACGGATGTTTAGTGTTTGGTGGCAGGTTAAGAATGATTGAGCTTCTAAAACTGGAAACAATGAGAAACACAGAGGAAACATTCATTGGAGAGAATGAGCACTTAGGCCGATAATCTGTTTCTTTAACCTTTGACATTTGTGTTGTAAATGTCTGTGAAAAGTGAGATATGTAAAGACAATGTTCAGGCAGAATAGTACTTCAGGGATGAGGGTTTAGAAGTCAACAGATTTTTGGGTTGTGTTTTAAATTAAAACTTCAGTGTACGAAACTTTGAAAAAGGAAATGATTAAAAGAAAAGTTCTTGAAAGAGGTGAGGTGAAATTGGGTTTAACGTCGTGCTTGAGAATATTTCGCTCATATGACGACGTGCATGCGTGTGTATGTGTATGTGCGGCTGCTTGTACTAGCCAAGACTTAAGCTGGTTTTATAGTGCTAGCCCACTGTGATACCATGCCGCAGTGAAGCATGAATACCCCACTCAGACACATTATACTGACTCCGAGGCGACCACTCCTTGTTGTACCCATTAATGCCGAGCGCCAGGCAGGGACCATCAAGTACCATATTTTAACGTCTTTTGGTATGACGCGGTCGGGGATCGAACCCGCGACCTTCCACTCTCCGGGCGGACGCTCTAACCACTACACCACGGAGGCGGTAGTTCTTGAAATAGGTATTGAATGAAGCATAACTTCCTATGGATGATAGATACAATATGAACAAGTCTTGCTGTGTGGACCGAAACAGGAGGTAAAATAATGGAATGGGGATAGAATGATAAGTAATAACAATACTGATGATGGAGAATGTGGTAGTGGTGGTGATGATGGTGGCAATGAGTGAGTATGGTTTTATGCCGCTTTTAGCAATATTCCAGCAAAATCACGTCGGGAACACCAGAAATGGGCTTCACACATTGTACCCATGTGGGGAATCAAACCTGGGTCTTGGTAATGAAGAAGAAGATGATGAACTAAACACTTTAAAGTTAGGCTACCACACCACCCGATGGTGGTAATGAAGAAAATGATGATGATAATGATAATATGATAAAGTTGCTGCAGCTGATAATAGCATGTTATAGGAGTGATGGTGATGATGATGGTGATGATTATGGAGATGATAATGTGATGATGATGAGATGATGTGATGATGGTGATGATGATGATGATGGAGATGATGATGATGGTGATGATAATGTGATGATGGTGATGATGATGATGATGATGATGATGATGATGATGTGATGATGGTGATGATGATGATGTGATGATGATGTGATGATGATGGTGATGATGATGATGTGATGGAGATGATGATGATGATGATGATGATGATGATGTGATGATGATGATGATGATGATGGATGATGATGATGATGATGATGTGATGATGATGGAGATGATGTAATGATGGTGATGATAATGTGATGATGGTGGTGATGATGATGTGATGATGATGATAATTGTTGATGATGTGATGATGATGATGATTGATGATGGATGATAAAAATTATGATGGACTATTATTCATGACAGATGATAAAGATGTTATGATGATGGAAATTGATATCATGATAAAGGTGCTCCTGCTGGTGCTTATAATTACATCATGATGATGATGATGATGATGATATAAGTATGGGAGTACTCCACCATGTGCTATGATCCATTTGCTCTGGACATAAGGTGACTCATTCATCTGTTCAGGTTGGCAAGTCGACATTTTTTCACTATTACAATTGACACAGCTTTTACCAGTGTTGTCACTTTCATCCACTGTCCTTCATTTAACAACAAAAGGCCTTATCTTCAGCCAGTGTTTTTAACAATGTACGATACAGGAAAGATACATCTTTGTAAGTGACGCAGACACGAAACTCACCCCAGGATGCAATTAACACCCATTTCAGGAAAGATATTAAACCAAGGTTTGTTTTACGTGTCCGTCAGGATGTAATGGAATAGATTCCATCTCTTTAGTAGAAAGTAATGCTTTGGATGTTTCGTCTCGATGGAGACGGGAATATTTAACGCCCATGTTGCCATACAACACACGGCTTGCAAGAAATGTCCCTGCCGGTGAGGAGGGTTTATTAGGGAGCAGATTTCCAGAGCAGTGGTCTGATGGTTTAATGACAGGCTAAGTTGGTACAGAGCAGTAGCTGTTTCAGTATGGAGTCGTATATTTCATAGTTGTACATTTCACCTGCTTTGTGTCAACTGAACTTGGATGTGATTCTGTTCTGAAAGTTCTTTGTTTCTCAGCTGGTTTATTTCAAGTTTACTTTTGATTGGTGTATGGACCTTTTAAAATAATTGCGAAACATGCATCCGACCCCGTTGATCCTTGGATGCTCCACAGCCAAGGTCATCATGTGACGTTAATATCCAATTGGTTAACTGGTAACTTTTCCAATTCATTTTCGAATATTCCTGAAGAATTTTTTATTCCAGGCTTTTACTGTTGAGCATTTTGGGGCTATGTAGGACTGGACATGTTCATCTTATTCCAGAACACCTGCCGGGTGATAGTCGTAAAGTTACTGTTGCAGCACTGAGACTCACTCACTCACTCACTCACTCACTCACTGATAATGAAATCCCTTTGGTGTCACTTCATATTTCAAGCTGTATCTGTCACTCACTCACTCACTGATAATGAAATCCCTTTGGTGTCACTTCATATTTCAAGCTGTATCTGTCACTCACTCACTCACTCACTGATAATGAAATCCCTTTGGTGTCACTTCATATTTCAAGCTGTATCTGTCCTCACTCACTGATAATGAAATCCCTTTTGGTGTCACTTCATATTTCAAGCTGTATCTGTCACTCACTCACTCTCACTCACTCACTGATAATGAAATCCCTTTGGTGTCACTTCATATTTCAAGCTGTATCTGTCACTCACTCAGTCAACATCCCTTTGATGTCAGTGATGACAACATCCCTGTCAACTTGTATGGTATGTTATATATTATCTGCTAAATGCGAGGATTGAACCAAGGGGACATTTCCTTTGAAGGCCTGGCCATGTCAGTAAAAATCCAATCTCATTAAAATAGCTCCTGTTGGCGTGTATAACCTTTCTAGATGCATGTATGGTGATCAAGGGAGATTGTAAAAGAAATAGATATTGTAATTAATGATCTAAATATATGTTATAGACTGTGTAGTTGGTGCCATGTTTTTCTGTGGAATCGGCCAATACCAACATATTCTAGACAAGAGTCTAACATGGGATGTGTCAAATTCAGTTGTTAAAATACACCTGTATATTCTTGTGTGTTTATGAGGATAGTTTCTGTGATGCCATCTCATCAAAAGGCTGGATCTATCAAGATCTTGGTGCCCGTGAAGATTTGGGTTAGAATTGATGTTCAGTAACCCATGCCTGTCGTAAGAGGTGACTAACAGGATAGGGTGGTCAGGCTTGCTGACTTGGTTGACGCATGTCATTGTATCCGAGTTGCGTAGATTGATACTCATGCTGTTGATCACTGGATTGTCTGGTCCAGATTCGATTATTTATAGACCCCACCATATAGAATATTGCTGAGCGCAGATTTAAACAAGAAACCAAACCAAAAACTTCAAGATCTGGGATAAAATTGTATTCAGCAGTATGACTTTGTGAGAAGTTATGAAAGGGATCACATTTTCAGGATCAGTGGTAGATGCTTATCGTCATATCCCAGTTTTGTAGACTGATACTGAGGATGTTGGTCACTGGATTGTACGGTCCAGATTCAAGTATTTAGATACTGCTGCCTCAGCCCTCCAAGAATAAGTAAGATCTGAATGCTTCATAATATGCCATCCAGGAGATATTTAGTGGCAGTTTAAGACTGTGAATTCTGAACTCCTGGGGAGAGTCGGATTGGCTGCTTTATCTTGATTTATCATTATAACCTTTGCTTCATCACAAATTCCTTCACCTGGGAATCAACTGAGACAAACTATTTGAAGTATATTTTTTCAAGATAAATCAGTGAGTGCCCCAATGGCGCCAGTCTATGTAGATCTCTGAGGGGATTTGTAATGATTTGTTGAAAATGGGTTTCATGATTCCATGGTGCTGGACCGTTCCATGTGTAATCCCAATGTGATGAGCGTTAAGGGATTGATCATCCGTGCAAGATTCGGATTTACACACTCACTTATTATTTATCACTCGGGACAATCTGACACCAGTTACGACAAGATTGTATTCTGACTTCCATAGTACAGAGTCTTGTTATATATGTCGCTGGAACCATCAGAAATACTGTATTCCCTCAGTTAAAAGTCTAGGTCCATATTGAGTATATTTACCTATTAATATTTAGCAAATGGCTTGGATTACTGTTTGGTTATCCCAGGTAATAATGTGCTGCGCTTTGATTGTTAGCGCTATGAGCATTCACCGATTTTTGTTATTAATATGTTTTAAAGATTATTATTATTATTACCTTTGTTTTTGCTTTTGTTGTACCTGCCAAGGACATTTTTTTATACAGAACCTTATTCCTTATCCCAAAATACAGAAGGAATAGGTTATGTTTGAATTTTGTTAAAAATATGTAAGATCGTTTGAGAATAACTTTTTCTTCTGAAGTCTGAGGTAAAAATTAACCAGTGGTCACTCTGGTGATTCCACCACAATTGGTTAAGGCAGGTTGATTGTGTGGTCATAGGTCTATGATGCAATTTAGTGTATGTAGAGTTGTGTCCCTTGACCATACCAGGATACACTTATGCTGAGTTTGAATTCCAGAATCCAGCTGAATTTGATCCATGTCCTTATTGTCATGGAATTTTGTTATCATTTAACATGACAAGTAAATAGAGTTGTCTCCTCTTGTTTTTGCAGGTCAACGAGGAATGCAGTACTCTACGTCTTACACTCGCGGAAGTCCAGCAGGAGCGGGAGGTAGCCAAGGAGGACGTCTCCACTTTGCAGTACAAAGTCGATAGCTTGGAGATACTAGTCAGGGTAGGTGCCATCTCATCCTGTTTGTTTGTTTGTTGTTTAACGCTGCACTCAGCAATATTCGAGTCTTGACCAGACAATCCAGTGACTTACAGCATGAGCATCAATCTATGCACTTTGGATATGATGATATGTTTCAATTAAGTCAGCGAGTCTGACCACCTGATCCCGTTTGCCGCCTCTTATGACAAGCATGGTTTGCTGAAGACCAGTTCTAACCTAGATCTTCAGGGGTTTCCAATGGGAGGGAGTAACTGATAGAACATAAAACAGTTTACACAGATATATATCTGTAGATGGAACCTTAAATTGGTTGGAGAACCTTTATCTTGTTTATCATATCACAAAGCAGTTTATAAATTTTAAAATTTTAAAAACACATTTATTGACTGGGATCCGATGACATTTTGACAGCATTAAAACAAACAAACCTCCATGTTATCATGGACACCATGATAAAACCTAACTCACTCACTCATTCACTGAAACTACGTATGATGTTTACCATAGAGTCTCCTGTTTCAAGGTCCATGGAGTATTTTTAGAATGATATTAAATCTGCTTATTGAGTTCTGTAAAATTTCTAAAACGTAGGTGTCTAAAATGGAGCCTTGTCATAAACCCTTGTTATAACCTCTGTGTATATGTGGTTTGAGGAAGCACCTGTGCATTAATTTGTGTGTGTTAAAAAATAGATTTGGTTGTTCAGAATAACAGTAACATCTGAACAAGTTTTGAACAAGTTTTGAACAAGCCTTGAAAATCTGCCCACTGGCATGAATGGGAAGTATCTTTTGTACATTTTTATTTAGGAAAACAATTGATCAATATTCATTTGCTCTAAACCATTTCATAAGTGATAGTGCCACCTTTAAGACTGTTTTCCCAAAAGAAACTGTTGCTGTGAGCCATAGATTAAATGCTACCTTGACATTTTATGCCATTTAATTGCCACTTTCGGCATGCCTCTTAGGCAACAAGTTAACACACATTTTCTTATGCAAATTGTTTGAATGCAGGTGGTGCCAGTAGAGAAGGTCAAGCTTACCCTTTTCATGAACACCTGGTATCATTTTGGATTTTCAGGGGGGTGGGGTAGCCTAGTGGTTAAAGCTGTCGAACATCACGCCGAAGACCTTGGTTTGATTCCCCACATGGGTACAATATGTGAAGCCCGTTTTTGGTGTCACCTGCTATGATATTGCTGGAATATTGATAAAGGTGATGTAAAACACTAAACTAACTCACCCAGTTGCGTAGATCGATGCTCATGCTATTGATCAGTCTGGTCCAGACTCGATTATTTCCAGACGGCTGCCATATAGCTGAAAATTACTGAGTGAAGCGTTAAACAACTATCAAACCAAATCTGGTGTTAGAATTGGTCTTCAGCAACCCATGCTTGTCGAAAGAGGCAACTAACAGGATTGGGTGGTGCTGTGTTAGACAACCAACCAACCTGCTCATTTTCAGTATATTTAAAATATATGTATATATATGAATTCCCATCTCTCCATGTAGGTTAAATATTCTTAGGTGAGGTGAGGTGAAATTGGGTTTTACGTCGTGCTTGAGAATATTTTGCTCATATGACGACGTGCATGCATGTGTATGTGCGGCTGCTTGTACTAGCCCAGGCTTAAGCTGGTTTTATAGTGCTAGCTCACTGAGATACCATGCCGCAGTAAAGCATGAATACCCCACTCAGACACATTATACTGACTCCGAGGCCGACCAGTCCTTGTTGTACCCATTAATGCCGAGCGCCAGGCAGGGACCAACAAGTACCATATTTTAACGTCTTTTGGTATGACGCGGTCGGGGATCGAACCCGCGACCTTCCGCTCTCGGGAAATATTCTTAGGTCCAGTGTTAAACAAACAAGCTGGAGATACACTAACAATCTGGATTCTGAAGATGAAGAGATGACTTATCTCCAGGGCGCTGTGTAGACATGTAGTCATGACGCCCTGGTCCATGTCTGTGTGGTGTGATTAGGTCCTGCTGTTGATGGATGACCAATGAGCATGCAGATGATTCGCTAACAAGACAGTGATGCAATACGTGAAACTGACCCCGAACCTACGCATATTTATGTCCTGTCGCTTGTGAATGATTCAGCCTGTAACGTCTTTTGGGAGAAAAGTTTTCATTTATGTTGGTGTGTTAAGTTTGTATGAAATTTGTTCAGGAACTTAGCATTACTCTCATCGGGTCAGCAAGATCTGGCGTTGCTATGAGTGAGTGAGTGGGTTAGGGTAAAATGGAATCAGGATTCCAGGTCTCTAGCAACATTTAAATTGATTGTCTGTCAGGTTCCGTGATTTGGTCGCAGCGTGTAACTGTATCCTTTTTGGCATGTTGTTCATTATATCAATCATTGGTATATATGGTCAATTATTTACAGGCAGAATTTGATATTGGAAAATACTGTGAAGAGAGGTGTGAAACATCAAACAGAAATTAATTCGAAATTCATTTCACTCACTGTCCAGTGCACTTATTGTGTCGATTTAAAGGCTCTTCAGTCAATAAAGGTAGACATGTTTCTAATCGTTAATCAAAGGCAGATTGAGTACTGACACAAGTTACAAGTCTTACATGATTGGCAGCCATTGTCTGCTTGGCACCGCGCTGGAGTAGGAGCACTTGCTTCATGGAAAGGTCATGTTTCTTTAACCCCAGGAGTATCTGTGTTAGCTTGGGGACATTGGTCTACTGCTTCTCTCCATTTTAGCAGCAATTGTTACTTGAAAGAAATGGCAATAGTTTTCTGTTAATTAGAGTCAGAGCACCGTTTTCTCGGGAAAGGCATTGCCACCTGATTCTGTTGTAGCGTTATTAGCTTCGGCATGCTTCCATGTTGGGTCAGCATTATGTCAGTGGTGGATTATCAGATGCTGGGAGTGGTTATTGATAGCCTAGTGGCCGAGAGTTGCCTGCCATGATGAAGACCAAGGTTCAACTCCCCAACATCATACAGTGTGTGAAACCCATTCTTGGTAATGCAGGCCATTAGCAGAGAGAGCAGGGACTTCATTAGCTGAGAGAGTAAGGACCACATTAGCAGGGAGAGTTAGGAGCACATTAGCAAGAGAGAGTAAGGACTACAAGGAGCAAGGACTGATTAGAGAGAGTAAGGACCACATTAGCAGAGAGAGTGGACCAAGGAGCAAGGAGCACATTAGCAGAGAGAGTAAGGACCACATTAGCAGAGAGAGTAAGGAGCACATTAGCAGAGAGAGTAAGGACCACATTAGCAGAGAGAGTAAGGACCACATTAGCAGAGAGAGTAAGGACCACATTAGCAGAGAGAGTAAGGACCACATTAGCAGAGAGAGAGTAAGGACCACATAGAGAGAGTAAGGAGCACATTAGCAGAGAGAGTAAGGACCACATTAGCAGAGAGAGTAAGGACCACATTAGCAGAGAGAGTAAGGAGCACATTAGCAGAGAGTAAGGAGCACATTAGCAGAGAGAGTAAGGACCACATTAGCAGAGAGTAAGGAGCACATTAGCAGAGAGAGTAAGGAGCACATTAGCAGAGAGTAAGGACATTAGCAGCACATTAGCAGAGAGTAAGGAGCACACATTAGCAGAGAGAGTAAGGAGCACATTAGCAGAGAGAGTAAGGAGACATTAGCAGAGAGTAAGGACCACATTAGCAGAGGTAGCACATTAGAGAGTAAGGACCACATTAGCAGAGAGAGTAAGGACCACATTAGCAGAGAGAGTAGTAGGAGGAGCACATTAGCAGAGAGTAAGGAGCACATTAGCAGAGAGAGGACCACATAGAGGAGCACATTAGCAGAGAGAGTATTAGGACCACATTAGCAGAGAGTAAGGAGCACATTAGCAGAGAGAGTAAGGAGCACATTAGCAGAGAGTAAGGACCACATTAGCAGAGAGAGTAAGGACCACATTAAGCAGAGTAGAGAGAGTAAGGAGCACATTAGCAGGCAGAGAGTAAGGAGCACATTAGCAGAGAGTAAAGGACCACATTAGCAGAGAGTAAGGAGCACATTAGCAGAGAGTAAAGGAGCACATTAGCAGAGAGAGTAAGGACCACATTAGTAAGGAGCAGAGAGAGTAAGGACCACATTAGCAGAGAGTAAGGACCACATTAGCAGAGAGAGTAAGGACCACATTAGCAGAGAGAGTAAGGACCACATTAGCAGAGAGTAAGGACCACATTAGCAGAGAGAGTAGGACATTAGCAGAGAGTAAGGAGCACATTAGCAGAGAGTAAGGACCACATTAGCAGAGAGAGTAAGGACCACATTAGCAGAGAGTAAGGAGCACATTAGCAGAGAGAGTAAGGAGCACATTAGCAGAGAGAGTAAGGACCACATTAGCAGAGAGTAAGGAGCACATTAGCAGAGAGAGTAAGGAGCACATTAGCAGAGAGTAAGGAGCACATTAGCAGAGAGAGTAAGGAGCACATTGAGCAGTAGGAGCACATTAGCAGAGAGTAAGGAGCACATTAGAGAGGGAGCACATTAGCAGAGAGTAAGGAGCACATTAGCACATTAGCAGAGAGTAGAGGGACCACATTAGCAGAGAGTAAGGAGCACATTAGCAGAGAGAGTAAGGACCACATTAGCAGAGAGAGTAAGGACCACATTAGCAGAGAGAGTAAGGACCACATTAGCAGAGAGTAAGGACCACATTAGCAGAGAGTAAGGAGCACATTAGCAGAGAGAGTAAGGAGCACATTAGCAGAGAGAGTAAGGACCACATTAGCAGAGAGTAAGGAGCACATTAGCAGAGAGTAAGGAGCACATTAGCAGAGAGTAAGGAGCACATTAGCAGAGAGTGTAAGGACCACATTAGCAGAGAGAGTAAGGACCACATTAGCAGAGAGAGTAAGGAGCACATTAGCAGAGAGTAAGGAGCACATTAGCAGAGAGAGTAAGGAGCACATTAGCAGAGAGTAAGGACCACATTAGCAGAGAGTAGTAAGGACATTAGAGAGAGTAAGGAGCACATTAGCAGAGAGAGTAAGGAGCACATTAGCAGAGAGAGTAAGGAGCACATTAGCAGAGAGAGTAAGGAGCACATTAGCAGAGAGTAGCACATTAGCAGAGAGTAAGGAGCACATTAGCAGAGAGTAAGGAGGAGCACCACATTAGCAGAGAGAGTAAGAGTGTAGGACACACATTAGCAGATTAAGGAGCACATTAGCAGAGAGAGTAAGGAGCACATTAGCAGAGAGTAAGGAGCACATTAGCAGAGAGAGTAAGGACCACATTAGCAGAGAGAGTAAGGAGCACATTAGCAGAGAGTAAGGAGCACATTAGCAGAGAGTAAGGACCACATTAGCAGAGAGAGTAAGGACCACATTAGCAGAGAGAGTAAGGAGCACATTAGCAGAGAGAGGAGCACATTAAGGAGAGAGGAGTAGCAGGGAGCACATTAGCAGAGAGTAAGGAGCACATTAGCAGAGTAAGGAGCACATTAGCAGAGAGTAAGGAGCACATTAGCAGAGAGAGTAAGGAGCACATTAGCAGAGTGTAAGGACCACATTAGCAGAGAGAGTAAGGAGCACATTAGCAGAGAGAGAGTAAGGAGCACATTAGCAGAGAGTAAGGACCACATTAGCAGAGAGTAAGGAGCACCACATTAGCAGAGTAAGGCACCACATTAGAGAGAGAGAGAGTAAGGACACACATTAGCAGAGGAAGTAAGAGAGTAAGACACATTAGCAGAGAGTAAGGACCACATTAGCAGAGAGGTAAGTGTAAGGACCACATTAGCAGAGAGAGTAAGGACCACATTAGCAGAGAGAGTAAGGACCACATTAGCAGAGAGGTAAGGACCACATTAGCAGAGAGTAAGGACCACATTAGCAGAGAGTAAGGACCACATTAGCAGAGAGTAAGGACCACATTAGCAGAGAGTAAGGACCACATTAGCAGAGAGTAAGGACCACATTAGCAGAGAGAGTAAGGACCACATTAGCCAGAGAGAGTAAGGACCACATTAGTGGAGAGTGTAAGGACCACATTAGCAGAGAGTAAAGGACCACATTAGCAGAGAGAGTAAGGACCACATTAGCAGAGAGAGTAAGGACCACATTAGCAGAGAGAGTAAGGAACAACATTATCGCATCATGATCGCAGAACGTAAGGGACCAAAATTAGCAGGCAGATCATTAACTGAGAGAGTAAAGGGCAACATTACATCAAAGAGGCTGGTATCTTAAGTTTGTGACGACCCTGCTGTCCTATTTTATGGGTACTGAGCGAGGACGTCACCAGCAGAAGTCAGGAACACATGACGATCACATGGTTATCAGCGGCAATAACGATAGAGATCAATATAGAGATTGACTCAAACAACAGCAGTGCAATAGTTGATCCCTAGGGTGGGCGCTTATCAAAGACCTATTGTTCCACTCTTGAAGTTTATCTTGTGACTGCTTCATGAAATAAATTCGTAAAAGTAAGCATGAGGAAAACATCTCTACTTACTCATAAGAATGTGTTCTATTTTCTAAAGAAACATGGAAAAACATTTCATGTATTCAGTAGATGTAGACATTGAATCCGATCATGAGGAAAGTCAGTGAAGTTTGGTTTTACGCCACTTTTAGCAATATACCAGCAATATCATGGCGGAGGACACTAGAAATGGGCTTCACACATTGTACCCATATAGGAAATTGAGTGAGTGAGTTTAGTTTTACGCCACACTCAGCAATATTCCAGCTATATGGCAGCGGTCTGTAAATAATCGAATTTGGACCAGACAATCCAGTGATCAACAGCATGAGCATCGATCCTGTTAGCAAATGGGACAAGTCATGATGACATGTGTCAACCAAGCCAGCGAGGCTGACCACCCGATCCTGAAGGTTTATTCTAGTCACCTCTTCACGACAAGCATGGGTTACTGAAGGTTTATTCTAACCCGACCTTGTTGGATCATTGTGATATTATAAAGGAAGAGGAGGAAAGGAAAATACATGGCTTGGGGGGTGGGGGGGAAATGGGATTCCTGGTTTGACGACAAATGACAAAATCATGATGTACATGTTAACAAGGGTGATCAACCGAGCTTAATTCTAACCTGAGAGGGTCTGATTGTATCTTCCTTCTCAGCTGTGAGCTAAGAAAGTAAGTCATTTTCTGGCCATGAGATAAAATTGCAGGAGGTGGGCGTGCAGCTTGCATGTCATCCGCTGTATTGTGATCGTAACATTTACCACAACAATAAACCTGAGACTGGAGACTTAGCGATGTTCTGCAGTGTTGTGCAGTGGATTTGTCCATACTGGCTGCCATGGTTTGAGAGGCCATTGCTCAAGATTCTCTATGTTTTTACATTGTCAGGGTATTATGGGATGAGGGGGGAAGGGACCATTAAAAACTGTTACATGTAGATGGGGGACAGCAGAATATGATACAATTCTAGGAGCAATGTTATCTCCCTCTCCAAAATAAATCATGTATGCATGCATGCTCGCGTATGTGTGACACTCATGCACACACACACATGCATGCATGCACATACACCACATACACATGCCAACCAGTTCCTCTAAAGAGTGTAAGATACAATCTGATTGGTTTGAAATGTGGAATGGTTTTTGAAGCCTGTAAATCTGTGTCAATGTAGTATAATCGCCTTTCTCAGTCCCAAATAACAAAAGCATTGCATTTTTAAATTCTGACCTGAACAACTTAATTTTCCTTAATTCTCTGCAAACTAGACAGATCAGTTCGTGAACACCTGGTATCATCACTATTTCATAGTGATTCATAAACACATGCCCTGTCATCGTATCGCATGGTGACAATCACTGGATTGTCTGGTTCAGACCTGATTTGTTTACAAACAACATCATACAGCTGTAATACTGCTGAAACAAATATCTGATCATGATATAGTCACAATTGTACAATCGACTCTGCTTTTGGCAGAGATTTCTTATGAATGTGTAAAGGGTTTTGTCGTTCTTCTATTTCTATCGCTTCTGTTGCCATGGAAATACTTAAATTCATCTATTAGGACAGTAATAGATGACTGCCTCTACAACGATAACTTTCCCGACTATCTCAAACATCTCGTCTCCGTGTATGTACCTCAGCGAAGACTCCAACCCTCCTCTGACTCTCTCCTCACCCAACACAGATCTCCAAACCAATTGTCTGACCGAGCCTTCTCCTTTGCCAGCCCTAAACTGTGGAACTCTCTTGCAAAGGAAATCAGGAACACTTCATCGAAAGAAATTTTAAATCTCTGCTAAAGACCCATCTATTCACTGCTGCCTTTCTGTAAAGTTATATGAACTATTTCCCTCCCTAATATTGTCACAGCGCCACTGAGCATCTCTATGGTGGATATTAGGCGCTTTATAAATACATTATTATTATTATTATTATTATTATTTAAAGTGTTTGACTGGCATTTAGAAGTGATACACATAAAGGGAACAATTTATGGATGTCAACATCTGTAATTTGAGGAACACAAAAGTTTGGAGTGTATTCTTACTTCAAAGTGAATCAAAACTGGGAAGCAGATAACGATATAAACAACAGTGATCAGATAACAATGGTGGACACTTGAGAAGGGAATTCTGTAGTTTGTGGGTACTGATTTGAAATGGCAATTGACACATAGAAGCCAGGAGTTCATCCAGGAGTAGACAGGAGCTTGAAATTCAACTTCACCGCTTATCTCCCCTTATTTTACAGGCACATGAACTGACTGCAGTTATCTCCCTTACTTTACAGTAACATTACTTCACTGACTTGTCTTGCTTCACTTTACAGAACAGAAGCACAGTGATTACCTCCCTTACAAACTCACTGACTTATCTCCCCTTGTGTTACAGGATCTCCAGCAATCCTCAGAGCAGCTTCACCAGTTGGACAATGACTATCAGGAAGCACTCCGAAAACTTGAGCACAAACAGATCGAGATTGACCGGCTGCATGAGGTAGACATAATCTTTCTGAAATATCAGCTGCTTATAAACTGTATGTCGGCCCAAGCCCTCTCAACCATGACAAAAGATTTATTATCCTGCATTCTTATCAAAGAGGAAAATGTTCCTCCATATCAATAGTACTAAATTTATCAATTGCAGTTTGAAAGTTTTCTTAATAATCCTCTGATGAATGACTATGATGTATTTGAGGTGCCACAATTCATTTGCAGAGTTGTGCCCCTTACCTGTTGTAGGATCTCAACACTCACTCACTTATTTCTGTTACAGTCACAGGAAGAGGCAAAAATAGAACACGAGACAGCAGTGAGGGAGCTCCAGGTGAGACTTATCTGTTATTATCCCCAGGGTATTTCTGAAAATACATCTTGGTAACTTGATCGGAGTGGATCATGATATAAGGAGTTCTGGTACTGAAGGGCGGTGGGGTAGCCTAGTGGTTAAAGCGTTGGCTCGTCACGCCGAAGACCCGGGTTCGAATCCCCACATGGGTACATTGTGTGAAGCCCATTTCTGGTGTTCCCCGCTGTGATGTTGCTGGAATATTGCTAAAAGCGGCGTAAAACCAAACTCAGTCAGTCAGTCTGGTACTGAATTTGTTTACCATCCAGACAGTTGTTTTCAGACATTCATGTTCTTCCTTTCATACATTCTTTCACTCATTTATTTACTGTTATTGTCAGTGAATCATTACTAGGCTAATCACTGTTTGTTAAAGAATCATAAAATTTGATGTATGTGTAAAATTCCATAAAATGGCTTGCTTGAATGACCAAAGACATGTATTTGGCCCTAGACTTTGTCTTTGAAAATAGGGTGGTGGAGTAGACTAAGGCTCAGAGTATTCACTTGTTAGAACTGGGTTCAAATCCCATGGGTACAATGTGTGAAGCCCATTTCTGGTGTCCATTCTGTGATATTGCTGTGTAAACTGCTAATGCTATGTTTACACTATCACGATGCACGCCACGATTGAAATCGTGGTCTTAATCATGGACTAATCGTGGTGATCCTATCAGATCTTATCAGATCTTGAGGTCAAACGTGTTGATCGTAGAAGAACTTTGGACAGTTAATAAAATTTCTACAATCAACACAATTAATATGTCAATCGTAGTCATTGCATCAGATCTTATTGAAGGTAACAAAGCGCAACATATCGCGTCTAATGGTGCTTCCAAATCGTAGTGATCGGAATCAGTTGTGGTTGTGTGGGTTGTAGTTTTCACTCTGTAGAAGTTCAAGAAACAGAGAAGCCCATGGTCAGTCGGGCTGTATATATTCCCGTCGAGGGCCAATCGTTGCTCAAATGGCCAATCATGGCATTCGTAACGAATTGCTCGACAGTGTGAACCTAGCATAATAAAGACATAAAACCATACTCACTCTGAATAATATTGATGAAACCAAATGCTGCATTTAAATTTAAAAGGATCCCTTGAGAGATGATGTGTTTGAACCTGTTAACAAATCTTGACTTGCTTCATTTAGTGCTTTTAGGCCTTAGGGAAAGTATTTCAAGGACTGACACAGACTAATTTGGCCTGTTTAGACTTCCATTAAGCCTTCACATGGCTTAAAACTCACAAGAGACCTGTGAAGATCCGGGTTAGAATTGGTCTTCAGTAACCCATGCTTGTCCCAAAAGGTGACTGACAGGATCGGGAGGTCAGGCTCTCTGACTTGGTTGACACATGTCATCATATCCCAGTTGCGTAGATCGATGCTGTTGATCACTGAATTGTCTGGTCCACTATGTTTCAGATAAGAATACAGGATCTTGAGCAGCAGTGCCAAGTGCATCAGCACCGACAAGCAGACCTGAAGTCAGAACTAACAGCAATTAAAACAGAAGCTCTCCACCACAGAGCTTTAACCACTTCCACACAAATACAGACCGAGAAACCACAACATATATCTACTGGTACTGATGCTCTCCCCTTGTTGCCTAGCAACAGTTATAATCGAAGATCTTCCTCCAATCAAAATGGTCACCCAGTAGAGGGTTCGTGGTGTTTTTCATCATTTTCTCTCTAGTTACATCTTCTCCAGGCAGGGATGGCACCAATGGTCTTCCAGCATCATTTCTACAGATTTTGGTTCATGAATCTCTTCAGGTTGTGTTAAATAAAGTTGTCGACATGCATAATATTTTGAGCAAGAACTTTTACCAGGTTTAATGTATAGTTATTTTGTTTTAAATACTAAGAATTTTTTTACACAATTCCTGGCATTTTTCTTTTGCCAATGCCAGAAGTCTGTAATTAACAAGATCCATGTTAAGATGTATTGTCACCGTGCCTGGGGAAGATTTTGTTTGAAGCCTTTATTCCTTGATCTTTATTATTCTCTCTGTTTCCCTTGACCACATGGGATCTTGGTGCTTCTGAAAGAAGCAAGTAAATCCACATCCATAACACGAGAAGAAAAGTAGTGATTTAAAAAAACCATAAGGTATGCAAGTTCCATATTACCAGTATTAAAGTATTTCTTCCTTAAAATTGGGGCGGTGGGGTAGCCTAGTGGTCAAAGTGTTCGCTCATCACGCCAAAGACCTGAGTTTGAGTCCCCACATAGGTACAATATGTGAAGCCCATTTCTGGTGTCCCCTGTGATATTGCTGGAATATTGCTAAACTCACTCACTCACTTTCCCAAAATTAGGCCAAGATAAGCATTAATTCAAACAAAATTGATAAGTCTAAAGCATGAAGACAAATAGCAATTTCTGAAATATACAAGCTATGCAAGCATGTATACCACCCATCTGTCTCTCAATAATTGTAGGTTATATAGTCATTTCTTCTTGAATATACATGTACATGAAATGAGCATGAAATAAACAGATCTGGATGGTATAGCTAGGGAAGAAAAGTCATGATTTCCTAAAATATGCAGGATGTGATAAAATCTGTATCACCCCTCACGCTGTGATTAGGTATGTGTTTATACCGCCTCTGTGGTGTAGTGGTTAGAGCGGCCCGCGGAGAGCGGAAGGTCGCGGGTTCGATCCCATACCGCGTCATACCAAAAGACGTTAAAATATGGTACTTGTTGGTCCCTGTCTGGCGCTTGGCATTAATGGGTACAACAAGGACTGGTCAGCTCGGAGTCAGTATAATGTGTCTGAGTGGGGTATTCATGCTTCACTGCGGCATGGTATCTCAGTGGGCTAGCACTATAAAACCAGCTTCAGTCTGGGCTAGTACAAGCAGCCGCACATACACATACACACGCATGCACGTCGTCATATGAGCGAAATAATGTCAAGCACGACGTTAAACCCAATCTCACCTCACCAGGTATGTGTTTATAATATTTTATTTCTTGAATATAGGCAGGGTGAGTATTCAAAATGGATGGATAGTATAACACTGGAAAAAATAAGTAGAGATTTTCAGAAATGTGCAAGATATACAAACATGTTTATCACAGACTTTTGCTCCAGTGTATCTCTGGTTACAAAGAATATTTTCTTGGAATTAGACCAAAATGAGCATGAAATTAAACAAACAAAAACAGTTCCATATAAGGCATTAATACAGGAAGGTTTGAATATCAAGGAGCTTATTCAGGTTTGGTATAACAAAAAATTGTCATCAAAAGCTTTGACATTAAACCAGTGAAGAAAGATATTTTGACATTTGTAGGTTAATTCCGATCATTCTGCTCTGGCATTTTGATGACTTTCTTGGCTGTTCAGACTAATATTAGTTACGAATTGTTGTATTGTATTTGGACATAATTAATAGACTCTACCAAAAACTTGTAAGTTTACTGTATTGTATTACACTTCGTCATCTGCAACATGTTAGTACCTCTGGCATATACACAGAAAGTGGGGGTATTTTAAGTTTAAATTTAAACTCATTTGAAGTTATTGTACAGTGACATTTGGATATATTCCTTCAATCTATTATTGGTTAAGCTTTTCTGTAAACAGTTTGGACATTATATATAAATTACACAAAATTACTAAGTTACGTCTTTGACATTTCATGCACCCTTGGTACATGGAAAGAAAGAGTGGGTGTTTGAATTTAAACTTATTAATACGTCATACTGTAGAAAATAAAAACAAATAAGCAGATTGCACATGATCAATCAAACCTCTGTGCATAAACGTTTGCAACAACAAAATTTGGTTTCAGAAATAGAGAAGGGTCGATGTTAGGTATATTGGATATATTGTTTTAACAATTCTCTGTTAAAACTGAAAACACAATAAGCTGCACTCATTAGAGTCCTTTATTTGTATAGAAGATGAACATTATGTGAGTTTTATTTTGAAGCAGATGTTAGCATGAGGCTTCAAATGATAAAATGCATGTTAGTTTATGCATTGTAATTACAAAGTGTTTGACCTGTGAAGGTCCGGGTTAGAATTGATCTTCAGTAACCAGTTCTTGTAAGAGGCGACTAGGATTGGGTGGTCAGGCTCACTGACTTGGTTGACACGTGTCATCGTATCCCAATTACGTAGATCGATGCTCATGATGTTGATCACTGGATTGTCTGGTCCAGACTCGATTATTTACAGACTGCCACCATATAGCTGGAATATTGCTGAGTGTGACGTAAAACTAAACTCACTCACTCACTCACTACAAAATGTTTGTCACGAAGTATCTTGAGGTTACACAAAACCAAATATTTTCCCACTGACTTCTATAGTAATGTTATATTCTTTAAAATTAACTAAGATATCAACAGCTAGTATATGTGTGTATAGTCGGTCCTTAAAGAAGCAGTAAAAATATACAATATGACCATCTCAGCTGGCTCCTTTTCTGAGTACAGGAAGCTAAACAGACAAACTCCAGTTCCGCACAAAATGTCAACCTCCTGAAAATACCTGTGGTAGCATTCAGTATAAGTCATCAGTAAAAAAGACAGCACTAAATATTAAAAAAACATTGTCAATTTTTTATTGATGGATGGATGTACAATTAAAAGCACAACAATCTTGCACAAAATCAGCCAATCACAGCTTTCATAGGATTCACTCTGCACTGAAGGCTCCCTTCAAAAAGTGCTTATTAAACTACAGATTCTGATTTGCTGTAGTGTAACCTGATTCAGACGAAACTTGTGAAGCACAAGTAATCAATTTGCTGTGGCCATACTGATTAAACTGTATCTTTTTGTCATGCTATTTTAGAATTTCTTAATTCCTTTCTTTCCATAACTTTATCTAGATCCTGTGGTTCCCTCCCATTTCTCCCTCAGTGAGACATCTGTTGGTTATATTCCAACCTCCGAATCCAGCAAGTCTCTTGACACAGGTGAGGGGATTTCTCCATCAATTTCATGGTTATCTATGTTGAACTTTTTATTATGTATTAGTTATTTTGTTCATAATGTTACATTTCAAACTTTATTTGTTGAAATTATATATTTTTATTACAGAAAGAGCGTAGTTTGTTTTTGCATCATGTATCATACTGGTAAATGGTGACATATGCTGGTGAAGTCAACCCATTGTGTCAAACTCAATTAGGATGATACTATGGTTTTCTTGAATTAAATGCTTGGTCCATATACCTGTGGCTGAAATATTGCCGAAGGTCGTGTAAAACAATACTGAATCATTGACATCATGTAATCCCTAGTAGATGGCCCAGTGGGTAAAGTGCTTGTTTGTCACACTTAAAGTTCTGGGTTTGATTCCCAATGGATACAGTGTGTGAAGCCCAGTTCTTGTTGCTGGAAAATTGCTGAATACAAAACTCTACTATTTATTATATGGATATAACCTTCAGCATAAGTATTAAAAACAATACAAAACCACGGATACTACAGTTATGTGTTATTGTTCAGCACTTGTAAAATACAATGTTGCATCCAGATGGCATGAGGGTGGGATTTCAACATTGATAAGGAACCCTACTTGAAACCGATATTTCCAGGATAGATAAAGTCTGGGTTTTTTTTCAGTTCTCACTTTGTGTTTGTTCGTTTGTTTAACACCGCACTCAGCAATATTCCAGCTATATGGTGGTGGTCTGTAAATTATCAGAGTCTAGACCACACAATCCAGTGATCAGCATGAGCATTGATCTATGCAGCTGGGATATAATGACATGTGTCAACTAAATCAGTGAGCTGACCACCAGATTCCGTTATTCATCTCATGCATGGATTGCTGAAGACCATTTCTGAAACTGATCTTCTCTGGTGGCTTGATTTAATTATTAATGTATGATAGAGTATTTGGATATATAAGATGATATTGAAAGCTTGCAATAAAATATCACTGGGAAATTATTTGGGGGTTATTTGAATGTATTTTTAATAAAAATATGCCATATCTGGATGCAACTTGAAAATACTGTTACACATTTTGTATTGCTTATGAGCACAGTTTGCTAAAGTACTGTTTTAAACCATTATGTTTTCTTCACGATAAGCAGTGTTACACAATAATGCACCTGTAAAATAAAAAGCAAGTTGATTTTTTTGTTCATCTGATACACTGTGGGACAGAAATCATACACTAGGGGATTACACGTTATTGAGACTTTTAGATTCTCTGTTATGTTTGGTACAGTTCAGCTTTTAGCTTAAGCTTCTAGAAAGTTCTATGCATCTTATTATGTTCGTCAAACACATCTTTAGACCCTTTTATTTGATATTCTGTATAGTCAGCTTTTAGAGAGACAATTTGATATGTAAGAAAATTAACCTTACATAATTTTTAAGCATCATTATCAAATTCTTTAATCATAAAGTCATAATCTTTGTTACAATGGCAATATTAGTTGAAGAAGTTTCTAAACATTCACATTTTTAACAATCTTTCATTCAAATAAAATATGTCATTTTTTAAAAAGTGTGTGTAAACAATATCAAAAATAAATTTAAAATCAGCCAAAGGGAGATTTTATTCAATTGATCACAAAATTAACATTTAAGCTGAAATTTATGTTTAAGTTTTCAGAATTGTCAAACCTTTACCCCAGTTTTCTGACATAGCCTCAAATTAACTTTTGTCATGTGCTGTAAATGTACCTCAGATAAGTCTTAAAATAACATTTCCATGCGATAGATCTATTCTAAGGAAGATAGTAATCGGTAGTCATTTTGATTGCACGTGACGTCAGTAAAGTTCCACTTCTGTTCGGTAAAGTAATCACTTGTTATGAAGCTATCACCAAAGAAGAATCCATTTCGGTGCGTCGTAAACAAGACCGCGCCATCTTGTGGATGTTGATCTCTGACGACGATGTCCACGGTTCTTCTCTGGGCAGTGAAACATGCAACCTTTTCCATTACTGAAGCTCGTAAAAAACGTCGAGACCATGACAGATTATTATTAGACCTTGTAAAGGTTTCTGAATGATGAAATCTCGTTATCTCTGCTACAAGATAGGCTTGCTGCATGGACCCGTGTCTGTAATGATGTAGGGTATTTCTGTATGATAAATAACATTAAATTAGTGACATGCTTCTTCATTTTGTGATTAGGGTCCATAAATGTAATGTATTAATTGACAGACAGAAAGTAATATTCAGTAAAAGGCCACTGGCCCAAAATATATGTACGTAAACGAGATCATAGGGTTAAATCAATTTCATTAATAATTTGTTGTATTTTTTCATTCTTTAATACAGTATCAGCTAATAAGTAATAAATGAGTGAGTGAGTGAGTTTATTTCTACCTGCTCTCAGCAATATTCCAGCTATATGGCGGTGGATTAATTAATGAATTAATTAACATATTCAGTTGTTGCATTTTCTGACATATCATTACAATCATAAAACCATTAAAATGGACAATTCAGATTGAAATTAAAATTTAAGTACTTTTACTGTAAGATTTTTATTGTAGATATTTTTATTAAAATAAAGATTTTTTTTTTTAATTCAAACTTAATAACATCTGAAAGTAAATGAATATCTTTGAGAAAATTCTCTACTTGTGATTAATTTTGATGGAACATACTTTAGCCAATGTTCACATTGATATATAAAGGACAAAAAATTAAACCTTTTGGAATTACCTTTGACCAGAGATCCGACATTCAAGCTACCAAACATTGTACATTGCTTAATGGAATACTGATCGTCAATTCGGAGATGGATTCGGCTTCAATAAATGTGACACGATTTATTTGGTGATCAACTTCTAAGTTTTCCTTTGGACTGATGAGAAAAATTATCTCATTTATCGTAACAACCTGTTGCTATGGTAACGTGGTAATACAGACCACAGAAAGCATCATAATGGGCCTTAAGACAATGCTTGCTGAGCATCCATATTGCCTGGATTCTCAGTGTAGCTTTTTTTTAAATAATAGATTAAAATTTAAATATGTAATTGACTCTGGCAGAATAATTTAAATTTCAATTACATTCCTAATGTATCATGTAATACAATGCTTGATCATTGCATGCATTAGAAACTTCTCAGAAAATGTATATTGATGTTTTTTATGAACTTTTATGTAAAAGTCAGATCAATGTTTTAAGGAGAGTATTTGATTTCTTAAAGATATTGATGTGAACTCTTATCAGCGTTTTCTATTTGTTATTTTTTTTTTCCACAATGTTATAATATCTTATGACTAACAAAGCACCCAAACCTCATGTGCATACTGCTGTAATGGGGTTTTCTCAATTTGCGTTTCTATTCTCTTATACTTCCTTAAATGCAAAATGCAAATTTAATCTCAATGTATATATTTGATGTGAACTGTACCATTGATGTATTTCAGCGGTGGGGTAGTCTAGTGGTTAAAGCGTTCGCTCGTCATGCTGAACACCCAGGTTCGATTCCCCACATCGGTACAATGTGTGAAGCCCATTTCCGGTGTGCCCCACCGTGATATTGCTGGAATATTGCTAAAAGCGGCGTAAAACTAAACTCACTCACTCACTCCATTGATGTATTAGTGATTGACTTTAGTTTTACGCCACACTCAACAGTACTCCAGCTATATGGCGGCCATCTGTAAATAATCGAGTCTGGACCAGACAATCCAGTGAAGTATCAAAATGCATATATTGTGCACCTCTTCCGTTTTCTCTAACTCTGACAGAAGTAGGGTAGTCTAGTGGTTAAAGTGTTTGCTTTTCATGCTGAACCCTGGGTTTGATTCCCATATGAGTAAAACCCTATTTCCAGTGTCCCTTATCAGGATGTTTCTGGAATATTTATAAAAATATAATAACGTCACATTTTCATGTCGGAATTCAGTTTATGGGTGTACGTAAATATTTAAATATGACAAATTGATTCAATACTGTATACAACCTACAAACAAAAACTTACTTTTAAATGTAGATTGTGTGAATGGTTGGTGCTTGCAATGCAGGATATGCTAATATACACATCCTGGTGAAAACCTGATGTCATCACTGGTTATTTATAAGTGATCCATTCCAATAATTTTCATCATTATTTTGCCTTTTATGTTTTGACAAATAATTCAGACTGATTATTCTCTACTTTTGAAGTTAATCATAGATCAAGAATTCATTTTAAATGCTCAAATTCAGACATATGACCATGATTCATTATTCTAGCACGACATTGTGTGATACTCGATTCTGATTGGCTAAGAGCTGGCGCGTTCGGTTTTTACATTACATTTAGCGGTCTTAAATCAACGATAAAGGACCACAAAATTGAAAACAGAGTAGCTTTATCTTCTAATTAATTACTTAATCAGAAGCAATTAAATATATTTATGTGAGTGAAAAACAGTTCATTGAAGTACAGTGGATTTTTTTGTGTGTGTGTTCTCAGTGCAAATAGGACTATGTAGTTTCTTCATGAAATATTTTAGGACATTTCCTTGACAAGATTTATTTTTTGCTTCCAGATATTGCAGATGGTGAAGGAATCATTACTTTATTTCCTCTTATAATTACTTTTAAGTACATATTTAAATTATGTAGGCATCATAATAAAATACTGTGGTTCCACTAACCAACTTGACATGAACACACTGGCACTGATCATTTTGCTGTGAATCAGAATCAACATGCTTCTATTTCAGCTGTTTGTTGTTTTTATTTTATTTTTATAAAATGAATGCATTTATCAAAATTGAATATTCCTATTGATAATTTCATAAAATCAGGGTGTGTTTGTCCGAGTTGTTAAAGACATTGCGATTCACTGTAGAGAGTTGCCTCCCTTGGTGATCAGTACACCCATGCTGGTGGGTTTGAAGCCTGGTTTGCTCCAAATATGTTTCTATGGTTTGTCAGTACCATAACCTTGGAGTTTGGCAGAGCGGTGAACATCTGAGACCTGCATTGTTTCAGACTTTCCTCCTGCAGTTAGCTTGACATGCCGGGTCGTCGGGGTAGTCTAGTGGTTAAAGCGTTGGCTCCTCATGTGTACAATGAGTGAAGCCCATTTCTGGTGTCCCCCGCAGTGATATTGCTGGAATATTGCTAAAAGCGGTGTAAAACCAAACTCAGTCAGTAGTTTACATGCCATGATAGAACTAGAAAACTGTTCAAAGTGGCATTGAGCCCAACTCACTCACTCACTCATGAAATCAAATTATTTTGGACCACACTAATTATTTTTACACCTACAGGAACTTTAATGCAGTTTTGTAGCCTGATTCTTTCATAATTTTGGCTCTCATTTAGTCCTTTAGTATTGATAGTCATTTATATTTTGTTTATCATTAAGAAATATGAAGCCACTTACTTCATGGATGATTGCAGTAGATTAGAGCAACCATTATTTTGAAATGGATTGAAAACCTTGTGTCATAAAAAATTGCTACAAACTGAGGGGCTCAAGGTAGAGGAAATGCTGTAGGCGCTATTTGCTTTTACGTTTTTCTACAATAATTACTCCCTATTAGGTTTCGCAGAGGAGGAATTGGATGATGATCTCAGTAGCAACAATAAGTCCTCCCCAAACAAAAGCGATTGTGAGGACCCTGAACTGAATGAAATCTCCAAAAAACTTAAAGAACTTGCTGCCTCAGATTCGGATGATGACAATCAAAAATCTCTAGAAGGTGATTGGTTGCCATTCCTGGTGCTTTTTGTAGTGGTCTGCATGTCATCACCAATGATTCTTGTCTCCCTTTTCTTTGTCTTGATTTTACTTCCTCTTTGTGTTCTTCTCCTTCTTCTGTGTGGTTTGTGATGCATACACTTAAATGGATGCAAACTAAATGCTGAACACATAAAAAAGTTGTCATAGTTCTTTTGGTACGTAAATAAACACATATACCACAGTTAATATGTTTCCTACACAATGCTACGCCCAACATATATATCCATATGACATCTCAGTAGTATTTGTGGATGTACTAAGTATGAGTAATGTTTTTAATTAGTCAATACATTTTTAAATGGAATTTAAAATATTCAAATAGCACAAGATATATGACCACTTACTTCAGTGTATTCAAGAAGTGACTAAAATACCAATTTGTATTTTAAAAATTTGTTGCTGAAACAATATTAGCGTGGTCATTATTTAAAGGTACTGAATCACAAGAGAAATCACTTGGTTAAAACTCGATCATTTCATTGAATCATTGGTCAAGGTACTCAACAAAGTATACCAATCAGCCCAGTTGTAAGATGGGTACCCAGAAGTATGTACAAATCTTGGAAAGTGCGTGTAGCGTTCCTGAGTGTGAGAATGCTTTCATTCAGTCTTTAAGCAGATATCATTTTGTGAATGCTTCCTTGTGGCACTTATGTTGATAAATTGCTTTCTGCTGATATTGATGTATCATGATTATCATTGTTATTCAGATTTCAACCAACCGAGTGTACTGATTGTGTTTCTATCGGGCTGAAGTATTGCTGGTCTAAATAATAATTATATTACTTGTGCATCTAGTATCCACCACAATCAGAAATTTGAGTTTAGTGTAGCTTCACTTCAGTTTGTAAGGAAAAAACTACTTGCCTGAAAACTAAACATATTTCTTCTAACAAATTAACTAATCAGAAAATATCTGAAAAAACCAGAAATAATTCTAGTTGTGTGTTTTATATCTTCTGATGATTTCCGATAGTTTTATTGCTTCAAATGTTTCCGTAGTATTCTTTCCGTCACTTTTCCACACTAATCTTTTTAGCAGTTTTCAATTTCCGTTTTAGATCATGCACTGTTGACTTGCACGAGTTTTCCTAGAACATCTAGTTATTGCTTGTCCATTTTGCTGATGTTGCTGACAGTTGATTGACATGCAATTTCGTGCATGTTTCTAAATGTTTCAAGTGCGTAATATGTTTTTCTTAATGCAATTTGTTGCCTCAACACACAGCTCTAACAAATATTGTCTGCTTACAAGTGTTGTGAAGTCTCTGTTCGTTTATATATATATGTCATATTCTTTCTTGTTTGTTGAGACAACACACTTGATAATCGATTTCAATGTGTTGGTTTGAATTTCAGTTTGGGCATTTTCGGAGTAAGACAAAATAGGAAATATGTATAGTTCATGCTTATGTTGCTAGTTGTGAGGAAGTCGTCATCATTAATGATTCATTTAAACCATAGGGGAAATATCACCATGTTACCCTCAGAACATATTGAGTTAATTGTAGATTGACAGACATATATGTAAATTGCACCTATTTAGCTGGAGACTACCAACACTAAATGCCAAATCTAATGATTGCCATTATACAGCTATGTGCTCTGACAGTCTACGAACAAATTTTATTTGGATACTGTTTGGAGCCAATAGCTGTCAAAATAAGGAAATTTGATGGAAAAGTGTCAAATTCTTGTTCTTATTGGATTATTCTGTGTCTGAAATGACTTTTTGTATGAAGATCTAAGAAGACAACGGTTCTGATCAACACGGGAATGGTGTGAACTAAAGTGCGAGATATGTCACTTTGCGATATTGACGTGTCAAGATGATAAACATTTCAGGTTTCAGAGAGAAATAGACATAAGTATTCTGGAGTGTGTTCATGGATACGTAAATAGTTTTGTCAACTGATGTGGACGTTTTGCAAGAAACTGAACGGTTATTTGAAGGGAGGCATGACCACTGCTAATTTTAAAATGTGCTCCAGATTGAACTATGCAAATTCCAGGAGGTTGTATACACGGCAACAGTGATGCTCCATAGTGACGATGTTGATGTCATGGTGATGCAAATAATACTATTTTCCTGAAGAGAAGTTTTTTACTAAAAATCTCAGAATGTTGAAATATTGTTGTTACATTCCAGAAAAAGAAGATTCGGGAATGGAAAGCAACCGGGGTTCAAAGGTCAGTTTGTATACCTCATGTTTCATGTGTTATTTTATCAATTCATTTTCATGTCTTTAAAGAATTGTTGTCTTGGTTTTTCGTTTTTCTTTTTGTACCAATTCATTTGTTTGCATACCTGTTTATGATGTATTTATGCATCTGGGCCTCGTTTCACAAAGGGGGCGAGGCGGGTAGTCTAGTGGTTAAAGCGTTGGCTCGTTCACGCCGAAGATCCGGGTTCGATTCCCCACATGGGCACAATGTGTGAAGCCAATTTCTGGTGTCCCCCGCCGTGATATTGCTGGAATATTGCTAAAAGCGGCGTAAAACTAAACTCAGTCAGTCAGTCAGTCGTTTCACAAAGCTCTCGTAAGCCTAAGATCTCGTAACTTTTCTTGTAGCATTCAAATCTCCTATACTGTAACAAAGGAGGTACAAATGCTACGAGAAAAGGTACAAGATCTTAGGCTTACGAGAGCTTTGAGATACGGGGCCCTGTCTGCCAAATAATTAAATGGCCAAATATTCTGAAAACAAAAAGGGAATTACAAAACTGTAGAAGATAAGGGTTACTCATACATTCAGAAAAAGATGACAGAAGCTTTATATGAGGAACCTTAATGTGAAATGATAGTAGTTGTGGTTTGTTGTTTAACTCACCAATATTCCGGCAATATGACATTTGTCTGTGAAAAGCAAGTGAGGACCAGACAATCCAGTGATCAATGTCATAAGCATCGGTCAATGCAATTGGGATATGATGACATGTGTCAACCAAGTCAGCGAGACTGACCAACCTATGCCATAAGTTTCCTTTGACGACAAGCTTGGGTTACTGAAAAACAATTCTAACCAGATCTTTACAGGTGTAAAATGATAGAAAGTTGTATTAGGGATAAAACAGAACTCCGAGGTATTATTTGATAAAGTAAAGCATGAGGGAAACAGTGAGCAGCAATCCAGTTCATCAGGTTTTATTAAGGAAAAGTAAAACATCATACTCAGCCTTACTAGGCAAAAGTAAATAAATAAACCCTGATTTAGAATAGGGTATTCAGTAACCCATGCTTGTCATAACAGGGTCAGGTGATCGGGCTGTTTGACTTGGTTGATGCATGTCGCCAGGCTGTCATGAATACATGTACCATATATAAGTACAATATCTTTAGAGTGTTTCATGATAAGAGCAATTGTAAAATGATTGTATCTGACTCATAAACATTCCTGTTTTCCCCAGAATCAAAATGAAATTGCTCTTAGTGAAAGTCGCATGTCCTCACTGGCGAGGAAAGGCCCTATTCAAGTCTACTGTGCTAAATATTCCTATCGGCCATATGAACACTCACCCAATGACAATCCTGATGCGGAGCTACCACTCAACGCTGGAGACTACGTCCTGGTGCTGGGGGAGATGGATGAGGTGAGTGATGTACAGGTCCTGTAGGATGAGGTGTGTGATGTACAGGTCCTGTAGGATGAGGTGTGTGATGTACAGGTCCTGTAGGATGAGGTGTGTGATGTACAGGTCCTGTAGGATGAGATGTGTGATGTACAGGTCCTGTAGGATGAGGTGTGTGATGAGGTGTGTGATGTACAGGTCCTGTAGGATGAGGTGTGTGATGGTGAGATGTGTGATGTACAGGTCCTGTAGGATGAGGTGTGTGATGTACAGGTCCTGTAGGATGAGGTGTGTGATGTACAGGTCCTGTAGGACAAGGTGTGTGATGTACAGGTCCTGTAGGATGAGGTGTGTGATGTACAGGTCCTGTAGGATGAGGTGTGTGATGTACAGGTCCTGTAGGATGAGGTGTCCTGTAGGATGAGGTGTGTGATGTACACAGGTCCTGTAGGATGAGGTGTGTGATGTTCAGGTCCTGTAGGATGAGGTGTGTGATGTACAGGTCCTGTAGGACACAGGTAGGATTGTGATGTACAGGTCCTGTAGGACAAGGTGTGTGATGTACAGGTCCTGTAGGATGAGGTGTGTGATGTACAGGTCCTGTAGGACAAGGTGTGTGATGTACAGGTCCTGTAGGATGAGGTGTGTGATGTACAGGTCCTGTAGGATGAGGTGTGTGATGTACAGGTCCTGTAGGATGAGGTGTGTGATGTACAGGTCCTGTAGAATCAGTTGAAGCTAAGCCTGTAGGATGAGGTGTGTCGTGACCTCAGGATGAGGTGTGTGATGTACAGTTCCTGTAAGACAGTTCTTGGATGGGTGACCGTGTTTGGCAGCTTGACTCTTGAGATTTTCTAGGACTTAAGTCCTGCCACACAACAAAGCACATGTGATACATGTGGTCTCACCTTAGGCAAGTGAGTTTGTTCAAAACTTGCCTCTGTTCACCCAGCAGAAAATGGGTACCCAGTTGGATAAAGTCATGTGATTATAACCTTCTAGCGCCTAACAGGCAGCTTGTGTTATCCGGGGTAATAATAATCAGATTCTGGTTAAGCGCCATGAGCAATCACTTGGTGTTTGGAGACTGTGCGATATAGAAGATAACTTATTATTATTATTATTAATGTACAGTGCTTTTTGTACAAGGTTTGTGCATAGCAGAAACATGGAAGAGAACCTTTCTTCTGTGTAGTACTTTATTTGATAATTTGCAAATAGATCCATAATATTGTTATCATATGATCATGTGATTTAAGTTGCAATTCTTGTTTTTGGATACAAGTTAACAATCCTTTTTCTCTTCCAGGATGGGTTTTTTGAGGGTGAGCTAGTCGATGGACGACGGGGACTAGTTCCCTCAAACTTCATCGAGAAGGTGGCAGGTAGGACGGAAACGTGTTTTTACTGCTTTCACACTTTTTGATATCAATCCTCATTTCTAGACATAATAGTGTAGGGCTTAGAGCTTCATTTCGTTACTGGTTATGGCATCAGGTACAATATTCATCCACATAGCAATGCCTGCTTATGTTTCAATGTAGAGGGATTGTGAATGTTGAATATCTCAAGTAGTAATCTTTATGAATATAGGAACTATTTATGCATGCATAGTAGCTTTGTTCTCAAATACATAAGTACTGAATAGGTGGAATAGGGGAAAATTACACTTTAGAATAAACACATGTCATATTCTGTCAACCTATCAGAAATGCATTTTGATAATTTGTTATTTAAAAACAGATAGGGCTGTTTTTAGAGCTGTGACGATATATCGTAGTATCGATAATCGTGATACTTTTTCTGACAATAAATATATCGATGCTTTTTTCCGTATCGTGATATGTATCGTTGACCTTAAAATTGTGAATTTTCACCAGAAATTGACAGTTATGTCAAAATTTACACTGTTTCTTGTTATCAAAATACACTTTTTAAAGAAAATAACCAAAGATAGCATATCATGATATGCATCACATCGAAATCGTATCGTTCCATGATATCGTGATACGTATTGTATTGTGAAATTTCTGTATCGTCACACCTCTAGCTGTTTTAATTCTTCCAGTTTAAGTAATTTTGGGTATATTTTGATAGACAGCTTTTGAAAATATGTACAATATTACTTCATTAAAAAATCTTAACAGGATTTTATTGATGTTATTTTTATAAATACAATTTCTTCATATTCTATACATTTTTTATGGAATTTGGAATTTTTATCTCCATCCCATTACCAACCTACTTTCCTCTCTCCCACCTATCTTTTTCACCTCGACATATCGTAAATCAACTGTGGAAGTTATACCACTCAGTTTTTGCTAAGGACCAACAGAGTCCTGAGTCAAAGATGTGATCCTTTGCAAATGTTGAGTAAATTTTTTAGCTTGCAAATGCTATTGGCAGTTTTGAGATTTGATAGCAGTAGGCAGTTTATGACATTTGATAGCAATAGGCAGTTTATGACATTTGATAGTAATAGGCAGTTTATGACATTTGATAGCTCTGAATTCGTTCCAGCTTCATATGAGCTTCGTTGTTGCATGATTTATTTTGTCTCACAGAAGAAGATCTGTCGGACTTCCATGCTGCAATGGCTGTAGCTGGTCACCCCACTGATGATAGTAACGCCTCCAATATTCACCAGGAGTTAGAGTTTAACAGTAGCGATGAGATTGATAAGCTACGTTCTGATCTTACAGGTACTAGTCCCAAACATGATCAGCTAACGAATCAGGAAAAATATGATCATGCGATTACAAATCAGGAAAAATATGATCACGCGATTACAAATCAGGAAAAATATGATCACGTGATTACAAATCAGGAAAAGATGTAATCATGCGATTATATGCTACATATGATGAATAAAACAAATTTGACTGTTGATGAGACTGGTCATATACTGACCTGCAAAAGAAATGCAACTATACTATTTTGAAAACATACTGCTTGTAAAGAATGGAGTGGAAAGGAAATATACCGGTAGTTCATTTTTAGTTTCAATAGTCTTTTCAACCGTTTGGGCAAAATATATGTGGATGGAAGATATCTCGAATAATACACATCTTGTTGAAATTTGTGAAATGCTGTTTACATAATAACAACAATTTGTCCTTTGGGGTTATGAAGTAAGGTGCATTTCTTTTGGGGTTGAGTATTTTGTGAAAAATTATGAGGCACGGAGGATGTCTGATTTTTTTATGAATGTATTTTCAATTATGATAGGTGCAAGCTTTTGCATGTGCTTTGAACTTTCAAGATTAGATCACATGGTCTATCAGGAGACCTAGAGTAGAGATTTAGATTTTAGATATTTTACACAAAAACGTTATATGATTAAATTATATTTTTTATGCCTGCATTGACAGTAAGCTTTAATTTCATGCTTTTAAAAAGGGTGTGGTTTTCAGTACCTAAAGCAAACATCCATGCGGACTTGGGAATCGTTATACTTTATTTTTTTCTTGTTACATACATTGGTTTCTTGTTTGACGTTTATAAAGTATCTATAAATATTCCTAATTTTTGTAGTTCAGAAAAATATAGTTATAAGAGTGATTTTTCATATTGACAAATACAGAATAATGATTTCTGTTGTTCAAAATTTCCAGAGATATTAAAATCTATTATTTTGTTTGTTGGACTGCATTTGGAAATGATATCAAAAGAAAATGAATTATTTAATTTTGAATATTTTATATGAAACAATTATCTTCTCATTTATAATAAAATGTAATTCTACAAATATTTTTCAGCATATGAATTTAATTTTGGATCTTGCTAAAAGATATAAAAAAATAGATTGTTTATGTACGTATTTGTTTTTGCTACATCTGTGAATTTTGTTGAGCATGTGCTAATTTCCACCCAGAAGATGGGCGACGTCGCCTTGATGCCCATGGTGATCTCAGAAGTATGGACCAAGTAGACGAATCAAGTAATCCAGGTAACAAAGGTGGGCGTTGATGTGGCAGAATGAGTTGTCTTGTGTGTACATAATGCCGCACTAAATAATTGAGCAGCTATATGTAGGCAGTCTGTAAATAATTGAGTCAGGACCAGACAATCCAGTGATCAAAGATATGAGCATCAGTCAGTGCAGTTGGGATATGATGACATGTGTCAACCAAATCAGTGAGTCTGACCACCCGATCCCATTAGTCACCTCAATTGACAAGCATGGGTTACTGAAGACCAATTCTAACATGGATCTTCATCGGTCGCAGAATCAGACTTGTCTGAGAATATACATGATTATACTGAGCTACTAGAGTGAGTGAGTGAGTTGGATTTTACTCTGCTTTTAGCAATATTCCAGCAATATCACACCGAGGAAAACCAGAAATGGACTTCACACATTTTAGTTTTTACCCATGTGGGGAATCAAACCCAGGTGTGACGGGTAAACGCTTTAACCCCTGAGCCATTGCTTGTGTGCTTGTCAAGAGGCGACTAGCGGGATCGTGTGGCCATCTCGCTGACTTGGTTGACACATGTCAACGGTTCCCAATTGTGCAGATCGATGCTCATGCTGTTGATCACTGGATTGTCTGGTCCAGACTCGATTATTTACAGATCGCCACCATATAGCTGGAATATTGCTGAGTGTGGCGTAAAACTAAACTCACTCACTCATTGCTTTTTTTCTGAGATGAAAAGCGGACTTGACTGAGAGCATCATGGCTCATGAGCAGGCTCAGCGTTTGTGTTGCTGAAACCTGACGAGTTCCCTAGTTAAAAAGGCAGAAGTTTTAGAGATACCTGATGCCGAAGCTGGGGTTAAATGCGATTTGGGTAGGGACCGTAAACATACTGATGCATCATTACTAAAAATACGTCAGTCGTCACAGACTTGCTGTTATTTTAAATAACCTAACTCATCCAAGAAAAATATTTTATATCGTTGAATTCTAGGTTTTTGGACATTTTCACACAGCATTGCTTGTTTGGGCTGTAATGAGGTTGTGTCACACAGACATTGTTAATTTTTTAATCATGGCTTGCGTTTTTATTCAATATTCTTAATTAGTTTTATTTGTTTGAGTTGTTTTACAGTCGTTCGTGTGATTAGAGGGAAGGAATATTTCCTAAGTATTGTAAAACAACTATGAGGATAATTTATGAGAATTATTTGCATACTTTTGCCACCTGATAACATAGCCACACCTAATGTACTGTTCTATAATCAGGGATTTCAGGACACGAATTCCTGCATCCTATATGCATAAAAAATGACAATGGACGCAACAAAATATATTAGCACATCCACAGGGACTCAGAAAAAGTCTAAATACTTTTTGTAAAAATTCCTATCAAGTAACAATAAGTTATCACAGAGGTTGCTACTAGCTGGGTTATGGTATTATTTGCAATTTAATTACTGTAACAATGTGATGATCATGATACACACAATACAATAACTGTATTAATAATAATAATCAAGTGTCTGGAACCCCCATTTTGTTGTCCAGGACCCCTGAAAATTAAGAGTATGAGTCCCAGGGACCCTCAAATACAGGACTCCATGTAAATCCCTATATAATAGTCAGTTGTTTTATATTTTAGTGATTCCATTTCCACGGAACCTGTCCATTGATCGTCAACTGAGCAGTAGTGTCCTGCTGAGCTGGAAACCACCGGAGCATACGTCTGGCCTGGAGGTCTCATCATATCATATCTTCATTGACAAAGAATTCAAAACATCAGTGAGAGTCAGCGAGAGAACAAAGGCGCTAGTGGAAGGTGTTGATTCAAGAGATGTAAGATTTAGTGCTTGTGTTGTTCATTCAAAGTTTGTCTTGTTTACATTTCTGAATTTGGATGGAAATTGCTCTGACTGTCATATATGACAGGTTGATCATGTCAACTGTGATTTCTGTAAGTATAGAATTAAGGTGAAATTGAGATTTTTTAATGTCGTACTTTAGAATATATAGCTCATATGACGATGTGCATACGTGTGTATTAGTGGCTTGTACTAGCCCAGCTAGGTTTTATAGTGCTAGCTCACTCAGATACCATGAGGTAGTGAAGCATGAATACCCCACTCAGACACATTATACTGACTACTAGCCGACCAGTCCTTGTTGTACCCATTAATGCTGAGCACCAGGCAGGGACCAACAAGTACCATATTTTAACGTCTTTTGGTATGACGCGGTTGGGGATCGAACCCATGACCTTCCACTCTCCGGGCAGACGGTCTAACCACTACACCACGGAGGCGGTTTGTAAATATAGATGTTTGATGACATGTGTATGTGATGAGTACGCAACAGCTATGGTTTTAATGACAATATTGCTGTTGTAATGACTCCACAACATTTGCTATAATAGTATGCCTAATTTTTGGTTTGGTTTGTTGTTTTACCCGCACTCAGCATTATTCCAGCTATATGGCGGCAGTCTGTAAATTATCGAATCTGGACCAGACAATCCAGTGATCAGCAGCATGAGCAATCCACACAATTGGGATACGATAACATGTGTCAACCAAGTCAGCGAGCCTGACCTCCAGGACCTGTTAGTAATGAGAGTACAGCTGCGTTGATAACGCGGTATGGCTGTTCTAATGCCACTGAAACAGCCTTAGAATCAGCATAACGATAGTGGTTTTGTTTCCAGATTCATCGGATCTCGGTGCGATGTGTGTCTAACAAAGGCCAGTCAGCAGACGCACATTGTACAGTCCTAGTTGGCAAAGGTAAACAGGATACTATTTACATAAAACAACTTCTTGATCTTCAAAACATGCTGTTGATGTTCAGCATTTGTTTGGAACATGCATTGTCCATGCTGTAGTGAGTGAGTTTAGTTTTACGCCGCACTCAGCAATATTCCAGCTATATGGCGGCGGTCTGTAAATAATCAAGTCTGGACCAGACAATCCAGTGATCAACATCATGAGCATCGATCTGCGCAATTGGGAACTGATGACATGTGTCAACCAAGTCAGCGATCCTGACCTCCAGGACCTGTTAGCAGGGGAGACTCTATAAAGGGAGTGGTCACTCCTCGAGAAGCTCTAAGCTATGCCTCATTTCGTCAAGTGACCAGTGCAGCCAATATGGCGGCAGCGTAGTTTTAAAGATTGAGCCGGTTTATTTTCAACAGCTGATTACATACGCTGAGTGTTGTGACAACTGAAAACCTACATGTAGAAGATAAGTTACCTATTCTGTCACTTCATTTTAAGTCAAATACTTGTTATTAGTGTCAGTATAAGTACAGTAGCTTTGTAGTAAAGTTTCAAGTGGGCATGTTGTAGCTCACTGGCTTCAATTCTCAGTACACAGCGAAGAAAGACTAACTTATATCGCTAAAAACTTCTTTCACATATTCGTTTAAGTTTTAGAGGGGAAATATACCTTTTGTTAAAAGGTGTTTGCAAGTAATAGTGATATTTTTATAACTAAAAAAATTTGTTAGGGTGTATTTGAGGGTGTGTGAAAATATGACATATCGCCGATCTGCCATTGAAATACTACAGGGCGTTGTTTGAGTGTTTCTAGTTAGTGTTCAAAAACATCTTTCACATACACCTTCAATTTTTATGAGGGAATATACCATCAGGTGAAAGGTGTTTGCAAGTAATAGTGATAGTTTATAATTTAAAAAAATTGTTAGTGTGTATTTGAGGTGTCTAAGAAATATGACATATCGCCCGATCTGCCATTGAAATACTACAGGGCATTGTTTGAGTGTTTCTAGTTAGTGTTCAAAACATCTTTCACATACACCTTCAATTTTTATGAGGGAATATACCATCAGGTTAAAGGTGTTTGCAAGTAATAGTAATAGTTTTATAATTTAAAAAAAATGTTAGTGTGTATTTGAGGTGTGTGAAAATATGACATATCGCCCGATCTGCCATTGAAATACTACAGAGTTGTTTGAGTGTTTCTAGTTATTGTTCTAAAACATCTTTCACATATACCTTTAATTTTTTATGAGGGAATATACCATCAGGTGAAAGTTTTTGCAAGTAATAGTGATAGTTTTATTTCTTTTTTTGTTAGTAGTGTGTATTTGAGGTGTGTGAAAAATATGACCTATTGCCGATCTGTTCTGATCGCCATTGGTGCTTGTGATGCTTGAGTGTTATAGTTCTAAAACTTCTTTCTTTCTTGTTGATCTTAGTATTTGACAAAACTGGAAAGGTGTTTACAAGCTTTGTGATAGTTCTAAACTTTCTGTTCTTGAGGGGTCTGTGACAGTGTCAGTTAACATTCTGTTAATGCCCATGTCATTCCACACATGCAATAAGATATCTGAATTAGTTACTAATGTAAAAAAATGTCTCAAGTAGATTTTTATAAAAGGACAGCTGATGTTAACATGTGTTCTACCGATAGTTTTCGCGTTCTTTAACATGTTTGGGGAGGGATGGCCGTGGTGTATCATTTATTCTTTCATTCATTCACATATGTTCTTTTTCTTTTGTTCTTTTTCTTAATTTCTTTCATTCATTCACATAAAATTCTTGCTCTTAATTAATTCATTCATTCATTGTAAAATTCCGACCTATACAATACACTGGCTGAAGTACTGTTAAAAGCGCGGTCGAAGTTGCGCTTGGGAGCGAAACAAGTCACTGTGTGCGTTGGAGCATGGCCGAGGCACCGTTAATTAGTACAAATGGTAAAGAAAGCAAGGGAGTGACCTATCCCTGTTGTAGAGTATACCTGCTGTTAGTAATGAGGAGTACAGCAGCGTTGATATAGCGGTATGGCTGTTCTAATGCCACTGAAAGAGCCTTGAATCAGCATTAACGATAGTGGTTTTGTTTCCAGATTCATCGGATCTCGGTGCGATGTGTGTCTAACAAAGGCCAGTCAGCAGACGCACATTGTACAGTCCTAGTTGGCAAAGGTAACAGGATACTATTTACATAAAACAACTTCTTGATCTTCAAAACATGCTGTTGATGTTCAGCATTTGTTTGGAACATGCATTGTCCATGCTGTAGTGAGTGAGTTTAGTTTTACGCCGCACTCAGCAATATTCCAGCTATATGGCGGCGGTCTGTAAATAATCAAGTCTGGACCAGACAATCCAGTGATCAACATCATGAGCATCGATCTGCGCAATTGGGAACCGATGACATGTGTCAACCAAGTCAGCGATCCTGACCACCCGATCCCGTTAGTCGCCTTTTACGACAAGCATAGTCGCCTTTTATGACAAGCATGCGTTGCTGAAGACCTATTCTACCCCGGATCTTCACGGGTCTCCATGCTGTAGAGTAAAGTGATAGCATTCACAGAGATTCAGTAAAGTTGAGTACATTCATGTTAAGTATACTTTGGTGAAAATAAGAACATTTTGGTGATGTTTATTACATTTTGGTGAAGTTATATACATTTAGTATGGTGATGTTAACTAAATTTCAGGTGATGTTTATTACATTTTGGTGAAGTTATATACATTTAGTACATTTCGATGATGTTAAGTGTATGTGGTACGTGATTGTCAGGACCTGACAGTGTCCACAAGGTCATCAGGGAAGACTTCTACTTTAATCTCCTTTAGTTTATTATACAAATAAATATTGATTACTAAGTCAGCCATGTTTCTTGTAGATGCCACCCCAACACCCTCTGAGTTGAAAGTGTTTGACATCACTGCCAACTCTGCAACCGTTTCCTGGTTGCCTGGCAACAGCAACTACCAGCATTCCATAGCTGTGAATGGGAAGGAAGTCCGCGTCGTCAAACCCAGTGTTTGCAGACACACTCTTACAGGTATGTATGCCTGAATAGTGTTGGGAATTGTTTGAAATCTCATAATTGATGATTGGTTCAATACCAACGACCATTATTATTATTTCAATTAATTGGACCACCACTAGTATGTATGCCTGAATAGTGTATATGTAGCAGATAGTATTTATCCATTGATCTGAAACAAGATGGCCGCCTGCAAGGACGGGACATTATGGACTGTTTGATGATATAGGGTTAGCTCGGGCAGTAATGTGTTTATTCCTCCTCCAGGGCTGGCCCCTAATGCAGTACACAAGGTGACGGTACAAGCCAAGAGTCTGACGGCCACATACGAGGATGAGAAGAATCAAAAGAGGAAAGAGATGCTATCTGCCAGCATTGAGTTCAAAACAGTTGCTGGAGGTGAGCTACGAGTGCACATGATCTATAATTAATCAATTCCTTCTGTGCCCCACTTTGATGTGTTTCAGTATTATAGTATGACCAGAAATTATTGAGAATTTTAGGTATATGTTTAATTGGATTTCTAGTATAAACAACCTTGACTAGCTATCAAGTGCTTGGTTTCATTCAAGAGAGACAACTCCGTTAATCCTTTTTCATTTGTTTGTGAAGAGTAATCCCCCTTTGTTTACTTGCTAGCAGACGACGTTTTCAGTGATCCTCAGTATGGATGATTTAGAGAAGAGGAAGTTGATTTTAAAGTATTATAACAGGGAAATCAGATCAGCTAAAGTGATTTCAAGTAGAACAGGCATCCCTTTGTCCACTGTTTATCGTGTTTTGAAAAATATTGCAAATGGATATGGCATGGAGCACCAGGGAGGCGCAGGTAGGCCCAGAAAATTGATTGTCGGTGACAGGAGGCAGCTTGGTATTCTTGTTTCTAAAAACAAACGAAGGAGTTTAGAAAACTTAAGGCTGGATATGATTGATAGAGGAACTGTGGCTGTTTGTAAGGAGACAATTAGAACTGAGCTGCATGCAATGGGTTGGCAGAAAAGTCGAGGAATTCCATCACCGATCATGAAACCTGAACAAAAGGAGCGAAGGTTGAACTGGTGCTTACAGCATAGAAATTTTAACTGGGACAATGTGATTTTCTCAGATGAAAGTTTTGTGTGGCTGTTTCATAATACACTGAAATTCTGGACCAAACAAACTTAAAAACCTTTGTATCAGCCCAAAGTACAGTCCGAAATTTAGCGTGTGGGGGCAACGCCTCTGTGTATTTGAAGGGAATATGAACAGTGAGCGGTACACAGATATTCTCGAGGGACATTTACTTCCATCTGCTCACGTGTTCTATGGAAATTATTGGATTTTCCAGCAGGACAACGACCCAAAACATCGTTCAAAGCATTCACAGGCCATTTCGGACCCAAAATATGACATTATTAGATTGGCCAAGCTATAGCCCTGACCTAAATCCAATAGAAAATGTTTGGGGACTTATGAAGGAAAGTGTCAATAAGAAAAATCTGACAAATATTGCTGAAATGAAAGAAGACGTGGTCCGATATTGGGACAGCATGGACCACGACTTTCTAACTTCTTTGATCAGTAGTATGCCCTGCCGCATTGAAGCCTGCATTGCTGCCCATGGTGACTTGACAAAATACTAACTGTTCACCTGTCTTTTAATCTGGAGTTATGTTCTGCTTATATTCACATTTAATACGTGAGTACTGAGTGAAAAAAATATAAAAAATTACAATCTTTAAATTCTCAATAATTTCTGGTTGTACTGTAATAAAACAAACTCGAAAAGTCAGTTATGAGCATATTGTAGAAGCAAATATGTCACAGAAGAGTTACCTACCTTGATGACTCTTCCTTTTAGTTATCTCCCTTTCATGTATCTTTTCAACAGCAACTGTCTATGCAAAACTTTCAAACTTGGGTATGTTTCTCAGGAAGCTGAGAATGCAGTTTCAATGCATTGTTACACTTGAGGCCCAACAATGGTGGAAGGTTAGCCTTGTGGTTAAAGTGTTTGCTTGTCATGCCTCTGACTCGGGTTTGATTCCCGACCTGGGTACTTTGTCTGAAGGCCATCTTTGCTGTTGGAATATTGCTAAAAGTGGAGTCAAACCGTCATCAATCACTTGCATTTGGTTTTAAGACTTTATGAATGTGTTTTTTCATTGCCCTTGTTTTGTCTATGTCAATGCAAACTTAAATACTGACATCGTACAGTGTTTCATGTTGTGTGTGGGTAACACAATGGAAGTATACATAACCTCACCCTCCTAATGTCTGCACGTCTTACCCCCAGGGCTTCCGGACCCACCCCTCAATGTTCAAGTGGAGGCAGGTCCCCAGGAAGGCACCCTGCTCCTAACATGGCTGCCGGTTACCATCAACACTTCCGGCTTCTCTAACGGTGCTGTTGTCATGGGATACGTTGTGTATGCCGATGGTCACAAGGCTAAGGAAGCCAAGGGACCAACAAGTGAGTTGTGGGATTCCGTTATGGTGTGCTTTGTTGTAGACCATGCTCGGCCCTTACATGGTTTAACCCGTAAAGATCTGGGTTAGAGTTCGTCTTCAGTAACCCATGCTTGTAGTTAGAAGCTAGGAAGACGGGATCAGGTGGTTAGGCTGGATTTGAAAGTACTGAATGCTGATCGTTGTTAACATGTCATCAATTATCCCAATTGTATAGATCAATGCTTATGATTTTGATCACTGGATTGTTTGGTCCAGTCTCAATTATATACAGACAGTCGCCATACAGCTGGAATATTGCTGAGTGCAGTGTTAAACAATAAAACAATTAATAATAAGTGTTTTTGTATAGCACCTTATATCCAATCACCAATTGCTTGCTCATGAGCTGAATAAACAAACAAACAAAACCTGATCATGTGTCCAGTGTTTCACCAAAGTTGTAAAGGTCTAAGACCTCATGGGTCTGTTGTTCAAGGTCTGTTGTTCAAGATCTGTTTATCACTTCCAGATGACCACATTGTGCTTGGTGCTGAAGATTTCAAGGGCTTTATACCAAAACAGCTGACAGTCCGAACTTTGACCGTTGATCGGAAAGAGTCTGCAGATTCCAGTGTTGTTCGCCTTCCTCATAATTTAATCAAAGAAGTCACCGCGAGGGCTGCCAAAAATGTCGCCAGTGAAGTGATGTCAAGGTCATCCCATACGCACAGGGTAAGCTTTTAGGAGAAGCATGCAACTGACGTCTATGTCAGGTCATCAGGGGCGGTGGGGTAGCCTAATGGTTAAAGCGTCCGCTTGTCACGCTGCAGACCTGGGTTCGACTACCACTTTTATTCGTAAGTTTAACAAGGTCCTGTGGAATTTGTTTGGAGTTTAACAATCCTGAATTATGAAATATGTTTTCAGGTTATGGAATGCATGAATTTTTTAGAACAATGATTTACATCTTGTGTTTAAAAATGCCTCAAAGCCTGTTTAGTCCAACCAACTTAAAAAAATTGAAATGTTAAAAAATTAAAGCCCAGAATAATAATCATAATTTTTAGAATATTTAATTAAATATGTTGGAAATTTATCTTAAAAGTTAAATCAAAATCAATTAATTTTGGTTAATTATGAAGGGAAACAAGAATCAATGAATTTGAATGCGGAGGAATATGAGCAGTTTCAGACCTAGAGATATGAATTGTTTTCTCATAAAACTCATACACCTCCGAAGAAAATGATATTGCCTTGTGGGATTGTGCACAATACACACATTAGGTAGTTGAATGAATTTGCACTTTTAGAGGTTTTGCGGTAAAATGGTTTTTTACTGTTAGAAATCTTTGAATTCTTCAAGCATGTTCTTTTTTTAAATGCAAGGATAATCTTTGAATATCACAAGTAAAAGTTATCTATCAATTTTGTTAACAGCGTAGAAAAATGACCCCATATCACAGAAGGTTTCATGTAAGTGTGTCTACTTCGAATCACAACTCAGAGGATCGGGGAAATAGTATCAAAATCTATTTTAGGCATGCGTAAATGGGAGATGATGGAAATCAAATTCCATGTGTACTTCAAATAATAATACATGTATTTAATGGTCTGGTTGATTAGTCTCAGGCCAAAAAATTAATTGTTTGTGTTGACGCATTTATTTGTGGGCTGAGTTGTGATATATTATTTGATATTTTTTAAAATATTTGAATCATCTTTGTATTCCTGCCCCAAACTTGAAGATTATTTGACCCTTAAGTTTGGATCATATTCTTTCAGTGTTGGTTCATGCCCAACTTTCAAAAATATTATATTTATATTTCACCCTTTTTAATTAAATTATTCAATTTACAAAATGCTTTTTTTCAGGATTTAACCCATATTATTATACCCATATTAGAGTGCTAGGCCAAGGAAGTTTAAGTTTATGAAGTCAAACATTTATATCATCTTAGTTGTATTTTCATGCCGTAATCTATTAATTATTTCACATTTAAAGAATAGTAATTCTTTTTGTTTTAGATAATTATTGTTTATTTTTAAATATATCCAATAGAAAATTGCATTGTTTAATTAAATGAAAAAATAATAATACATTAAGGAAAAAATAGTTTTCATCTCCAGATTTCATATTGAGAATTTAAAAAAACAATATGAACAGATAAAATGGGATCTTTCAACCATTTCCATAAATTAATCTGTCTGAAATTCCATCAAGTAGGTTATATATTTCTGTTGATTTTTATAGACATTTTAATGGATTAGATAAGGAATCATTTCCATATAAAAAATACCCGTCCATCTGTTTCTATGTTTTTGATATACCCTTGGCCTAGCACAGTAGATACTGATGGTTTGGGGTTCTTTTAATCTATATCCGCACGTTCTCCTTTTCTGAAGAGCTCCAAGTCCCCAACAGGAAATAGTGAGAATGCTGGGAATGATACTGATGAGGAGATTGAGGCTGCGTTTCGGGAAGCGCAGGAAGCTGGCGAGCAGCTGTCAATGGTGGGTTACGTGGGAGAGCATTCTGACCAATCAGAAACAAGTATACATTCTCTGCTTCCGATGTGGAAACTTTCAAAATTTCATCAGTGCATGCGTCACAAATAATTTGAATTTAAATGACTAAATGATTTCTTCTTAACTCAAATCTGTGAAAAACAAAGGTAATTCAATTAAGTGTGATCTAACAATTGTATATTGTTGTCATGGAAACTGAATCAAGTGCAGATGGTGGAAGTGCAGTAAAATCATGGGTGATGGATGCCTTGTTGTCATGGTAACCACGCGATAATAATCAAGCACGAACCCCTGTAACATGTCATATGGTGTGAATTCGGATAGCGCTCTCTCTCCGTCTAATGTCGGAATGGCTACATATTGTCCTTGTCAATGTCCATGTCCATCAAAGGTCCCAATCAAGTGCCTCGGTCTTTCCTCTCCGTAATCCTTGTCTAGTTAGAGCCAGAATTAACCCTCTGTAAGTCAAGTATACATAATTTTAGTGTTAACCCAACTTGTAACTCTTAATCCCACATTCTTTACCTATACTAACAATTCTCTATATAGTTTTCTTTGAAATTTCCTTATTTTATTTCTTATATATTTTTTATGCATGACCTTAATTTTTATTTGCCAGCATGGAAGTTTGTTTTTTACATTCGCATGCTGAGATCAATTCGTTTGTGCATGGTCTGGTTGTTTTGGCTTCACAATTATATTTTTATTGTTTTTATTGATTTATGTATTCAATAAATTTTATTAACGCAGAGTCCAGAAAATTCAAATTACGCGGACCCGTACATTGAAAGTAGCAGCTCTGAGCTCTCTGATATTCCTGAAGTGGAAGAGGATTTGATTGGTGCAGAGGAGACCAATCAGAACGCAGATGTCTCAGGACATTCCCTCTCATTGGTTGCTCCCTATGCTCAAGCAACCAATCAGGTTAGACTTCAGTTGATTGCGAAGTGGGATCTTCAGGTTGAATTAAGAGTCGTCAATAATTATCTCCCTTGTCTCATCACTTTTTGCATGCCTGATTTCAAATTGTCAGCAAAACTATGTTTTTTTATGCAAATGTTTGATTTCTTGAAGTGTTTAGTTTTGAATCTTTTCCAGTATAGTTTTAATTTTTTAGAAAATATTAGTACTCTAAACTATAGTTACTATGCCTATCATTCATTGTACATCAGAAATATTATGTTAATCATTATCATAATACCAGTATTAACAATACTACAACCCTTAGCACAGAACCATGTTATCTCAAAAGACCTTGATTCTTTTCTACTTTTTCAAGGGGATTTTCAAATTTGACTTTGGACATGAAATTTCAAAGCTTTTTTTAATGTTTCACTTTTGAACTTTCATTTTGGTTATATATTTAAAAAATAAGATTATGACCAAAATCACTCTGAAAAAGAGGAAATAATTGAAGATCTTTTGACACAGTCCCCACAATTAATCAGATATCTGCTAAAAAATATGAACTTTGCAAATAAAATATCAAAGAAGAGCTTTAATAATCACTATAACAATTACATTGGCTTGCTTTTCTAACATTGGATTTTTAGGGAAATTATCAAAATCCAATTTTTTCAAATTCTAACCAAAGCTCTCTGAAATGACAAAATTTGAAAGTGTTTTTTCTTTAAATAATAGTTAGAAAAAAATACTTTCAAGTCCACTGTCAGATCATTCTACACAAAATATTGATTTTTTTTAGCATAGTAAATGTACATGTGTTCCAGGGACGACGAAAGATGTCATGTGACTTTTATATGTTGTAAGAATAATTAATCATTTCTTTGAATGTAAATAACTTTAGGTGGACGAGAGAAAATCTCCGAAGCCAGCACCAAGGAAGGTTGGAATTGTTGGATCATCGCCAAACAGTGATCCCTCGTTTCAGAGGGAGGATCCCCCTGGGAGCGATAAAGTGTTGCCCGCACAGCGGAAAATACCGGCTATAGGTAATCATAAAGTCACATTTATACATCCTGAAATACTTACCTGGGAAAATAGGTAATGAAATATTTGTCAGGAATATGTCCACCTTTGGTAATGACAGATTTTGTGGTATCTGTTGGGTCAGAGGTTTCAGGACCATGTGTCTTATTTATATTTTGTGCACTTATCCTAAATCATTTGTCGTTCTTATTTGAACCCAAATAGACTATAGTACTAAAGAGGGCCAACTTGCAATGAGCAATTTTACCACTTAGATCATCATCATTAATAAAAGGGAAGAAACCAGCTATAATTTACTGCCAGGAACATCACATTTGCAGATCATCACATACTTTATTCCCAGGAATATGAATCATCACATACTGTATTGCGAATCATCGGAATATGCACATATTTTATAGCCAGAAATATGAATCATCAATATGCCAAATATGAATCATCACATATTTTATTGCCAGGAATATGAATCATCACATATTTTATTGCCAGGAATATGAATCATCACATATTTTATTGCCAGGAATATGAATCATCACATACTGTTGCCAGGAATATGCCAGGAATATGAATCATCACATACTGTATTGCCAGGAATATGAATCATCACATACTGTATTGCCAGGAATATGAATCATCACATACTTTATTGCCAGGAATATGAATCATCACATACTGTCATCACAATGCAGGAATATGAATCATCACATACTGTATTGCAGGAATATGAATCATCACATATTTTATTGCCAGAATATGAATCATCACATACTTTATTGCCAGGAATATGAATATTGTCATCACATATTTATTGCAGGAATATGAATCATCACATACTTATTGCCAGGAATATGAATCATCACATATTTTATTGTCAGGAATATGAATATTTTATTGCAGGATATGAATCATCATTGCCAGGAATATGAATCATCACATACTTTATTGCCAGGAATATGAATCATCACATACTTATTGCCAGGAATATGAATCATCACATACTTTATTGCCAGGAATATGAATCATCACATACTTTATTGCCAGGAATATGAATCATCACATACTGTATTGCCAGGAATATGAATCATCACATACTGTATTGCCAGGAATATGAATCATCACATACTGTATTGCCAGGAATATGAATCATCACATACTTTATTGCCAGGAATATGAATCATCACATACTTTATTGCCAGGAATATGAATCATCACATACTTTATTGCCAGGAATATGAATCATCACATATTTATTGCCAGGAATATGAATCATCACATACTTTATTGCCAGGAATATGAATCATCGCATACTTTATTGCCAGGAATATGAATCATCGCATACTTTATTGCCAGGAATATTAATCAACCAGTGCATTAATATTTTACCTGGAATACCCTCCCAATGTACTTCAAGATGATACATGCTATGTCTATATGCTAATGAGTTATGCATGTTTAAGATAGTATGATGTTAGACCGCCAACAATTAAATTTCATGTCTTACAGAGTTTCTTGGTCATGAAGCCAAGAAGCAGGAATGGCAAACATGCTTCATTTGTTAGATGATAAAATATGTTGTGTGTCCATATTGATAATAGCACAACAATTATGTTGGTCTTCAGAAATCACCCGTGATAGCAGTACGGAAAGGGGAACATCATTTGAAGATGATTCTGAAAATATTCCAAAGCGGAGCTCCTCGTTTGATCCATCGGAGAAGTCTGAGACTTCTCGGAACACTCCGCCTGTGGTGTCAAGGAGGAGGGCGTCTCCAGGTCAGAACTTCAATGTTGATGCCGACAAAAAGGATTTCCACGATCGCAAAATGACCACACCTACTTCTGCTGACTTTGACAGATCACGTGATCATGGGTCACCGAGAGGTCAAACTCCGATCAAGTCAAGGCGAATAAGTCCACAAAGTCCCAGCTTCAGAGAAAACAGGAGTACGCCCAATGAAAATGGCCATGGCCATGACCTTGACTTTGATGAGAATGGAGATGTGGACTCAATTTCAGGGGAGATAAATCCTCCGGTGGATGACAACACGATACGACTGTTTATTGCTTTGTTTGATTATGATCCCCATGTGATGTCACCAAATATGGATGGTGCTGATGAAGAACTACCCTTCCGTGAAGGTCAAATAATTAAGGTATGTTCATCAAGGAATTTGTCGTTTTAAACTAACTTCCCTAGGGAACAGTTGGTTATGAACAGCAGTACAGTAAAATGCATCTTTGCAGATGACATCATTGTTATCCATTATGTCATTATGTCACAGTCAAATGATGTCACTTATCTCTTCGCAATTGAAACTGGTAAGTTCTACGTTTCATTCTCTGGGCAGTGGTAGTTCCTCGGTTGATGCCTGCCATTGTATCTGAATTGCATTGATTGATGGTCATGATTATTTGTCTGGTCATGATGGGAATATTGTACTAATTACTATCCCAGGAAGATCCGGGTTAGAGTTGGTCTTCAGCAACCCATCCTGGTCATAAGAGGTGACTAATGGGATCGTGTGATCAGGCTCGCTGACTGGGTTGAAACGTGTCATCGGTTCCCAATTAGCGGTTAGAGTTGGTCTTCAGCAACCCATGCTTGTCATAAGAGAGAACTAACGGGATGCGTGTGATCAGGCTCGCTGACTGGGTTGACACCTGTCATCGTTTCCCAATTGCGGTTAGAGTTGGTCTTCAGCAACCCATCCTGGTCATAAGAGGTGACTAATGGGATCGTGTGATCAGGCTCGCTGACTGGGTTGAAACGTGTCATCGGTTACCTATTGCATAGATTGATGCTCCTGTTGTTGATCACTGGATTGTCTGGTCTAGACTCGATTATTTACAGACCTCCGCCATATAGCTGGAATATTGCTGAGTGAGGCATGAAACTACATACCAACCATCATATTCATGAATATTCATGAGTGCAGTAATGAAAATGAATGAACAAACAAAACTCTTGAAACCCACATGATGTGTGCCGGCTGCCTGGTGTACTTCTTCTGCGTGGTTGTGAAGTATGAAGTTCTCTTTATGATTTTGTTCAATATAGATATATGGTGAGAAGGATGCAGATGGGTTCTATCGGGGCGAGTGCAATGGCCACTTGGGTTATGTCCCTTGCAACATGGTGTCTGAAATCCACATAGATGATCCTGAACTCATTGACCAGCTGCTCAAGGAAAGTCAAGGAAATCCAGTCAACAAGTCGCAGTTGCCTCAAGGTAGGTGTCTGCTTTAGGTTGACCTTCACAGTCCTGGATCATGATCTTAGGCCAGACCAATTTTATTTCTTGTTTTACGGATTTTTGTCCTCAGAAAACCTTAAGGCACGAGGGGAAAAAAATAAAAATTAATAAATGCTAAAAGTATTTTACTTTTGGCAATTTATGAAGTGTATGGGTCAAAACACAATATAAAAAAAACTTTTCTTGTAAATTTACAATTTTGACCAATAAAACATTAGGATTTTATTTTTTGAACAGGGAAAATGAACTTTTATTTTTTTTCTTATTCTTGAAAAAATACGACCAGTGGATCCTTAAAACAGGAATAAAATTGGTCTGGCCTTACCTAACATTTTCAAAATGGTGAACCACCACCAGAATCTTTGAAGTAGAGGCAAGGCTGGGTATAGGGGTCCCGTCTATCCCGAAATCTCTACAGGAGAGAGTCATTGGGCTGTGGGGACCATTGATCCCAGGAACTGCTGCTTGAAACCATCACTGACTATTGGAACACACAGGAAAGTCATTGTGGTTGTGTCGCTAGTCTGTCTCACAGTCCCTGAACCACATTATTGTCTCTTCTCCCAAGCCTTTTTCTGCAATGCAAAAGCTCTAAATAAAGCAAGTCTAAATCTGAATCTCCTAGGTCACTGAGGCTCCTTGCCAGTATAAATGGAGTTATTTGTTTGTACCAGAAGTATAGTGTTCTTTTTGTTCCTTGGATTCTCCCCAAAAGACAAGCAGTGGGTTGTGGGGATGTTTTCAGCATCAGAATCCCAAAGGGGAGACAAGTATGAGCGCTTTGGACTCCAATTTTCCTCCAATTGTTATCATGTATTCTCTAATGATAACTCCCTGTTTGTTGTTCATGTTCCTGTTTGTGGATAATTTCTTTGGTTATGATGACAAATGCTTCAGGTATCACTGATATTATTGTCACTGACTCATGAGAAGGTTCTTTCAAACTCATTCCCTCTGGAAGATTTGTGTCCATGCTTCTCCCTGTGTGAAGATCTCAGTGAGAACTGTTTGGGTTAGAGGTGATCGAGGTGAGGTGAAATTGGGTTAAACGTCGTTGCTTGAGAATATTTATCAGCTTCATATGACGAATGTATGCATGTGTATATGTATGTGCGGCTGCTTGTACTAGCCCAGACTTAAGCTGGTTTTATAGTGCTAGCTCACTGAGATACCATGCCGCAGTGAAGCATGAATACCCCACTCAGACACATTATACTGACTCCAAACCCGACCAGTCCTTGTTGTACCTATTAATGCCAAAGCCAGGCAGGGACCAACAAGTACCATATTTTAACGCTCTTTTGGTTTGACGCTGTCGGGATCGAATCCGGCGACCTTCCGCCGCTCGAGTAGCGGACGCTCTAACCACTACACCACGGAGGCGGTCATTGGGTTAGAACGGGTCACAAGCAGCTCATCCTTAAAATAAGAGGATTGGTCAGACTGAGTGACTTGCAATCGGTTAATGCATGCCATTGTATCTCAGTTATAGATCAATGCCGTGACATCGGTTATTGGATTGTCTGGTCCAGACTTGATTATATACTGCTGTCATATAGCTGGAATATTGCGGAGCATGGTGTTTCACAACAAACAATAGCACAATGTTTGCTAGTGAGTATTGATGCAGAATGATGAAGAATCAATTTTCACTTTTCCATTTACTTCTCAGAGCTCCAGATAAGATTTAGCTCATGTGGGTACTGTACCCACTGTATATTTTTGGAGTGGGTATTATGAATGTTGAGTGGGTATTTCATTTTCCGTTACCCACTGCTTTCAAATATGTGCGTATTTCAGTCATTTTACTCACCTAAGTATATGTCATTGAGTAAGTTTACTAAGCAGGTATGTTCTGCCTTATGTCATACCTAATCAAAACCAACTTAAATATAATGGAAATGATTTCATAAAAAATCACTCATCCTATACTGACAGTACAACACTTGTCCTATACTAACAGTACAACTTGATAGCTATCGATGTCTTTTTCATTACGCAAGCGATTTTTATAAATATATTCCGTACGCATTTGTTTTAAACTTTTTGCGTATCTAACATTTTAAATGCGTAATTGGTACGCAACAATTATTTTTTCAATGCGTAATTGGAACTTTTCTATGCGTACTTTACCCGAATACGCAGCTTATCTGGGCCTCTGCTTCTTCTTTTGACAGACAAAGATTATCATCCGAAGTTAATGACCTCAACTCATCGGACACTTAACGGCATTCCCCGATCCTGCCAGACGAAGTCGGCAGGAGGATGATCGCTGTGTATGACTACGACCCTCAGGAGTTGTCACCTAATGTGGATTCAGAGGTAACATGATGACAAGAGACACATCCAAGAATGTTGCATGTTGGGTAGTCTTCACATTCTTTGACAAAATACTTGTGAGTTGGAGTAGATAGCACTCCCTGGGACAAGGAATGTTTGCTGGGGACAGGTACCCTGAGCTGTTGATGCTCCCAAAGAGCCTGACTGTGACACTCGAACTTCTGCGTTTTCATTTTTATCTGTAAATAGTAACAATGATATTGTCAGGTTATATGTTTTCTGACACCGGTATTTGCTCTGTGTTGTTACCTGTGAAGATCCGGGTTAGAATTGATCTTCAGTAGCCCATGCTTGTCGTAAGAGGCGACTAACAGGATCACTGGATTGTCTGGTACAGACTCGATTATTTACAGACCGCTGTCATATAGTTAGAATATTGCTGAGTGTGGTGTTAAACAACAAACCAACCAACCAATACACAATAATGAATCAACTATATTTCAGATAAGCTGGAATATTGCTGAGTGCGGCATAAAAGTCAACTCACTCACTCACCCAGACATTGTTAATATTCGGATGATGACTTGTGTTCAAGATAGAGTTGTCGTTAATAAGTTAGTGACATGTCTTGCATTTGTTGATGCGATAATCAAGAAAATAACAAACGATTTAAGTGTCCGAAAACCCATAACAGGATAATAATACCAACAGCAATGGACATATGACATGCACCCGATCTACCCATTATTACATGCTTGTAGCACACAAAAGTTAGCAGCAGATGCACAGTTTAGTACCAAATTGTAAGAAAAAGCAATTGCATTTCATCATGAATACAGAATACACATACAAATTCTACCTGACTCTTCATTCCAGCTCGAACTGACCTTCAAAGCTGGAGACATCATAACCGTCTACGGTGAAATGGACGAGGATGGGTTCTTTCGGGGTGAAATGAACAACCGTCGTGGATTTGTGCCGTCCAACTTCTTGCAAGAGGCCACAGGACCACTCTCGGATGATGAAGCCCTGGAAAGCGCCAGCATGGTGTCACCGTCTAGGTCAGGCGAGAGTATTAGCGCGCTGTCTCGGAACTCAGACGGAATCGCAAATGTAGGTGCCTCGTATGCAGACATGCATGTGGATACCCTTTTTGGATCTGACAGTGCTGGTAAACTGCTTGCTACGTAGAACTGCACGTGTTTCCGTTTCATTTGGGTGGCCATTCTACAGCTGATTTCTGTTGCAGTTTTCCTAATCTCTTTTGAGTTTGAATTTGTTGATTTGTAAAAGCAGAGGGGATATTATTTTTTGTCAAATTTTGAATTAATTCTTTTTTTTCTAGAATCATTCTTCATATATTTATACTACTCAAATCAAGTTTGGGACAACTCAATTCTATCATCTTGCTATAGCTGACTTGTGATACTATACAATTATAGACTGGCGATGAGGTCAATACCTGTTTTTATGGACCTGCGAAAAGCAATATTGACCGAGGACCGAATTCCCCAGTCCCCAAAGCTTCTAAAAACCAAAACATGTCCATTTAGTCAAGAAAAGTAATTTTGTTTTCGCTACAAACCAATAACTTTATGTCAACAATACTGTGACATGTAAACAATAGAATGACATCATAGCTTGACGTCAAAATCTATTTTTAGTAACTGAAGTCAATATGACTTTTGGTCAGACCTGGGTTGGAGTCAATATGCTTTTCTGTCGACGGTCACGTGACCGCCTCTAGACCAATCAGGTAGCCGGAAAAATATGCTTACAAAGTAAAAGGGGTTATTGGCTATAGTTATATGAAAGAATCAGGTGTTCCTTTATTCTTTTGAGTAGCATACATTTAACTGGGACTGATAGTGTTTTCCTTAGTGGAGGATAATGAAGACTATATTTTTTCTACTTTATACGTCAAATTTGTTTCCTTGTCTTTTCAATTATTAATGTTAGGAATCATTTTTTTACAAAAATTTAAGTGTGTGTTGAAAGGTTTTAGTCAATAAGGAATAACTACTACATGCATGTTTTTATTGTGTAGAAATATTAATTCTTCAACTTGGAATTCTGTTTCTTTAAGTTAGAAAAATTGCATCGTCACCAGATCAGTAGTTATCACATTACAGGCACTTCTTGTCGGTGATCTTAACATAAGGCAGTGTTCCATTTAGAAATCAGGCTGTGAAATAATAACTTTGTGCCTTAAGCATTTAGACTTTCATTTAAATATTATGCTAAGATCCAAGATGCAAAATAACCCATGAGGTTTTTCTTTAACTAATCACTCATAGCAGAACAACTTTGAGCCTTCGCAAATGTTTACATCATCTTACGATGATTTTAGAGGTAAAGCAAGTTCTCTCATCCTCAAAGTTTCCACAAGAAATCTCCCTGCAGAAATCACAAACATATGCACAAGCAACTCAATCACCAAATATATATATATATATAAATAGAAGATACTTAACAGCAGGAAGTTTACTAAGTTTACTGTTATTTTGTTATGAATATGACTTTTTTTTTGCATGACTAGAAATAATAGGTACAAAATCAAGGTTGTCTTTCTTTCAGGTACCAAAATGTATCACTTATAGAAATATTTCCTTTTCTAGGTACAGTTGATATAATGTATATATACACTCTGCATCAAGATGCAAAATATATTGCTATATGTTTCTCACTTGTATTAATAATATCTTATTCTGAGGTTGATTGGTTTGATTCCATTGAATTTCAACTTGAAAAATATATATATTTTTTGTAGATTTCATTTTCTTATAGCTTATAAAAGTTATATTCAATAATAATGCATGTAAAGGTTTTATTTACTTCGCTGTGAAAATATTTCTATGCAATGCTAAATTGTTTGATATTTCTCTGTTTGAACAGTTTTTGATCTCGAAAATTAGCAGTGCTTTATCATCTAGATTTGGGAAATTCTAGGTAAAAATGTTAATCTAGCTTGTGATTATGAAAAGCACTAGCACAGTTTTTCATATCTAAATATTGTACACTTGATATTCTTTTCACAGTTTTATATACTTCTTGGATTTTCTGAATTTTTAATTAGATTGAATGTATTCAAGTTATGTTTTTTTTATTCAACTTATGTTGAAATAGGAGGTACAATTTCAATATTATATGCATGGCCGCATGTTTTATATAGAATTTATGAAGGATTTTTTAGAGATAATAGTATTAGATGCAATCAGAAATATTGTTGGAAAAGTGCAGATTTTGCTTGGAGCCATTTTTGTCCTGATTGGAGCTGAATGTTTTACAGAAAAGCAACATTGTGATATTTAAATATGAGCCAAATTATACAAGTCAAGGAATCTCTCTCCCTCTCTCTCTCTCCCTCCCACGCTCCCTCTTTGTCTGCCTGTCTCTCTCCCTCCTTCCCACTCTCAATCTCTCTGTCTCTCTCCCTCTCCCTCGCTCCCCCTCTTTTCTCTCTGGAGCGGTGGGGTAGCCTTGTGGTTAAAGCGTCGGCTTGTCACCCAGAAGACCTGGGTTCGATTCTCCACATGAGTACAATGTATGAAGCCCATTTCTTGTGTCCCCAACCGTGATATTGCTGGAATATTGCTAAAAGCGGTGTTAAACCATACTCTCACTCACTCACTCACTCTTTCCTCTCTCTCTCTCTCTCTCTCTCCATCCCTCTCTCTTTTCTCTTCTCTCTCCCATCTTTCTTTCTCTCCCTGTCTCTCCCTCTCTCTCCATCCCTTTCTCTCTCTCTTTCTCTCTCTCTCCCAACTTCCCTCTCTCTCCCTCTTTCTTTTTTGGAAGACAATCACCTATGCAAAACTATTTTTATTTATTTCTAGTCAGTTTGTCTGATAAAAATACCCTTCAAAGCCAGCTTTTATTTAAATTACATAGGTTATTGTCAATCAGTAAGCAGTGAAATGGTAAAATCTCATATAATATCAAATATACATTAGGGTCCACAACAATGCCATATGTGAATATATGATATACTAAAACTAGCCGCACAATTTTCCAGGGCGGTGGGGTAGCCTAGTGGTTGAAGCGTTCGCTCGTCACGCCGAAGACCTGGGTTTGATTCCCCACATGGGTACAGTGTGTGAAGCCCATTTCTGGTGTCCCCTGTCGTGATATTGCTGAAATATTGCTAAAAGCGGCGTAAAACTAAAACTCACTCACAATTTTCCACCTGGTTAGTGAATACGACCATATGTTTTAGCAATAACATTCATAAACCAAATGGTAAAAAATCTGGCCTAATTTGCATATCAATATAGTAAAATAGTCACATTTTAATATCTTTTTAAATTTAATTTATTTTATATAATAGATTTAAATTAGAAATCACAGACTACATGCATGTAGATAGCTATTGAGGTTGTTTCATCCTGAATGCTTTTTAACATTTTTCTATATTCTACCAATATTTTTTTTTTAAATTTTGAAATAAAAATAAGTTCTCCACTGCTGCGGAAGTAAGTATTTGAAAATGTTTGCTGTGATGTAGCACTGCACCGTCTGTGTTCCCTGGCATGGTCTGTTTGAGCACCTTCATGTTTCCTGACATGTTTTGCCTTTTTAAATGAAAATAACGTGTTTGTGTTTCGAAGTGCCACTGTTTGGTGTTGTGGTCCAAAACATTGGTCCATTCATTTTTTGTTGTACTCGTGTCCGTTCCTGGATTTTATTACAGTGATTTTAAGAAATTTCTAGAATGAGGTTATCAGTTTATTCACAAACTTCCTTGCTACCAGTTCTGAACAAACTATTTTTATTTTATCGGGGATCGGATAGAGTACAAATGTTACACAGTGGCACTTCACATTTATCCATATATTTTTAAAATATGTTATGCTTGTTTTGAGTTCTTCATCCAGTATGGATATGTAAACATGGTTCAAAACCTATTCTGGTTTCTATTATCTTAACTTTGATAATTATTTCTGCGAATGGCTTAATTATATTTTTGTGAAGTTTAACAATGATGCCCTTTCTCTTGGATGCTCATCTTTTAGAAGTAAAATATAAGACTTCAACCAGATAGCCATTCTCAGTTATAATCTGTAACAGTTTCTGTTTGGAATATAAAGAAGTGTAAATTATTTGGACTGAAAAGCAGAGATAACACTATGTGTGCAAAAAATGGGTCCTGCCCTAACGATAGCACCTGTGACCACCCGTGACCACCCAGAGTTTGCTAAAAGAAGTAAACGTTTATCCCCTGTGACATCAGTCTGTAAACAGACCAAACAATCAAGTGATTCACATGAACCATGTCTAGTTTATCCATAGTTTGTTTTATGACATATTGAATTGAATGAGTGAGCTAAGTATGGATAAGACTGCTTTTAACATTATTTAAGTTATATCACAATCTGTCAACTATTTTGGAGGGTGGCCCAAGGTGACAAAAATACCTGGGATGATCTAAGAATTGTTTTTTGTCTATCCATGTTTGTTGTATGCGACTAATGGGATTGGCTGGATGGGCTTGCTGTCTTGGTTGACGCATGTCATTGTATCTCAAGTGGGTCAATCCATGCTTGTCGTAAGAGGCGACTAACGGTATCGGGTGGTCAGGCTCTCTAACTTGGTTGACACATGTCATTGGTTCACAATTGCTTAGATCGATGCTCATGCTGTTGATCACTGGATTGTCTGGTCCAGACTGGATTATTTACAGACCGCCGCCATATAGCTGGAATATTGCTGAGTGCGGCATAACACTAAACTCACTCACTCACTCCCAAGTTGGTCAATCAAAGCTCATGATGTTAATCACGGGGTTGTCTGGTCCAGACTCCATCATTTACAGACTGTGTTCCTATAGCTGGAATATTGCTGAGTGCGGCGTTCAACAATAAACAAACCAATTAAAAGCATAAAATCATAAAACCATGTTTAAACCCATAAGTTGTGTCACCTTAGGACTGATCTGCTTGGCCCGCCTCCCTTGATTATTTCAGGCGTGTTACTATTTATCATCTGGTCCTAAGAATAGAATATGACATGTTAATTAATTATAACACATTCTTTATCTTTTCAGATGTGATTTAATGATTATTAAATGTTTATAACATGTGTATGAATTTACTCCTGTATAAAAATTTGCATATGTGTGAATATGTTATTAGGAATAAGATCTTGGATAGGTGCCAGAAATGTAATTGTAACATCAATAGATGATCATTTGTATAACAAGTATATGGGATAAATATGTATATTTTTTTTAATATTTGAATTTTGTTTCAATGTTGGTTGTGGCTGTTGCAGACACCCCGTGTGGACCCCCCATCACCCCGGAGCGAACATCTGAAATTGGATCAGGTGATATCCCAGAGTCCTCGTGTTTCCCAATCCAACCAACTTCAATCCGAAGAAGACAAACGCAAGAAAAAAGGAGGAATTTTGAATAAAGGAAAAAATATTTTCAAAAGCTGGCCAGATAACAGTGACACACAGTGAGCTGTTACCACTCTCCCACCCAAGTGCGACAAAAGACGTTATGATAACGATTTTGTATATTCCTCAGATGAAAAGTATTGTCATGATGCTTTTTGATGGGATTGACAGCAACCTGTTTGTCTCCTTGATCAAACACCCTGATCCGGAAACTGGAATAAACAGTTGACTAATGAGCAATAGTGTCCATAGCTGCTCAGTGATGATGATGATGATGATGATCTGGCGGTATCATATATCTTATAATAATGCATTGAAATCAGATGCCTATACCTATGCTCGGACATATATGCCATGACCCAAGATTAATAAAACTGGACTTACAAGATGCTTGAATTAAGACGTGATCTGCATTTGCTCCATATGTCCATCAAAGTGGTCATTTCTGCAAGAGATATTATTTACAAGTGAAACAACTACCTTGTTACAATCATCACAGATGCAGGGATCGAAATGATAATAGGATGAGGAAAAAGAAATGAATTTCCTTTGAGTTGCATTGACTCCTGTGATCCTGTTTTGAAGGAAAAGGGTTCCTTGATAAAGGTCTTCATCTTCCCCTTGAAAGCTCAGATCCAAAGATTCAGGAAAAGAGTTCTTGACATAAAGTGCTATGTATCAGTGTCAGAAGACTTTCTTTGGTGTTGAGAACCAGACAGTTGATATTTATAGGAATATCACTCTTTTCAGAGTAAATACCCTAAAAGTGTCCAAGGGAGATCACTCTAACAAAGGGACAGAACTTTGTAGAATCCAAGGAAGACAACTCTAATAAAGGGACAGAACCTTGCAGAAACTAAGCTGGAAAAATTAAAAGAGAGGACATACCCCTGCACTGGCCAAGGGGATAACAGGAGATAGATACCATTACAGGTTTGAAGAGGAATATCCTAGATTTGCCACCAGTACTTGGCCATTTGATTGTGCTTGCTGTGGACACTGTGACTGTGATAATCCAAATGTCTCATAACTAGATGGCTATAGTTAGGAACAAGCTTAGCAGAGATATACTTGCCAGATGAGATATAATTGCCATACGTTTAGGTCTCTAGTTAGATAGCAGTAAAGCATGGCTTTATTAAGTCCTATTACGACCAGAGTTATCAGCTGTAGAACATATAATGAAGTGCCAATGTAAAACATATATGGGAACAAATTCATATATGTGTGGTATGGTGTGAATCTGCTGGAATATTTTGGCAGAGCCCTCGGCCAATCGGGACAAGAACTGACAATTTTGGCCAATCGTACATGAACTTGTGACAGACTGAGGTCAGATGAGAGCTGGACAATCTCATACTGAGAGGTTTATTGTGTTTTTCAGAGCAAATACCCTCAAAGTGTCCAAGGGAGATCACTCTAACAAAGGGAGATCACTCTAACAAGGGAGATCACTCTAACAAAAGGAGAGAACCTATAAATATAAATAGTGGTTTGGATGTAGAGGCCATGTGACATGTGAGATGATAAAATGGTGAAGTTCGGATATTGTTTTTAGAACCAATATCACGTGATTGTTGTGTCGTTTGCATGGCTGTGCTTCAGTCCCTGGTGAGTTAATGCAGCGGAGACGTGTAGACAAGCACTGATACATGCATGTACCAGTATATCTATAAATATGGAAGTGATATTTATTTTGTGTGACTAGAGCTCTTATTTATTGTCGACAAATAGTGCAAAGTACTATGTTTTTGTGATTCCTCGTATTATTTAGTGCTGGAACAATTCATGGGCAACTAGGTAGCCTAGCAGTTAAAGCATTTGCTTATCACTCGGAACACACAGGTTCACTTCACCCCATGGGTACAATGTGTGATACTATTTCTGGTATATTGCTGCAATATTGCTGAAAGCAGCACGAAATCAATCTCACTCTCTCACTGGAACAATTCATTGGTCACCTTAGAGTTGTAGCAATACTTTGTTCAAATACAATACATGTGATTATAGGATCAGTAAAGTTCGGTAAAGGAAAACAATGTAAAAAGATCCTGAAAAAGAGATCATTTTACAAAAGATATGATTTGATTGCTGGACTTGTATATCCTATAAGTATATTCCTTTAAATATGAAATGTATTGTTAAATAGCATTTGTTCAGCTTTGCCTTTTAAAAAATCAATTCTATGTCTTAAAGAACCAAACAGATATATTCTTCTGTATACAATTCCCAGGCCCCTCTAACCTTGTCCCAAAAAATACATCCTGTTCCATGAAGAAAGACTACTGTAAGCCTATGATAAGGTACCGTATGCGAGTTGCGATCATCTCAGTATTCACACTCCTTAATGAGATAGCGCCCAGAGCTCTGTTGCACTTGCAATCTTAGCACAAAGACTTAACGCAAGCCTAAGATCAGAGTTTAGTTTAGTTTTATGCACATTTTAGCAATATTCCAGCAATATCACGGCGGGGTACACCAGAAATGGGCTTGACACATTGTTCCCATGAGGGGAATTGAACCCGGATCTTCAGCATGACGAGCGAACGCTTTAACCACTAGGCTACCCCACCGCCCTGCGATCATCTTAGCTAGAAGATTGCTTTTGAGGATGGAACCCAGATCCCATAGAGCTTGATTGAAGCTAATGGATTGTTCAGCCGAATAATATGTTAGCATGACCGTCAAGTTGTGTTTAATTTAGTTAAGATTTCATTAAAATGTGATTTTCTGCTGTCCGATTGAATGGATGAGCCCGTTTTGCCACCTGATCAGTATTTAATTCATGTAATTTCAAATATAAAAGATTTGCCATTTTATATATTGTACATCAAGTAATTTTCCCTTTTGTTAGGATATGATGGGAAGATAGAGGTTCCTTTCATACAATACAGCAAGAAAAGTAGGCTGAAAATCACCATTACTGTTTTGTAGTAAAGCGAAATGATATACCGGGGTAACTGCTGTTTTTTTAATAAAGTGAAATAATACAGTAGTGTTTGTAATAAACGTATTGTTAGAATTACTTATGAAACTGATTTCACTTGAGATTGCATGTTGATATTAAACATTAGGTGAAATTTGTTCTTTGCATGAAATATACATTAGATTGTCATTGTTGGATAGGTATTGGTGCTCAATATACAGGATTGGAGAGTTTTGTGTGTTTATGTAAGTATATTGTTTAACCCTCTGTATCAGTGCTTGCATTATGTTATTTACAATGATTATGATGTCATTACTGTAAATAGTCAGCTATATCAACAAGGCATACATTTGAGTTTCACTTCTTATATTGGTGGGGTAGCCTAGTGGTTAAGCATTTGCTCGTCACGCCAAAGACCCGGGTTTGATTCCTCACATGGGTACAATGTGTGAAGCCCATTTCTGGTGTCCCACACCATGATATTGCTGGAATATTGCTAAAAGTGGCGTAAAACTAACTCACTCACTCACTCACAGATGGATGGCCCTTTTAGTCTTAACACCTTAAAGAGAAGCACAGTTTATGCTTTTGTTTTTCGCAGCTTGGAACTACATTTGAACTACATTTCAAAATTCATCATGGTATTGTGGTTACAAAGATTTATTTTGGGGATTATTTTTGCGAATTTCAGAACCAACTGGTTATAAATCTGTCTGATTTGTTGAGGATTCAGGTTGATTATATTGAATTTTCATGATTAAAAATTGTTTCCTTTGATTTTGATGCCATTAATTGTGTTTGTTGCTTCTCAAGGTTTATGTCTCCAGACAATTTGTATTTGAAATCATCCGCAGAAGTCAGGTTACGCTCATATCATGGTTGTTCAGTCCAATCAATAATTTTCAATTGTGGGTAATTGTTGAGGGAAATTAAAATAGGCCAGTACACAAGCATCAGGAAGTTTTATTCAAATCAGGAATTTATTTACATCAGGAAATGTTAACTTCAGGAATATGTGTATGCATCTCTGTAAATGCGCAGATTAAAATTGGGGCAGCGGGGTAGCCTAGTGGTTAAAACGTTCGCTCGTCACGCCGAAGACCGGGTTCGTTTCCTACATAGGTACAATGTGTGAAGCCCATTTCTGGTGTTCCCCGCTGTGATATTGCTGCAATGTTGCTAAAAGCGGCGTAAAACTAAACAACTCACTCACAGATTACGAGCAGTTCATTCTGATTAATAAATATATCATTATCGAATAATTAAAACAGTAAGAATGTTGTTAAATACCAAATATGTTTGGCAGGAGTTATTTTATTTGACTAAATTTACTTTGTATATTTGTCACCTTTTTTATAAACTATCTTTGTAAAGGATGAGGCATTGAGTTTGTAGGTATAGTATCATTTTGTGAACTTCTACTAAGACGAGTATTGTGACAAATATCATTACTTTCAATAGGTTCCAAAGAAGGAGTGCCACATGGGTACAATGTGTGAAGCCCGTTTCTGATGTCCCTTGCCATTTTATTGCTGGAATATTGCTACAAGTGGTGTCAAGCTAAACTCACTACATACAAATTAAACTCACTCACTCACCAAAGCTGCCCAGATTTCTGTTTGACCCGGTCATTGGAGGTGCCGCATAGAGTTATGTCCCTTGGGCATGTTTGACGCCAATGATCGTGGTTTCAAATCCTGGTTTGTCTGGTTTGCGCTGGCGGGCTGTGGGTGTTGGTTAAAGTGTTTGCTCAACACCCCAAAGACCCAGGTTCGATTCTCCGCTTGGGTACAACGTGTGAAGCCATTTCTGGTGTACCCGGTCATGATATTGCTAAAAGAGTTGTAAAACTAAACGCGACGCACTCACTTACTTACTCACTCCCTTGATATAACCGAGTAGTGTTCAGACCGGTGTTAAATCCTACTCACTCACTCTGTTTGACCTTATGTTTTACTTTGGCAACTTGCAATGTAGCGGGGTGGCCAAAAACAACAAGAAGAAACACGAATCAGTGTGGGAATCTGCTGGTTTTATCGGGGTAGGGTAGCTTAGTGGTTAAAGCGCTCAGCGTGTTGCTGAAGGCCAGGGTTCGATTCCAAATGAGATAAGCCCATTTCTGGTGTCCCCCTGCTGTGATATTGCTGGAAAATTGTTAAAAGCGGTGTAAAACCTCACTCACTCTTGGTTTTTAATGAAGGAATTTGTGTCTAGTGCTCTTCTCAGATATTACACTTCGATCTCATCTGGAAGCATTTTGTTATTCCACATTATGGCAAACTCGTAATCTTATTTACAAAGTTTTAAGACATATATTGTGTATGATAAACATTTAACCAAATGTAATATATTAATGTAGTTTTAATGACAATATTCTGGAAATATTAACATAAAGATTATGATAGTTTGGACTCAAGGGCTTAGGCAAAAGTATCAGATGTTTTGGGTGCAAATATGTTTGAATCCTCCATCAATACAATTATTTCAGTTCCTTCTTTGTGCATGTTCACCCAAGTCAAAGCAAACACGTAGTCCGACATACCACTTACCTCATTATTTCTTTGCAGAAATGTAGTCATAATTTTTTGTGATAATCAAATGAACAATGTTTTCTCCTATTAGTGATGTCATTTGTGATACTGTTTTCCCAACAAGTGATTGTACATAATGTAATATTACCCTATCAACTGGTGACATCTGCTCAAGTGCTACTGGCCTTGTGGCTTATTGTATAGTATTGTTGCCTGTATTTCTAGATCTTTGTGTATAACATGCCTTCTGTTTGTAATGGAGGCACTTAGGTTTGTGGCTGACCAACTTTGTTATACAAACAAATGATTATTTTTCAAAATAAACAAAGATTGAAATCAGATTCCGTGTTTGATTCTGTCATTGATGTGGTAGGTCTACTCCCATTTGTGAGAACTCCCAGTTGTGAGACTCCCAGTTGTGAGACAGTGGAGTAGGTAAGTAGCAAAGAAACACACACGGTACTCCCTATCTGATGGAATGGATTAACCCCAGCTAATTAGGGATTAGCTATTAAACTGAATCTTGTGGAAGTAAAAGATAAAGTAATTAACCTACTCAGGTAAATGGCTTTAAAAATAAACACTTTGTGTAGGTAACTTCGTGATCAATATGAAAAGTGTCAAAATCTCCAAATATGGACCCATGTAAAAAGTGTTTTATAATGACACACAAACATCACAATAACGCAAAATCATCAAAATGTGTGAAAATCATAATGAAATATTTAATGAACTATTTCTTCTGTGTAAATATAATGATAATCTTTTTCAGTATTTCAGTATTTAACTTGTTCTTTATTGAAAACAATAAATGAACTATGCCTCCTCTTGGGTACTCTTCAGCAACAGGGCTGTTCCCACTTTCATCGTAGGGATGTGGAAGCACCACCTGTGTGCACTGAACCATTAATTAATGTGTCTCACAACTGGGAGTTCTCACAAATGGGAGGACACCATGTGGTACTGTATAAATTGTGATCACTTTTGTGATCATAAGCTCAGGTGCCGTAATGATCCCTGAATCGAAATGGACCGCCTCCATGGTGTAGTGGTTAGTCGTCCGCCCAGAGAGCTGAAGGTCGCGGGTTCGATCCCCCGTCCAGCGTCATACCAAAAGACGTTAAAATATGGTATTTGTTGGGTAAAACAAGGACTGGTCGGCTCGAGTCAGTATAATGTGTCTGAGTGGGGTATTCATGCTTCACTCGCGGCATGGTATCTCATTGGGCTAGCACTATAAAACCAGCTTCAGTCTGGGCTAGTAAAACAGCCGCACATGCACATATACACACATGCACGTCGTCATATGAGTGAAATATTCTCAAGCACTGACGTTCAACCCAATTCCACCACCACTACCACCTGAATCAGAAATTGTCACAGAATTGTAAATATTGAAAGAAGATTCCAAAGCAAACAAATCCATATATTAACACCACATATTACAGTCATTATACCCTCATTGATCAGTGTATGAAATAACCCAAGACCCCAGCCAGACATCAGGGCTGGTAACTTCAAAATGTTATCAGTCCAAAATGGATTTAACCAGACCAGACACCAAGATATGACTCAGATGTATATAACATCTCACTTTTACCAGACCATCGGTCCGGCTAGCTGTAAATCTAGGCGTCTGTCTGAAATCAAACCCCGTCTTGGGTGGTCGGATGGGCCTTACACAGCTCAATGTAATGCATTATAATTACAATTTCAACTCCCTGGGAGTATACAACCCAAGCAGTGAGGCACAGGGTCAACAGTCACCATTACCAGCTTATCTTACGGGTACCCATACACAAATGAGTAAACAGGAATATTCCTAAAACACCTATTTTACAATCATCCTGTGCTCAAATTGCTGCTTTATTAATACCCTCAAAGGTTAAAGTTTGAATCTCGGCTCCCTCGAGGTATACAAGTCAAGCTGCCTGTGAGGCATTAGCTTAACAGTCACCATTACCATCTCATCTTACCGGGTACCCATACAAACTGGATAATCAGAAATATTCGAAAACATTTTGAAATGATATGCTCAAAGTGCTGCTTCATTATTACCCTCAAACATACGGTTTGAATCTCAACACAGCAGCAAGGCACCATTACCAGTACCCATACAAACTGGATAATCAGAAATATTCTGAAAATATATTTCAAAATCATAATATGCTCAAAGTGGTACATTATTATTACCCTCAAAGGTAGTTTTAATCTCTACTCCCTGGGAGTATACACCTTAAGCTGCCTGTGAGGAGCTTGAATGTTTACAGACACCAACACCCTCTACACATACCAGGCACCCATACACAGATGAGAGAATCGAGGCATATTTCAACCAAACTAACTTGCTCATTAAGGCACCACATGTATCATTCTTCAGTGTGGACAAGGACTAAAGCCTGAGAAACTCTCAAGAATCAGGACACAGTCATCCATCGAGGATATGTGATCTGTGCACTTTGCAGAGAACCATAACCATATTTCATTTGGCTCAGCTAACAAGAAACTGTTGCTATCCATCAGTGTTGTTTAAACCTTTGGTTCTGAAGACATGCAATCAGCCTGACCTCTTGAATCATTTGATTATGTCAAGAAAGGTTTCTTTGGACAGTTAATAGCCTGTGTTTAAAACTCCCAGAATGATAGGACATCAAGTGACCTTATGACTGTACCTTCCTTTCATGTCTAACAGTACTCCAAGAGCTTCAGCCATAATCTACATTTCACAACTTTCGCAGTACAATCACGCATGTTCTTGGCAAGTTATTTGATCAGTGTTAAAGTAGTAAGTCAAGTGAGTTTAGTTTTACGCCGCACTCAGCAATATTCCAGCTATACGGCTGCAGTCTGTAAATAATCGAGTCTGGACCAGACAATCCACTGATCAACAGCATGAGCATCGATCTGCGCAATTGGGAACCAATGACATGTGTCAACCAAGTCAGCGAGCCTGACCACCCGATCCTGTTAGTCGCCTCTTATGACAAGAATGGGTTACTGAAGATCAATATTCTTACCCGGACCTTCACGGGTTACAATTCAGTCAAGCCCTGAGCAAAGCTTTCAAATGGTTTTGTGGTAGAGATGTTGTGGACATTTTCAAATCTGATGCCTCGATGATAACAATGATGTGTCATACTATTGCCAAGTTTGACCTGTATCATATGTTTCTATGTTTTTTGGGAGGCAGTGGGGTAGCCTAGCATTCCCATGTCACATCGAAAGCCTGGGTTTGATTCCCCACATAGGTACAGTGTGTGAAGCCAATGTCCGGCCTCTCCCTAACTCACTCTCTCATACATTGTTGTTTTAGGTTAACAATGTCTTTGTGATCAACTGCCACCAAACAAAGTATCAAAACATATATTAAATAGACAGACTCTGTTTAAATTGAGGATTTTATTTCCACTAAAACACACCTTCAATGTTCCTAACAATGCTAATCATTCAGTTCACAATATTTACAACCATCCTACAAAGGTCACCCAGATTTATGTACATAGATACAAAGTCAGCAAGAAATGTACACAGCCACTAGATTAATACTGCAGATATCTAAAATATAAATTTCGTACAAGATAAATACTGAAAGACAAAACTACATGAAAATAATCGTTCATATATATGGTAGGTTGTTGCAGCAAAATTTCAACCATTTCAGCAGTTGGATAATTGCAGAGTACTGCATAATGTTGGAAAGGCAATGGATCAAATAATATGAAGGCATGCTTTGGTCCCTGGAAGTTCAAATTGGTGTGATCTAGCTGCGAAAATATTTATTAGATATTTTGGAAAATGAATAAAATTATATACTGGTCAGAAATGGTGAAATATAAAATCATAATACTGGAAATTTGAAGTAAGAATTGATAATATACATATGATACAAAAATGACATCAAATACAGATTTAATCACTTCGATTCAGAATTTTTCAGGAAAGAATATAAAACTATACAATGACAAGTTGATTGTGGATGACACAGCAGTATATTTCTCATAATATAATAATTCAGTCTTACTGAGAGTAGCTTTTGTTATAGTTTTTTTGTAAAGTGAATTCAGTGACTGTGTTATGGAAAGTAGTTTCTGTGACAGTGTTATGGAAAGTAGTTTCTGTGATGGTGTTATGGAAAGTAATTTCTGTGACAGTGTTATGGAAAGTAGTTTCTGTGATAGTGTAATGGAAAGTAGTTTCTGTGATAGTGTTATGGAAAGTAGTTTCTGTCATAGTGTTATGGAAAGTAGTTTCTGTGATAGTGCTATGGAAAGTAGTTTAACTAATAGTGTTATGGAAAGTCATTTCTGTGATAGTCTTATGGAAAGTAGTTTCTGTGATAGTGTTATGGAAAGTAGTTTCTGTGACAGTGTTATGGAAAGTAGTTTCTGTGACAGTGTTATGGAAAGTAGTTTCTGTGATAGTGTTATGGAAAGTAGTTTCTGTGATAGTGTTATGGAAAGTAGTTTCTGTGATGGTGTTATGGAAAGTAATTTCTGTGACAGTGTTATGGAAAGTAGTTTCTGTGATAGTGTTATGGAAAGTAGTTTCTGTGATAGTGTTATGGAAAGTAGTTTCTGTGATAGTGTTATGGAAAGTAGTTTCTGTGATAGTGTTATGGAAAGTAGTTTCTGTGACAGTGTTATGGAAAGTAGTTTCTGTGATAGTGTTATGGAAAGTAGTTTCTGTGATAGTGTTATGGAAAGTAGTTTCTAGTCCTCAGCTGCTGAATCTCCCTCAGTCGGCACTGCATTCTCCATCTTGTTCTGTCTCATCTTACGCGTGTGTTCGATGAGAGACAGACAGACGAACACCCAGTTGTACATATGCTGTGCCGGCAGGGAACCATATTTGGCAACTTCACCATGAGGCACATCTGAAACAGGCCAAAAAGTAGGTGCATATTGGATCTGTTGATCATACTCAGCTGTCCTCGTGACACCATATATCACCATTATAAAACTATACAGATGGTACAATACTGACAGACTTTATCGATAACAACTTCTATTTCATTTTGATAAAGATTCTTGAACCGTTGTCAAGCAGGACTTCAAAAATGCCATTCAAAAAAAGGTATACAGACGGTACTTTTTTCTCTGCTATTCCTGGTGATCAGATGCCAAATTCCAGTTTTCGGCATTAAGATATTTTCCTGATTTATGGATTATTGAGAGGACATTAATTACCAAAATTTATAAATAACAACTGGAGGACAATCAGTCTGTGTCCCCAAAAATAACGTTATCAGAAACCCAGACTGACTGAGTTTGGTTTTACCCCGCTTTTAGCAATATTCCAGCAACATCACGGCTGGGGACACCAGAAATGGGCTTTACACATTGTACCCATGTGGGGATTCGAACCCGGGTCTTCGGTGTGACGAGCCAACGCTTTAACCATTAGGCTACCCCACCGCCCCCCATAAACTCAGAAGTTAGGTACCATTTTCACAGTATACTTAGATAACAAATCCTTAAATTGAAGGGGCAGTGGGGTAGCCTAGTGGTTAAAGTGTTTGCTCGTCATGCCAAAAGACCTGGGTTCAATTCCCCACTTGGGTACAATGTGTGAAGTCCATTTCTGGTGTCCCCTGCTGTGATATTGTCGGAATTTTGCTAAAAGTGCCATAATATCAAACTCACTCATTCCTTAAATTTAAGGGACCAGAATGGTCTTGGAATGTCTTGAATCAAACCTTGCTTGGACTTTCTAACATAGTCATCGTCTTTCGAAACTAAGACTTAGAATTGAAAACATTGCATTTCATACCTCTGAGATAATGTTCGAACTTCTCTGAGGGCAGGAGGTCTTCCTGAGCCGTGGGGTCAAAGTCAGCAATCTTCTGACTCAGGTCACCATTGATCAGCTGAAATGTACAGTTACAGTTATACCCTGCAGTGTAAACAGACTCTATCTGATAAACTAGGGGTTGATAGTGTGAGCACCAATCCATGTCAGTAGTGTATAAAGACACAATCACACAAAGGGTGTGGTGGTCACATTCTGTGTTAAAACTGAATGATTCATTTTCATAGGGTTCAAATACCAAGGTAAACTTACAAATTCTACTTCTCCAGCCTGATTTTCAGCTTGCTGTGCTAAATCAGAGAAATAGAGGGTCTGCACACAGACATTAAGCTACTTTCACTGTTGTGGTGGGCCAAGCACTGACACTCACCTCACCAAGAATATCAAAACTTTTATTTCCATTTTATTCATATGTTTTGTCCTTTTTCAGTGTAAGATTTTATGTTTTGTATTTATTTTCCAAAAAAAAATTCTAAATTATTTTGCTCATTGAACCTGAACCTACTTCATGGCTGAGATTTTGCAGCACATAAAAAGCTAAGCTTGAACTTCTGTTTGAGTACCCTGTTGAGTAATCAGCAAGTCCATACCAGCCAGGTCAAACACGGTAACTAGCTCCGAACCAATAGATGTTACCAAACATCAACAAAATCTTATTTACCCCCTTCACTCTGGTCCAGTCATCAAACATAGCAACCAACCAATCAACGTAACACCAACAAAATCGTATTTACCCCCTTCACTCTGGTCCAATCATCAAACATAGCAACCAACCAATCAACGTAACACCAACAAAATCGTATTTACCCCCTTCACTCTGGTCCAATCATCAAACATAGCAACCAACCAATCAATGTAACACCAACAAAATCATATTTACCCCCTTCACTCTGGTCCAATCATCAAACATAGCAACCAACCAATCAACGTAACACCAACAAAATCATATTTACCCCCTTCACTCTGGTCCAATCATCAAACATAGCAACCAACCAATCAACGTAACACCAACAAAATCATATTTACCCCCTTCACTCTGGTCCAATCATCAAACATAGCAACCAACCAATCAACGTAACACCAACAAAATCGTATTTACCCCCTTCACTCTGGTCCAATCATCAAACATAGCAACCAACCAATCAACGTAACACCAACAAAATCGTATTTACCCCTTCACTCTGGTCCAACTCATCAAACATAGCAACCAACCAATCAACGTAATAATTCAACAAAATCGTATTTACCCTTCATACTCTGGTCCAATCATCAAACATAGCAACCCAACCAATCAACGTAGAATAATTCAACAAAATCGTATTTACCCCCTTCACTCTGGTCCAATCATCAAACATAGCAACCAACCAATCAACGTAACACCAACAAAATCGTATTTACCCCCTTCACTCTGGTCCAGTCATCAAACATAGCAACCAACCAATCAACAACAACAAAATCGTATTTACCCCTTCAATCAATCAAACATTACCCAACCTTCAAAATCATATTTACCCCCTTCACTCTGGTCCAGTCATCAAACATAGCAACCAACCAATCAACGTAACACCAACAAAATCATATTTACCCCCTTCACTCTGGTCCAGTCATCAAACTCCCCTGTCTCCACCTTCTCCAGGTAGAAGATAGCGATGGTGGCCTTCAGGATGTCCAGGATGATTGCCGGTGGCTCGTTGTAACTCTTTAGCTCAGCGTACGCCTGGGTGTCCAACTTGGACACGTTCTCCCTCAGCTCCATCAGCATCAGACGGTCAAACATTATGTCCATCCGAGCATTGTCGTCCTTCTCAGCATCTGCAAATAGGCAACCAAGCTTATAATTAGCACACTTTCTAGGACACAGACTGACTGACATCCAAACTGTCCTGAAGATATTTTTGAATATTTGGAGATGATGTAAGAGATGATCAACAGTGGATAAAATCATGAGATGACGTAAGAGATGATCAACAGTGGATAAAATCATGGAAATATATATTGCCATTTGTCTCTAGCAAAATCAAAGAAGCCAACATAGAAAATTCTTTGTGCTTTGATGCAATCATTCACCTACCAGTATATAAGATGACATAAATAATTGAACCTGGACTACACAAACCAGAGATCGATATTATGAGCAACAATCCACACCATTAGGTTATGATGACATGCAATCTGCCCGATCATGTACATGATCCCATCAATTGCCTCTTATAACAAGCAGAGGTTACTTGGGACCAGTTCTAAACTGGAATCCAGGGGTGGAAATAACCCATTGCCCGATGCCCGAGTCCAGTGTTTTTTTCTGTCGGGCAAGCAAATTTGTATATCACACTGTACCGGTGTCCAGTTGATATTCCAATGTTAATTATGTTGTTTATTTCAAAAATCAACCAGAAAATGGCCGGTATAGTGGAAAAATTATCAGGGCAAGTGATTTTACATGTGCCACTGTACCGGAGTACACTAGCAATTTTAAAGTTATTTCCACCCCTGGAATCCCTAAGGGTTATTGTGGTGATTTCATGTCATAATACAAGTATATTCTTACTCTGGCCGAGAAACACAAACATAATGCTACATTTGCAACACACGCTTAGTAATACTTCCTCAACACCCTAATCAATGTTTGTGATTACCCGTGAAGATCCGGGTTAGAAATGGTCTTCATTAACCCATGCTTGTCGTAAGGGGCGACTAATGGGATTGGGTGGTCAGACTTACTGACTTGTTTGACACAGGTCATTATATCCCAATTGTGTAGATCGATGCTCATGCTGTTGATCACTGGATTGTCTGGTCCAGACTCGATTATTTACAGACCGCTGCCATGTAGCTGGAATACTGCTGAGTGCGGCGTAAAACTAAACTCACTCACTCACTGTGAGTGATATGTGTATGTGATAAGGTGTGAAGGTGACTGTGTATAATTTTGTTGGTCCCTACCCAAAATCCTCATGGATTCCTCTCCTGCAAACTCGGAAGCAATCTCTTTGTGAGCCATCTGCAGCAGTCTCAGCATCCGCAGTGCTTCTTTGTTCTCGTGGGCGGGGAGTTTCTTCATCGACCCTATACTGATGTCAATGATGGCTACAGCTCGGCCCTGATCGTCTCGGAGAGGGAACGCCAGGTGGCGCTCACCATACGCATCAGCTGTCACTGACTCTGAGTTGTCCACAGCCTTGAACAGATAGTCCCTGGAAAACAGAAGAAGACTGTTGGTTTCAGACTTGGACTTTAGAGGTGAGGCAAAATTGGGTTTTACGTCGTGATTGAGAATATTTTGCTCTCATGATGATTTCATGCGTGTGTATGTGTGGCTGTGAATAAACTGCTTGTACTAGTCCAGACTTGAAGCTGGTTTTCATAGTGCTAGCCCACTGAGATACCATGCCGCAGTGAAGCAGGAATACCCCAGTCAGACACCGATACTGACTCTGAGTCGACCAGTCCTTGTTGTACCCATTAATGCCGAGCGCCAGGCAGGGACCAACAAGTACCATATTTTAACGTCTTTTGGTATGACGCGGTCGGGATCGAACTCAACAACCTTCCACAAGCTCTTATGATAAATGCCGCTCTAACCACTACACCACAGGAGGCGGTCTTTTTTTACTTTAGAAGCAGTATTGATGAGTATTAACTGGCTGAAAGAAATAGTTTGGCCACACTAGTATATTGTTGTCTTGATATTTCAGCTTAGTCATGGCTGTGACCCAACTAGTTGTTCATCTTGCATACATATATGCCATTGTGATACAATGATACACAATCAGCCACATGTCCAGGTCTTATCAAGGCAGGCTGGGTTGTCTGGTTGGTTCCTGTCATCTCACTAGTTAGACCTAACTACAATGATTATCTTCCTCTATGGCCTGAGCTGTGGCCTGTCATCTTTCCCTCCCTCCTTTTCACTCACTCACTCCTTTACCCACTAACTCAGTTACTCAATCACTCACTTACGCTGAAGGGGTCGTTGTCGGCACGGGTACTACAGATGTGTACCCCAGGTACGTTTCTGTATACAGACATGTACCCTAGCCAAAATCAGAATACAGAAACGTACCCTTGAACGATTCCATTCTGCAACGGTCATACTGTTGTATTAGATGCATTTGATATCGTTATATAAGAGCATACACAGTATAACGAATATGTCACGGTGCACAACGTACACCACTCGCAATCAGCTGAACGGGAACAACTACATACGGTTTCGTTTTTGGGTTGTGGAATATGGACTCGTCTGTCGTTTAGGGTACCGGGTACGTTTCTGTAGTTTGACTTTGTTTAGGGTACATATCTGTAGTACCTGTGCCGACAACGATCCCTTCAGCCTCACTTACGAGACACCACCTGAACAGGTCATCCTTTGTCTCCAGTCTGGATGGGTTTTCTGGTTGGACAAAGTTGTCACTCATAGGGCAGGGACGGGTAACCCGGATACCCAGGACAGGTGGGTAATGAGTTGGATCCGGGTACCCGTCTCAATACCCAGACCCGTTATGATCATGCGACTAGTAGATTAAACAATGTCATATGTTATTCTTTCATGATTAAAAGGTTGTATTGTCTTTGAAGATTTAGACATAATTACAGTCACTTCTTCTTTATAAACATAATATTGATGGTTTTAGATATTAAGAATACATTGCCATTTCTTACAAATTTGATGTCAGGAATTAACATATAACGGGTATCCGGGTAGGATAGGGTAATAGGGAGTGGGGTACTGGGGTAGAAAATTTGGACCCATCCCAGCCTTAGTCACTCACTCCACTCGACCTACCTGAACAGGTTATCCTTCCTCTCCAGTCTAGCTGGATTCTCCGGCTGGACAGGGTTGCCACGGTTGTCTGTCATCATCATCTTCCGAAGCACGTAGTCCTGCCCCTTCCCATCAGGCTCCACCATGTAGAACACCACCTCTGTCACGTGCGGGCTGCGGCGCTGGATCCACGACACCGCGCTCTCCGTGATGATCCGCATGTCCACGCAACTTCTTCCCACATGTCCATGGGGAGACAGTGATTAGATTTCAACGCGCAAACACTAAACGCTATTATTGCCACACCCTGCCATGTGTACTAGTGATTAGATTTCAACACGTGGGGTAGCCTAGTGGTTAAAGAAACCTCCACATCACACTATTGATTCAGCATCCATCGTAACATGTACTATTTGCATGCAAACTTCTTACAGAAAGTAAGGAAGTTACCACCTGTCCAATAAAAAGCAGTTCTCAAGCCATCAAAATTATCGACCTTTTGACCAAATATTTAAGAAATGTGATCTGAGATGCATTTATCATTGTTTAATTTTTCTTATGGGACAAACTGCTTTCAACTGCTTTCAACATTAAATGTCAGTACATTTAAGCATGTACAAAGTCTTGGACAAAACAATTTTGGGAACACTTATTTGCTTTAACAATATTTTTCACAAGGTTGTCCCTAGTAGAGGACAAAAAATTATATCTTAAAGACTAGTTTTCAGCTTCTAGAATTGACACAGCAAGATACCCAGAAATGTGATAAATATTTCACAGGATTTTTGCAATAGGATTTTAAACCAATTCCCAACACTCAGGTCTCATACCAACAAATTAAAAAAATAAAATATAAATCCTTACAAATAAATGATGATTCACATGCAGCATGCGGGTTTCACTATGTTTTCTATGAATGTACGTGGGAGACAAAAATATGAGAGTGATGTAGGTTATGGAGTGTGCAGGGTTGAAAATATAATGTCTTATAATATATCATGAGTGAGTGAGTGAGTTTAGTTTTACACCACACTCAGCAATATGCCAGCAATATGGTGGTGGTCTGTAAATAATCGAGTCTGGACCAGACAATCAAGTGATCAACAGCAGGAGCATCGATCTGCACAATTGGGAACCGATGACATTTGTCAACCAAGTCAGCGACCCTGACCACCCGATCCCGTTAGTCGCCTCTTACGACAAGCATGGATTACTGAAGATCAATATTCTAACCCGGACCTTCATGGGTCAGTGAGAGTCCGAAAGAAATTTGACCTTTTATGGTCACAGACTGCTGTGTTTCAGCATTATCAAGTAATCAGATTCTATTGTGGTATTTTATATATCATGGGCTTTAAGAGCATAATCGACTAGAATTTCATAAATTCGTCATTCAACCTATATCTCAACACGACACTTAAAATTCCAGGCTGACACCAATTTTTTGATTGGCATTCTAGAGGTTGGCGAGTCAAGAATGAAGCATACAATTTTATGTATAACAACTTCTAGTTTATTGCATAAAGCAATGTTTTGGTGTAGATTCTTACACTGTTATCAAGCTAAAAGCGACAGCCTGATATTGGTGTAAGAATCTACACCGAAATGTACTCTATGCAACAGACAAGACGTTGTCCTCCATAAAGTTGTGTCGTTACTGACCTGAAAGAACTGAATCTCATGCGTAATGAAAATGGCCTTTGTGTGAGGATCGCTGAGAGTGTCGATTCCCATGATACCGAACACCCGCTTCCGTCCATCCTTTAGAGGAATCACAATAAACGATCCCTCTCTTTCCTGAAACCATAAACACTCATTCCGTCAATTATAGGACACAAATTCGGAGCACTTGTCAGAGATACTTTAATTCCTCTCTTCTGTCTTGTTTCCTGAAATTCATCTATTTATATTTACACCACTTGTTAGCTGACAGTTGAAATTGTTGGAAATGCTATATGTTCCTTTGTCATGAAAGAGCTTTTCTTTTAATTTGGTTGTTTCATGTTTAATGCTACACTGAGCAATATTTCAGCTATATAACTGCACTCTGTAAATAATTGAGTCTGAACCATTGAATCCAGTGATTGACATAATGAACATCGATTCATGCATTTGGAATCTAACATGCAATCAACTAAGTTAGATAGCATCACCATTTAATGGTCAACTGGCAGTGAGCTATATTCTAACATGTAATCCTCACAGGTTCACTAAGAAAAGACATCACACAGGTGATATGTTTAATTCATTAATAAACATTATGTTTACAGGGTTCATACAGATTATTTATTATCCATCAAATTTAAGGCCTTTTTAGGGGCTTTTCAAGGAACAAGTGATAATCATAAAGAACTATGGAAACACATGTAAGTCATGTTAAAGTGTGATCCCACAAGGTTGGTCAAATGTGGGACTGACCATTAAAGGGGAAACAACTCTTAGCTACATCGCTACACCCGGAAAGTTTTGCTTGGAGATTAATCAACACCCACTGTCAAGGTATTTTTGTCAAATATTCATTTCCTGTGAAATCATAGCTTGATAAGTTTTGCTAAATATAGGGCCTTTCTAGGGCAAATAATTGGCAATTAGGGCGTTTTCAAGGATAAATGAATTTTGAGCAATTTTAGGGTGAATGTCCAAGTTTCAAGGTTTTTCAAGCCTGTGTGAACCCTGGTTTAGTTGGCAAATATAAAATATAAACATTTGTAGAAAGTCCTCTTACATCTCTATGACGATGGTTGTTCCAGAAATGGATGTTACCATGGTTGGCGACACGGGGGACGTGGATCGGCTTGCCGGACTCAACTGCTGCAAAACTGGAAATCAAACAACATCTTTCTGTCAACAACATTTTATGAATGAGTGACTGAAAACAACAATTAGGAGATAAACATCATGTGTTGGTCAATTTCCGGGTGTTATTGAGTATTTGAAGCAAGGGAATATTTAAATACTCAATAACACCCAGAAATTGGCCAACATATGATGTTTCAAGGAATATTTAAATACTCAACATTGGCCAACACATAAGCACAAAAGTAAACCATGGGTTTTACTGTCTGCACTCATTGACATCGAGTACGGGTACAGCAGTGAAGTGTCATCAGCCGGCCGTTTCAGCTGGTTCCCATGGTAGCATCTGGAACTGCTCATTTGTGACGTCATTCCGACTTTACGTCACAATATGATTTGAATAACGTCACCACTGCTGATGACACAACAATATAATTATGTGTCAATACACAGTGAATAGTCTTGCAGTTTCCGGAAATCAAATACCATTCAATCATGTTTTCCAACCAATCAGATTAAAGAACATGGAGACTTTTGGTTTACAACTATCAACAACATGTTGTGAGTCAACAACTCTGTCAACAACATTTTATGAGTGAGTGAGTGAAAACAGCAACTATCAACAACATGTTGTGAGTCAACAACTCTGTCAACAACATTTTATGAGTGAGTGAGTGAAAACAGCAACTATCAACAACATGTTGTGAGTGAGTCAACAACTCTGTCAACAACATTTTATGAGTGAGTGAGTGAAAACAGCAACTATCAACAACATGTTGTGAGTGAGTCAACTCTGTCAACAACATTTTATGAGTGAGTGAGTGAAAACAGCAACTATCAACAACATGTTGTGAGTCCAACAACTCTGTCAACAACATTTTATGAGTGAAAACAGCAACTATCAACAACATGTTGTGAGTAACAACTCTGTCAACAACATTTTATGAGTGAGTGAGTGAAAACAGCAACTATCAACAACATGTTGTGAGTGAGTAACAACTCTGTCAACAACATTTTATGAGTGAGTGAGTGAAACAGCAACTATCAACAACATGTTGTGAGTGAGTAACAACTCTGTCAACAACATTTTATGAGTGAGTGAGTGAAAACAGCAACTATCAACAACATGTTGTGAGTGAGTAACAACTCTGTCAACAACATTTTATGAGTGAGTGAGGAAAACAGCAACCATCAACAACATGTTGTGAGTGAGTAACAACTCTGTCAACAACAATTTATGAGTGAGTGAGTGAAAACAGCAACTATCAACAACATGTTGTGAGTCAACAACTCTGTCAACAACATTTTATGAGTGAGTGAGGAAAACAGCAACTATCAACAACATGTGTGAGTGAAAACAGCAACTATCAACAACATGTTGTGAGTCAACAACTCTGTCAACAACATTTTATGAGTGAGTGAGGAAAACAGCAACTATCAACAACATGTTGTGAGTGAGTAACAACTCTGTCAACAACATTTTATGAGTGAGTGAGTGAAAACAGCAACTATCAACAACATGTTGTGAGTGAGTAACAACTCTGTCAACAACATTTTATGAGAGTGAGTGAGTGAAAACATCAACTATCAACAACATGTTGTGAGTGAGTAACAACTCTGTCAACAACATTTTATGAATGAGTGAGGAAAACAGCAACTATCAACATGTTGTGAGTGAGTAACAACTCTGTCAACAACATTTTATGAGAGTGAGTGAGTGAAAACATCAACTATCAACAACATGTTGTGAGTGAGTCAACAACTCCGTCAACAACATTTTATGAAATGACTGAAAGCAAACACTAACAACATAAAGCATCATCAACAGTCTAAGTATACAATGACAACAATATATAACCATGTGTAATATCAGGTTTATACTGACACTGTGATCTCATGATACCTGTGTGTTTGATGTTGGATGCCAGGTGAGGAATGACAGAACACATCATCAAGCGTAATCACAATAAGTGGGACACGATAGTGTGTATTTGACACTGCTGGCAGTTAAAATAACTGTTCGAATCCAGAAACCAGATTTCTGGATAAATATAACATTCCATGTAGTATCTATTAAGTTTCACACAATATTGTCTATTAGGCGAGGTTGCCAAAGGCATTACGAAGGTACTAAATGTATACCTGATTCCCTTCATGTCCTTGTGGAGGACCTTGGTGAGGACATAGTCTGCGTCCTCTGGAGTTGAAGCGACATATCTCAGACACACATCGCCCCGGGCTGGGAAGTGGACGTTACGTTCCAGCATGGCGATGTTGGCGCTGATGCGTTTGTTGTTGCCGTGAGCCTCAGCATCCTGTCAAAGCATAATAATAAAAAGTCCATTTATAATGCACCAGTTTCCATTCAACGACTCTCATGGCCCTATATTATTATAACTCAGGTCCCCTTACACAATATACACAAAGAACAACCATAATGGACCGTTCATAATTTATGGCTAGAGGGGGTGATGATGATTTTTATGGAGAAGCATGTACAATGTGAATGACCCCCCTAGAACATGTGTAAAAAATTGATGACCCCCCCTAGCTGCCCAGAACAAAATGGGTGACGCCCCTTAAAATCATCATCAGCCCCCCGAGCCATAAATTATGAACGGTCCCTAATGCTAAGATAGTTACTCTCTTGTTGTAATATAAATTTATTACAATCATAACTATAGTCTGTTTGCAGTGAAAACGTACCGATGAATGTCAATTTAAACAAAAAAGTAAATCGAATAAGATGAAATTAAGATTGCGAATCCTCATAATTTTACCTTGCCAACTGAACATATAAATCTCAGAATTTTATTCAACTTAAGATAAAACTTGTTTAAGAAACGATCACAGTTTCAAATTGCTATTATTGGTTTGTATTACAAGGGTGTATGAACATTAAATGAAACACCGGTACATGTAGAGTTAGTCTAAGTTAACGCTCATCACGAACCGCACGTGCATTGTTTCACTGTTCCATCTACTGCGCTCACCCCCTTGTAATACAAACCAATAATAGCGATTTGAATGTATGATCGTTTGTTAAACAACCTTTGTCCTACAATGAGTCAAATTCTAAGATTTATATGTTCAATTGGCAAGGCAAAATTATGAGGATTCACAGTCTTAATTTCACTTTATTTGACTTACTTTTTTGTTTAAAGTGAAATTCATCGGTATGTTTTCACTGCAAACAGACTATAGTACTCTATGATAAACTTTGCAGCAAGGTGCTCTCAGTTCATGGGGACTTAGTGATGGAATGCTTTTTACTTTTTACATCTAATACCACCAGGTGCTCATATCGGGTGTTGTTTATAGCCGGGTGTTCATCATACCGAAGACCCGGGTTCAATTCCCCACATGGGTATAATATGTGAAGCCCATTTCAGGTGTCCCCAGTCGTGATATTGCAGGAATATTGCTAAAACCAATGTAAAACTAAACTCACTCACTTTCACGTATGGAAGAGCCTCAACAACATATTTTAATTTAACTTCATTAATCCCTGAATTGAAGTGGCAGAAACCTCAGTCAAATTTATGAAGCTAAACATCAAACAGGAAGTACATTATTGCCATGGTTACCATGCTTAATTGTAACAACAAAATTGAATGTGATAGACGGGTTGAGGAAAACTATTCCCGGATGAAGGCACAGACTGACATCAAAGCTGGTTGACTTAAAGGTTTAGTCTCGTTTAAGTACTTCAACATTCATGAGCAGGTCACACAAAGAAGATGAAACAGTGAAACTGTCCTCATGGATCAGTTCCTTCAGTTCCTGGAACTGGAAGTGATTTTATGGCATCTGATTGGTTAACCAGCAATTTGTTTTGAGCTTATGTTTCCATAACTCGACTGAGTTTGGTTTTACGCCGCTTTTATCAATATTCCAGCTACATCACGGCGGGGGAACACCAGAAATGGGCTTCACACATTGTACCCATGTGGGGATTCGAACCCGGGTCTTCGGCGTGACGAGCCAACGCTATAACCACTAGGCTACCCCTACGCCCCTCCATAACTCGAAAAGAAACAGGTCCTGCATGGTAACAGACCACTGTTTCCTGATTCGTTGATGATGGTGTGGGTGGGGTTGGTTTGAATTATTGTGGTCAGTGATGTCACTGATTTCATACTGTTGTCTACATATTTAAAATACCAAAAGACGTTAAAATATGGTACTTGTTGGTCCCTGCCTGGCGCTCGGCATTAATGGGCACAACAAGGACTGGTCGGCTCGGAGTCAGTATAATGTGTCTGAGTGGGGTATTCATGCTTCACTGCGGCATGGTATCTCAGTGGGCTAGCACTATAAAACCAGCTTAAGTCTGGGCTAGTACAAGCAGCTGCACATACAAATACACACGCATGCACGTTGTGATATGAGTGAAATATTCTCAAACACGACGTTAAACCCAATTTCACCTCACCTCACATATTTAAAAAATAATTAAATACAGTGTCTCTGATGTTGTAAATTACTGATGTGTCTTAATTGTTTGTGTTTAATGAGGTACAAACTTAATACACTGTGGGCATACATTGAGTGTAGAGAATGGATACAGTATGAGTACAGATTGCATACAGTATTCTCAACATCACTTACATCACTTGCTAAAGTCAGTTCATACTGAAGTCTATTTGTAATTGATTAGAAAATCTGTACATTTTTCCAATAATTTCACAGTTGGGTTTTTAGTAGAAAGTCAGGTTTTATGTCACTTTTAGCAATATTCCAGCAATATCACGGAGGGGGACAGCAGAAAGGTGCCTCACACGTTGTACCCATTTGGGGAACCGACCCAGGTCTTCGGCATGATGAGAGAAGCTTAAACCACTAGGCTACCCCGGATATTTAGTAAGTAAAATGTTTACATGCACATCAGAGAACATATGCTGTCAATGCTGTTTATATTTTCTCAGTGTTATCTTTTGTTGTTTTCAAAAATGTACACAGAACACCCCATGTGTGAGAAATTGACTTGAAGATGGATACTATGTGTGTAAATCTATAAAAAATGTAATTTTTAGAGTAAAATTGATATTTTATACTTATCCTGACTCATGCTCTTTTTGCTTGTCTTCTTCTTCTTGCGAACATAGTGGAACACTTGTATCTCCCTAATTGAAGCTCCCTTCAATGTAAAATCACTAATTAGTACACCACGAGTTACCTCCCTTCCACAAGCGCGGGAACGAGGGCGCCACCTCTACCCATGTGCCTCACTCTCTCCTCATATACTGAGCCCAACATTTGAATTTACAGGGAAATCCAAAGTGTTATGTGGGGAGGATGGGAGGGCTTACCTCATGAGTCAGGATAAGTATAAAATATCAATTTTACTCTAAAAATTACATATTTTTCCTTATCCTGACTCATGCTCTTTTTGCTTGTAGAATCCTACGGAAAAGGAGGTGGGAATATATAATACTTTGGATTTTAATAATTAGTGATTTGAACTGTGATGATTGTAATAACCCTATGGGAACTTCATAAAGGCACTGAACTGATGAATTCCTGCTGCTAACTTATCAGCTGCCATATAAAGGTTATTACAATGTACTTATTACAATGTACTTATTATGATAAAGTATATATAACATTAATACAATGCTTAAGACTAATAGACTTAAGCTTGTTAAATGCTAGTATAAACTCCTTAGAGTTTGTTAGCTAAATTACTTTAAGATATAAACATAGTACTAAGCTTAAGATATGCTTAAACTTAAGCTAATTATATAATAGCAAAACTCTTTAGAGTTTGTTAGCTAATATACTTATATGATATAAACATAGTGCTGAGCTTAAGATATGAATAAGCTTTAGCTACATATATAATAGCAAACTCTGTAGAGTTTGTTAGCTAATATATTTTTACAATATGAGTATAGTACTGTGCTTAAGATATAATTAACTTAAGCTACATATACAATAGCCAAAACCTCTGTAGAGTTTATTAGCTAATAGACTTATATTGTAACCATAGTATTAAGCTTAAGATATGATTAGACTTAAGCTAAATGTATATAGCAAAAAACTCCTTAGAGTTTTTTAACTAATATACTTTTTATGTTAAAAAACATAGTACTGAGCTTAAGATATGATTAAACTTAAGCTATATATATAAAAGCAAAACTCCGTAGAGTTTGTTAGCTAATACATTTTATAATGTAACCATACTGCTTAAGATATGATGAACTTAAGCTAAATATATAATAGCAAAAAACCTTTTAGAGTTTTGTTAGCTAATATACTTATATGATATAAACATAGTATTGAGCTTAAGATATGAAGGAAACCTTAAGCTACATATATAATAGCAAAAACTCCGTAGAGTTTGTTAGCTAATACATGTTATAATGTAACCATAAAGCTTAAAATATGATGAAACTTAAGCCAAATATATAATAGCAAAACTCTTTTAGAGTTTGATAGCTAATATACCTATATGATATAAACATAGTACTACGCTTAAGATATGAATAAGCTTAAGTTACATATATAATAGCAAAAACTCCGTAGAGTTTGTTAGCTAATACATGTTATAATGTAACCATAAAGCTTAAAATATGATGAAACTTAAGCCAAATATATAATAGCAAAACTCTTTTAGAGTTTGATAGCTAATATACCTATATGATATAAACATAGTACTGCGCTTAAGATATGAATAAGCTTAAGTTACATATATAATAGCAAAAACTCCGTAGAGTTTGTTAGCTAATACATGTTATAATGTAACCATAATGCTTAAGATATGATGAAACTTAAGCCAATTAGCAAAAAACTCTTTAGAGTTTGTTAGCTAATATACTTATATGATATAAACATAGTACTGAGCTTAAGATATGAATAAGCTTAAGCTACCTATATAATAGCAAAAACTCCGTAGAGTTTGTAAGCTAATATATTTTTTATATAATATGTGTATAGTACTATGCTTAAGATATAATTAACTTAAGCTAAGTATATAATAGCCAAAAACTCTGTAGAGTTTATTAGCTAATGCATTTATAATGCAACCATAGTACTAAACTTAAGATATGATTAACTTAAGGTAAATATATAATAACAAACTCTGTAGAGTTGTTAACTTATATATTGTATGATGTAATAATCATAGTACTGTGATGATAAAAGAACTTAAGCAAATTATATATAGCATGTAGCTATTTAGTACTGTTATAAGATAAGTAGAAATCTGTAAGATTGACTTATCTTCTCGAGAACTGTCAACTGTTGTCTTGAGGACCCTGGAACCCGAATTGGTGGATACCTGAGGCGTCCTTGGCGGTGATATCTCTCAGATAATGGTTGGCAACCACCATATCGGATCTCCAGAAATAACCCCTCCATAATTTCAAATAACATTTGTGTAGATCAATTGTAGAAGTTAAGCTCTAATATCATGAGTATTAGAAGCTCATGGAGGGTCGGATCGGGTCCATCAGTCTTGTAGGCACATAGTATGACAGTTCTGATCCAAGGAGATGGTAGTACATGAGACTTCAGTCTGCGTAACTTGAATATAGAGGAAATAATCTGATGCATTTTTCCCTCCTGTTTGGTTCGGTGGAGATAAATTTACAGTGCTCTTGCTGGCCATCGTGATAGAATCATCGTATCATGAAGTCCAAGTATGTCATCCAGGCGTGTTCATAAACCTCACTTGTGAGGTGTTGGAGCACTATATACAGATCGAAGTTGGGCGTGAAACTTCCGTTTAATCCTCCAATCAAAAGCTTAAGTAGGTTTACTCACCATCTAGTTGTGTTAGTAGTTTGATGATGAAATTCAGTTGTAGACTGAGGCGGCTGTGGATTTAGATCCACTTGTATTCCGTCGTCTAGGTAAATTAAACTCGAAAGTCCTTGGCGATGTAGGTGCACAACCAGGTGTGTCTGTCCTCGTTGAACTTTATGTAAAATCGCCTGACTGCCGTGCCTCGTCCTAACTTGACAGGGGAGGTCTCTAACCTGAAGAAAGCAGCCCAATCATGAAGGTTCAGATTAACTGGACTGTAAGGAGGCTTGCTTTCGTTCACTGATATATAGTTGTCACTTGTAGCGTGAGTCTTGAACTGTGAACTAAGACCGACCTCTCGTGGAGTGGTTGTCCATCAGCGGTCCAATCAGAACAAGGCATTTTGATTCTGTAGAATACCAGCTGTGATGTCACCGGTGTAGCAGGAAAAACCTTGTATAAAATCTTGCCGTCGTTTATATTAGCATAATCGTCGGTCTTCACCGTAGCTTTCGAAGTTACCCGGTGACCGTGTTTGAGGGTTAATGGTAGCAGCGAAACCTCGGTAGCGAAATACCTCGCTCTGTAATATTAATGCTGGGTAGGTTATTTTCCTGGCTGTCGTGAAAGTAACTTCAGTTTTGGATATAATTCCGACTTCCTTATATAAAGGTACAATAAACTTGCAAGTTGTCAGCTTGTAGACTGTATACATGAATGTATCGTCATAATTGTAGAATTAAAGCTGAACTTGTTGTACATATTACTTCTCAAGCGTTGGCGATTATGAGTTATACTTTCGCTGTAACAGGTTGCTGTTCAATTTCGATATTGAATTGTCTGCAGATCTGCGTAATGGTCGCATGTAGATAATCGTATCGTAGTGTGGGATAGCATATTCTAGCAATCTATCACGGAAAGTTGATTTCTGTGAATATCTATGAAGCGTCGTTGACTAATTAATATAGCGGCGTTCTGTGTTGTAAATAGCCTGTGCAATTGTCTTGTAGGCTTATAGGCGGCATATGGCATACAGTTGATAGACACTTTATCGCGATGTCTTGAGCGGACTGGCCAGTAGCTATATATGGCGAGTGGCTGGTATATGGAGACCTTGGAGGATACTTCCTCGGTGAGCGCCGGAGACTTCCGCGAAGCTCTCGAAGTATCCTTCTAGATCTTCTGGGTGAAGCAGACTTGGAGCCACTTAGCCTTAGCGACCTTGAAAGGTATCGAGATCAGAACCCGATCAGTATATATATATGTAATTTTTAGAGTAAAATTGATATTTTATACTTATCCTGACTCATGCTTGCTTCGTGAGCGACCTCTGTGTTCAACAGGATGTGGGGTCGTGGCGCTTCTCCTCCGTGGCGTCCCTTGTAACTGGTGAGGCTCTAGTTCCTTGGCGGGGCTGACCTGGGACTTCCTTATCGAAGTGTCTAGAGTCCGATCAATATATGGCGTTAGCTTCATACAGGGTGTGGTTCTTGCTGGTTCTGCATAAGTAGAGCCGAGTAGATCATCCTATCATCTTCAGAAGTCGTGTCCGCGAAATCTGGTGATAAGAATCTCATTGATCGTTCTAGATCTATTAAGGCCAAAGAACATCGCCTCTGGCGTTTGAACTTACATGCCTTTATGGTAGGCTGTGTCCACATTCTGTGGCACCGCGGCAATCGAATTCGTCGGTAGTAGGGTGGCGGCGTCTACATCGTCTTCCTTCATCAGGTATGTCTGCGCTGAGTTGCCACTCTTGGGCCGGTGAAGATAAATCTAGGTTGTTTACCATCCAATATCTTATCTCAGCGTCTGAGAAGATGATGTCTCCATCATCTTCTGTACCAACATCGGTGATGAGAGGTTGATGCTCTTCTGATGGTGACCTGTGTGCTGCTATCTCTATGTCGGGTGGCGCTGCCGACTTGTGTGGTGACCTGCGAGGTGATCGGCGTGGTGATGTGCGTGGAGATCGTCGTGGTGAGCGGCGTGGAGATCGTCTAGGTGATCTCGTCTATGGGATGACCTTGAGTCCGCATCTGAGGATGAGGCGAGGGCGGTGGCGATCTCTCCGTCTTCGCGAAAGCCTTCGAACTGTACATCTGGGTCGCCGTCGAGGTGGTCTGTGACTTCCTTCGAAGGCTGCTTCGTCGTGGCTGCTTTCGCTGACTGGGGGTGCCTCTGGGGTGTTGTCTGCGTTGCTCAGGCCCTGGGCTGGCTGCTTCTCCCGTCTGTAGTGGCCCTCCATCATGGTCATGATCTGCATAACAGCTTCGTCTGGGATGGTCTGCGGCGAAGTGGTGGTGCCCTCTCTGCGATGACAGCTGCTGAGCCCTCAGGAAGTCGTCTGACATCAGTGTAGAGACATCAGGCTGCATGGCGATCTCTGCTGATGTCACTGGTAAACTTCTTGTGGCGTCGCCGGGGATGATGATCGGTTGATCATCGTAGAGGCCAGTTCAGCGGCTGGAACAATCTCGGTTGAAAAGTCCTAGTAGACTTAGTTGATTTCCCCTCAGAGGTCGGCGCTGCCCTGGGGAGTCGCGAAGTCTGCGTTGAGTGTTAGTAGCGGCGGGACCCTCAGGAAGATCATCGAATATCAGCGTTAGTACATCAGGCTGCATGTTGATCTGCGCTGACATCACTGTTGCCGACATCGGTCATTCTTTTGATGTACATCAGGTATGATGATCGGCTGATCATCATACAGGCCCAAATCTGCGACGGGAACAATCTCGGCTGAGAAAGTTCTAGTAGACTTCGTTGATTTCCCCTCAGAGGTCGACGCTGCCCTGGGGGTGTGAAGTCTGCGTTGAGATGCAGTAGAAGCCCTCTAGTCTTCGGCTGCGGCGATGGGATGTCTGGGGAAGCAGGGCGGCTTCTTGGAAGCGGCGGACTCGTCCCACGCCTCCACCACTCTAGCGGAATACCAGGCGGGAGGGTCGACCAACCGCAGTAGACTGGCGAGGGTTCAGGTGTATCAGTCATGGCTAGACTCTGCATCGTGACCTATCTGCTGCGGCGTCTCAAACATAAAGTATTTATTTATTAAAGGCAGAATTGGATAAATTAGTACCGCAACTGCCGCGTGAATAAAATGAACATGGCGCCAGTACAACTAGGGCATATTAAATCTTGCGGATCAGCAGCAGAATAAAAAGCGTAATCTGCAACAGTACAGAATTTTCATCAGCGTAATCCACAGAACAAACATGGCGTCCATTGAATAAACAGTAGAAACCGACTAAATATCAATATATAATTGTTGAAGGATACTAGCTAAACCTCTATAGATGTCTATCTGAGGGTAACTAACTAAATATAATCCAAGGATATAGTGTGTGGGGAGACACAGAAGCTCTCGTCCAGCTCACTGGGCGAAGAAGGAAGAGTGAGGCACATGGGTAGAGGTGGCGCCCTCGTTCAGCTTGTGGAAGGGAGGTAACTTCGTGGTGTACTAATTAGTGATTTTACATTGAAGGGAGCTTCAATTAGGGAGATACAAGTGTTCCACTATGTTACTTAAGAAGAAGACAAGCAAAAGAGCATGAGTCAGGATAAGGAAAAATTGTACAAAATCTACTGTCAAAGCGATATCTCCTAGGAGATATTGTTTGATCTCACACAAGCAATATCTCCTGTGGAACACAGTTTGGGATGATAAATCTAATGTGTCTTAATTTGTTTTGAAATACAGATTCCGTACATATAGGATAAAACATGCTTGATGATTTTCTTGCCTTGGAGTGACGGACTTCTTGCTAGAATATCCTTGGGACCGAGCTATTTTCACTAAATGCAATCCATATAACACAAATATTTGTGTTGATATTCCTGCCAATCATCTCTCACCTCAATGCTGCTGGCTAGGAACTCTATAAGATAGTCAAATGAATCTCCTGGGATCTCGTCAACCACCAAGTCAAAGAATGTCCGGAACTCTCTCTTGCTGAGCCTCTGATCGTGGTACTTGGACTGCTTGCTTAGTTTGTCTTTGGCTGGAAACAAGATGACTTGTTATTGGATTGACTGTTTTTGTGGGTCCGTGGTTTGGTGTGGTGTGGTGTGGTGTGGTGTGGTGTGGTGTGTGGTGTGTGGTGTGGTGTGGTGTGATGTGGTGTGGTGTGTGGGGTGTGGTGTGGTGTGGTGTGGTGTTGTGTGGTGTGGTGTGGTGTGGTGTGGTGTGGTGTGGTGTGGTGTGGTGTGGTGTGGTGTGGTGTGGTGTTGTTAGGGTGTGGTGTTGTTAGGGTGTGTTAGGGTGTGGTGGGTGTGGTGTGGTGGGGTGGGCTGGGCTGGGGTTGGGTGGGGTGGGGTGGGCTGTTGGCGTGTGGTGGTAAGGGCTGGGCTGGGCTGTTGGTGTGGTTGTGGGTAGGGCTAGGCTGGGCTGGGCTGTTGGGGTGCAGGTGGTAAGGGCTGGGCTGGGCTGGGCTGTTGGTGTGGTGGTAAGGACTGGGCTGGGCTGTTGGTGTGTGGTGGTAAGGGCTGGGCTGGGCTGGGCTGGGTGTGTGGTGGTAAGGGCTGGGCTGGGCTGGGCTGTTGGTGTGCGGTGGTAAGGGCTGGGCTGGGCTGTTGGTGTGTTGTGGTAAGGGCTGGGCTGGGCTGTTGGTGTGCGGTGGTAAGGGCTGGGCTGGGCTGTTGGTGTGTGGTGGTAAGGGCTGGGCTGGGCTGTTGGGGTGCGGTGGTAAGGGCTGGGCTGGGCTGTTGGTGTGTTGTGGTAAGGGCTGGGCTGGGCTGTTGGGGTGTGGTGGTAAGGGCTGGGCTGGGCTGTTTGGGTGGTAAGGTAAGGGGGCTGGGCTGTTGGTGTGTGGTGGTAAGGGCTGGGCTGGGCTGTTGGTGTGTGGTGGTAAGGGCTGGGCTGGGCTGTTGGGGTGTGGTGGTAAGGGCTGGGCTGGGCTGTTTGGGTGCGGTGGTAAGGACTGGGCTGGGCTGTTGGTGTGCGGTGGTAAGGGCTGGGCTGGGCTGTTGGTGTGTGGTGGTAATGGGCTGGGCTGTTGGTGTGTAGTGGTAAGGCTGGGCTGGGCTGTTGGGTGGGATGGGATGGTATGGGGCTGGGTGTGGGGGCGGGAGTGTTATTTGAGATAAAGCTAATCATCTGAATTGCACTCAGTCACAGAGTTCTATATAAAAAGATGGGATCTCCATCCATAGACAACATAAGATTCAGAGGGGGGAAATTTACAAATGTCAGCTTCTGTATCACGAGGAACACAACATTGTGGAGCATATTTTACTCCTTCATCAAGCGATGATGACGAAGTAAGGACACTCTCATGTCCCTCATATCCTCATAATACAGAATAAGACATCCATAAACACCCCCCGCCCCTCCTGGATGTGTATCACTTCTAAATGCCATTCAAAGATTATGCACAGTGCTGTGACATTATTCAAACCAATGAAAGTCACGTGAAGCAGATATCACTGACTGACTGAGTTTTGTTTTACGCCGCTTTTAGCAATATTCCAGCAATATCACGGCGGGGGACACCAGAAATGGGCTTAACACATTGTGCCCATGTGGGGAATCGAACCCGGGTCTTCGGCATGACGAGCCAATGCTTTAACCACTAGGCTACCCCACCACCCTGAAGCAGATATCAATCATTAATGACTTCAGCTACTAGACTTCAGTTCAAAGACTATCAACTTCACTTCAGAATTGAAAGCTCAGCTCATAAAACTGAACAACCATAAAATCTACAAGATGCCAAGAGTCAAGATGGAGCTAGCAGACTCAAAACCTTTCAGCAACAGGTATGTCCAAGTAGTCACAATGGACCTTCCATTTTAAGCCCCTAACCCTCAAAATTATTACCACATCCGTAGGACTGACAAAATATAGATGGAGGTAAATCCCAGCTCACCTCTGCTGATCGCTTCAGCTTCTTGGCCATCCTTGTACTTCAACATCACTGTCTCCACCTCGTCCAGGTCTAGGTACCCTGATCCGTCGTTGTCCCATCTCTCAAACAGGTTGTCCATCTGAACCTTGCGCTTGGAGGCCAGAGCTTCCTTCCTTGCCTGATGGATACAGTTGTCAAATATTTCAATGTTAAAAAAATAAACAATTTAACAATAATTAGGGCTGGCTATCTACATACATCATGAAGATTGTAAATCGTTAATTAAATATCAATTGATTATTGATAAATATCGAAGACGTAACTTTGAACGAAAATGGAAGAAAAGTCTGACAGAAATGAATATATTCACATCACTGGTGACTCATGACATATTTTTGCATTGATTACTAACAAAACAGCTTCCTGCACATAATTCAGAAGCAGAATATTATTAAAATCCAAACTTGGTATATTGTGTGAAAAATTTAAAACATTTTTCCATCACAAAAATTAAAGTATGATATTATCGATGACACAGTTTTCATATCGATAATCATTAATAATATTTTCTTTGGATGATATTTCCCATTATCGATCATTTTGGCCAGCCCTAGCAGTTTGTTCTGAAAACCCTATCAACCAGGGCCTAGATTTCCGAAGCTCTCTTAGAACTAAGATAGTCATAAGTGCCATACATTAACATTAACTTACTACTATCTTAGCGCTAAGAGAGCTTCGAAAATCTAGGCCCAGAACTGGAGTGTAAATCGGGAAGAACGCTGTAAGTGATGTGTATTAAGTCCCAGATATGAAGGCGCCTGCATTGTTTCAATGTGAGAGGAAGGGAGTTCCACAAAGTGACAGGAAGGTTACAAGTTTAAAGACAAAATTCTTCAAGTTTGAGTTTGAAACCTGCAACAGCAACTCATGATTTTACCGAAGCTTACTTGTGGGATACACTGCATTCAGATCTGTGAGATATTAGGCAGAAGCCTGTATCCACTGACATGAATAAAATTAATAAGCAAATAACAGCCAAACTATGCAAGTTTAGCTAAACAATTGATTGTAAAGATGTTCTTACGTATATATTTTAAAAATATATGTCAAATCTGGATGTTACAGTGTTAATTTCATAAAAAGACCTCTCAAAAATCAAATATGATTAAAAATAAAATAAAATTTTAAATTTGTTGAGGACCTTAATAATCATAACATTAATAAATCATGTTTTATTCTGTGATGTTTTTCACACCAAATCTAGGACTCATCTGTGAAAATAAATAAACTCTGGCCTTACTAAATAGAAATTGACAAGATGAAATGAACAAGCTATGTACAACCTTCAAAAGTCTGTCCAGTTTCTCCTCCTCTGTTTCTTCATAGCCTTCCTTGATGTACCTGAGCAGCGTCTCAAACAGTGCTCGCTTCGGGCCTGTCTCCGATAAATGTCTCGGTCAAATGGACAAACTGAGACACGTTCAGAGTGTGCTCGTCAAATGCTGACATCTGCGACTGTATACTGGTGACAGTTCCAGCTGGAAGTTGATATTGACAACACATATATTTTACCTTAAAGATGCAGAATGTTAAATAATTCGGGGAAATGATCATCGACAAACTTTAGCGAATTATTTGATAACTTTGCCCTACATTTTGATACTAAAGCTATCCAAATTAATCAATGGCTGTGAGCAAGGTCAGCACCTTGAACATATACTACTCACTTTGCTAAGGATCACATAAATTCCCAACTTTACTTCAACATAGATTTATAATTTGAAATTGTATCCATTTAAAACTAGATATATAATGATATGGTAAACCCTCTTTAGGCAAACTGCTACTTTAGTCTAACCTTATGCACTTGATACATGAGTAACCATAAAAATGGTTTTCATGGCACCAATCAAACATTTTGCAAATCATGGAACGAGTCATTGACAAGTACACAACACCTGTCAGTAGCAGGTATGGGATCCACAAGATGCAGTGACATACTGAAACCTAGGATCCATGCTTACAATAAGCTTCGATATTTAAACCAAATTAGACCCCACATCATAGTTTTCTGTTGAATCAATGGTTTGATCCTTAGCAAAGTGTGCATAGTATATTTCAGCTATATGATGTCATGTGGCAGGAGAGCCGATAGTAAACCAGGGCCCCTATTCTCAAAACGTTCGTAGGCCTAAGAACTTCTTAAAACCGTTCTTAGCGCTTACGAACTTCTACTATCCTATTCTCGAAATGTTCTTAGCCTTACGAATTCTTAAATTTAAGGAAAAAACTAAGACAGCTAGTAGGCTGTCGTAACTTGAGATACGCAAATTAAAGATGGCTGCGTTGATTGTTTTTATGAATGAGGTAGATTTAAAGGGTAACAGGGAGAGAGTTTACAGAAACCGGACGAGGTATTTGGATTTGTTGGACGATCAAGAGTTAGTTGGGACGAAAAGTGTCCAAAGAGAACACTATAATTGCATTTTATCTCTTCTATCAGGTTGTCCACCTCTGTGGCGGACCAGTTGGACGTGCGCTGCTTCCTTGAAGGAGTGCTGGGAATGCAAGACTTCATTATCCGGGATATCGTCTGCCTTGTTTGTAAACATGGGAATTCCCTCGTGCTTGTGACGTCACGGAAAACCCCCTACTAAATCTCCCTTTGAGACAAAGAGTTCCTTTCATAACTTACGAAAAGTTACTAAAACGTGACTAGTCGTGTTTGGGTTACGAACTCGATAAGAACGTTTCGAGAATAGGTCGTAAACATTTTCTTAAGAATTCTTATCTTTTGGCGTAAGCAGTTAAGAATTCATAGATCTACGAACGTTTTGAGAATAGGCTCGCAGGTTTTAATGGGTTTTTTAAAAACAGAATCAGATCCTGGCATGGCTGGGGAGACATGTCACCTCACACCACTTAGACTCTGTTTTTTGTCACTCAGTGATATGCCAGCTATATGATGGTCGTGTGTAAATAAGGGGCTTGACCACTTTTCCAAAATGACAGTGACTATTGAAAACTACTTTAAAATGTGAAGCAGACTGAGGATTCTGGGATCTTAGCCACCTTTGCCCATTTTCCAGGCGATGCAGTTCTGCTGTTAAACTCAGTGTTCTGTCAGCTGCCATGTCAGGTGGAAAATGAACGACCAAATGGCACAAATGTAAACAGCTGAAACTGAGACAAATTGCTGTACATTGCTGAGAGCAACCGTTTCCAACGGACCCTAATTGAATCTGGACCAGAACATCCAGTGATTGGTATTGCGAACAATGACCTAAGCTGCACACACCAAGCTTTACTATCCAATCAGTTAAGACTTTCTTTAACAACCAGCATAGGGTGCTAGGGACCAAATCCAACCTGGCATCCCCATGGAAACGGTTCCTGGTATTCCCCTGAAGTACTACCTGTATCATGATGTTACAATCCTATTGTGTGTGTCACAGAACCAAGGTTGTACAAGTCTGAATCTCTCCTCGAACACCGTGCCCATGGCAAGGGTGACACAGAGCAGACCAACCTGGCATCCCCATGGAAACGGTTCCTGATATCCCCTTGAAGTAAGTACCACCTGTTTCATGATGTTACAATCCTATTGTGTGTGTCACAGAACCAAGGTTGTACAAGTCTGAATCTCTCCTCGAACACCGTGCCCATGGCAAGGGTGACACAGAGCAGACCAACCTGGCATCCCCATGGAAACGGTTCCTGATATCCCCTTGAAGTACCACCTGTTTCATGATGTTACAATCCTATTGTGTGTGTCACAGAACCAAGGTTGTACAAGTCTGAATCTCTCCTCAACACCGTGCCCATGGCAAGGGTGACACAGAGCAGACTAACCTGGCATCCCCATGGGAACGGTTTCTGATATCCCCTTGAAGTACCACCTGTTTCATGATATCACACTCCTACTGTGTGTTGGAGCAGTAAAGGCATACCTGTCTGAATCTCTCTCTCGAACTCCGTGCCCTCGGCGAAGGTGACACTGAGTCGACCGGTCTGGGTAGTTCCTGGTGGGACCATGTCATCATTGGTGGTCTTCAGGTCCAGCTTCAGGGTATTGTCAGCCTCTGTGGGTTCTAGAACAGTTCAAAATTGAGTGAATTCAATGTATTTGGTGCCCCTGGTGTTTAGAAATGACATTCTTGTATCTAAATATGAATTACAAGGAAAATACCTTTCCTAGTGGATATTCATCATGGAAAATGACTGGTTGAGCAGCAAAGTGTCATTTGTACATTGTTTCACACCTCACTCAGCAAATGCCATGTGTTTATTGTTTCACACCTTACAAAGCAATAGACCTGTGAAGGTCCGGGATAGAATATTGGCCTTCAGTAACCCATGCTTGTCGTAAGAGGCGACTAATGGAATCGGGTAGTCAGGCTCGCTGACTTGGTTGACACATGTCATCGGTTCCCAATTGCGCAGATCGATGCTCATGCTGTTGATCACTGGATTGTCTGGGTCAGACTCGATTATTTACAGACCACCGCCATATAGCTGGAAAATTGCTGAGTGCGGTGTAAAACTAAACTCACTCACTACAAAGCAATATTCCAGCAATGATACATCACTATTCACATCTCGACCAGAAAATCTGGTGGCTGACATCATGAGCATCAATCTATGCATTTAGGATATGATGACACATAAAGAGTCAGCAAGCCCAATTACCAAATCCTGTAATCTCATCTCCCATTTCTGGTGTCCCCCGCCGTGATGTTGCTGGAATATTGCTAAAAGTGGCGTCAAACCAAACTCAGTCAGTCAGTCAGTGTAATCTCATCTGCATGTGTCATGTAGGGATAACTATAAGTCAGCCTTAGAGAAGAAACAATCTTCAGCTGATCAAACATATTTTGAAAAGACGTACCAGTTATCATTACTTGTACTGAACAATTCAATAAGATGATTGCCGATATGGCTCAGCTAAACTGATGTTCCTGGTTTTCAAGCCTTGCCCTGAGATGAATATAAATTTGTCACCTAACCATCCTGTTCCAGTTTTAATAATTTTCACATACATTTTAAAATTATCATATATAAGAAACACTTACCAGCTTCATCCTGTTCCTTCTCCGGCAGACCCTGAGTTGTCTGCTCTTTTTCAGACACTTCCTGTGTCTCAGCCTCGGTCTGGGTCTGGCCTGCTGTCTCAGACATCAGCTGGCTTCTCGGGATCTGTCTTCTGCTCCTCAGTTGACTGATTTTGCTCCTCCACTTTTACTTCCTCCTTCTTTTCTTCTCCTTGTTCATCTTTCTTTTCTTCATCAGACTTCTCCTTCCCCTCATCTTTTTGTTCATCACTTTCTGCCACCTGTCCATCTTCAGCAGGTTTTGTTTCTTCAACCTCTTTCGTTTCTTCTGTTCCTTCTTCCTTCTTCTCCTGCTGTTCTTCCTTCTTCTCCTGCTGTTCTTCCTGAGTCTCATCCTTACTTGGCTCACCCTCTGTTACTTGGTTGTCATCTCCTTTCTCAGCTGATTCAGGTTTCTGGCTATCTTCTGCAAAATTTGAAACTATAACATTCAAATAACTATATTCCTAAAGGTTTTGCAGGTCGTCACATGTTTAACATATACTGGCAAGCGAACAGTTATCACCACGTAACAGTTATTGCCAATACATCAGTATCACACGTGCACAGTTCCGGTCAATTACAATTCCACTATTTTTGTCCCACAGTATAATAATAATAAAGGACAGCAAAAAAAAGAAAAAAGATCTTTAACTTAGTCAGTGGGGGTGGGGGTGGGGTGGTGGTGTGTGTGGGTGTTACGATCTATATAGTAACAAGTTCAAGTTCACAAGTCATTAATTGTTTCATTCCCTATCAATCTACTGTGAAAGAAACACTCAAATAGTCACACAATCAATTATTCGAGGTTACTGTATGATATAAATATATATTATTTTACGAATGGCATGAGAATTCTGAAATGGCGATAACTGTTACAGTTAGTTGTGAGAAAACATCTATTTATACTGCCATGATTCCCTTCCGCCATGTTACATAAAAACACTATCAGCCATAGTGAACAGGCTGGACACATTGGCGAATAGCTAATTAAGTATCATAATTCATTCTGTTTCATTAATTTAACGAATGGCGGAGTAATTTGTAAATACCACTAAAATATGGCGATAACTGTTCGCTAGCCAGTATACTTTTCCTGATCTTCCTGAACCTAAGTAAAGTTATAATGCAGTTGAAGTCAAGATGAATATCAAAACACACGTTTATTAGACAGAAATGTGATCTTGAGTATAATTGTTGGTCCATACTTGGATACGGAACATGATGACAACATTAGATATTTAAGACAGATTAACAGGTGCTGTATAACTGCATGTGCCCTAGTATCAATGTTGGTGCTAAACTGATTTTCGACAGCTTTTAGACTGGCATAAGAGAGCTGAAAAGATTGCTTCAATACTGCTGAGCTATTGATTGTTGTTTAAAGCCACACTCAGCAATATTCCAGCTATATGGCGGCGCTCTGTAAATAATCGAATCTGGACCAGACAATCCAGTGATCAACATCATGATTATTGATCTACACAATTGGGATACGATGACTTGTGTTAACCAAGTCAGCGAGCCTGACTCACCGATCCTGTTAGTCGCCTCTTAGGGCAAGCATGGGTTACTGAAGATCAACTCTAACCTAGATCTTCACGCATCAGGACAGTTGAGAAAGGGTGCTGTGTAAGATGTCAGCCTATTTTACAACTCTCACCACTGTCTTTCTGTTCTTCCAGCTGAGCTTCTTCCACCTTCCCTCCATCTGCTGCAGACTGGGCTCCATCCTCCTTTTCTTCGTCTTTCTCCTGCACATCATCCAGCATACCAAGGTCCTCGTCATCACTCAGGGAGTCCTCAGTCTCCTCAACCTCCACCACCGGCCCTGCCACGCAACAGCAACAACGTTACATGTGACAGAGGTGGTGGATTTTGATAGTTAATTTACATCTGACAATGTACTGATTCCATATTTTCAGTGGAATTACATTTATTCTCTGATAAAAACAGACCATTTCTTGTACTGTGACACCGAGTTAAGATGGTATTACAGTTACACAGGATATGGTTTAGTATTTTATTCATTATTCACCCAACATTAGCAAAACAATATAGAGTAAAGTACTGCTTTCCTAAGAATTCAACGAGCATGATGACTCTCAGCTTTCCGCGCGCCTCAAGCAAGGTCTAATACCATTGTGAGGGAGGTATTAGCACTGTGACGTCATAACTGTAAACCACTTTGACGTCATACGTACGGCATCACGCAATGTTATTACACAATGTGTAATAACATTTGAAAATTATTAAACAATGATATCTTCAACGGGTGAGTTATAATAAGACTCCTATTATTACTACTGGTGCTTAAGGTTGTGCATAATGTTGTATATGTGCTTTAGCCCAACAGTCACTTTGAAGAACAGATTTCTAATTCAGATTTCTAAAATTGTTCAAATGAAACAAGTCAGGTAGTGATCAGCTAATGAATGTCAAAGCAACGAGCCCTGGGTTCCGTTTCTTGGTGTTGCAGAACTGTGTTTCAGAGTAGTTAGCAAAAGTCAGAAAATTTTAAACAGTTTAAAGATGTTTTTCCCTTCCTCCATTCAACTGTCCCATACATACACAATGCAATGATTCTTCATTGATACAGACATTCTTTGCACATTTTGCTCCTCAATTCAGCAAACTTTGATCCACATTTAAACATATAGGACACACACACACACTTACATCTCCTTGGGTTGCGGAGGCTGCGTCTGACTTCGTCATTGGCTGCATCCCAAAAACTTTCAAACAGATCGAGGACGCGGTGCCGATCAAGGATGGCAATCTAATGAGAAAATGATTAAACATTTCTTTATGTCTAAAAAACATAAATACATGATGTGTTGATGACAGTAAGAAGAGCGATCCTAACTGGATGAAATGAAGCATTAACATCTGGGGGTCTTTTGTCATAAACTTAATCTCATATAGCAGAATTGAGGAGTGGGAGGCAAGTTCAAAGGGTGCCCAGGTTGATTCGACGAATGGTACGGAGTGGAGAGATCCACCGATTGTACTGCCAAGGCTGATGAAGGGGCACTCTCTGAGGGTAGATTCAGCAAACTGGACGGTAAGAAAGGTGAACGAGACATGGTCAAAGTGGCTAGAAAATCTTGCGACATAGAAGATTCCTTAGGATTCGCTGAATTTTCAATGACGATGACCCGTGAAGGGGTGGTCTGACGAGGTGAACATGGTTCCAATGGGCAAAACACACGACGAAGGTGCTCCGGGAGGTAAGAATCTTATGAGACTTTTAAAAACTCCTGCTCAGAAATGGGCATGACCATTTGAGCGATGAGCAATCTTAACGGGACGATCTTTCTTCAACTTCTTGGCGGACGAAGGACCAAACTCCTCGGATTGCTTACACTTTTGTCATAAACTTAATTTCATATAGCAGAATTGAGGAGTGAAAAGTGAGTGAGTGAGTGAGTTAATGCTGCTTTACGCTGCATTGTTAATATTATAACTATTCATGGCTTGAGACATTGAGAGGGCCCTACATTAAAATCTAGACACCACTTTCCAATGAATAACTGCAAAAGCGGACTTAGATTATGACAGACCTACAATTCTACCCAAGTCAATGGATCAGTGTGTACTTGATATCCATTCTCAGCTTCATGGGGAGTATACAATCTGAGCAGTCTGTCAGTGGCTAGAAGGTTACAATCACTTTACAATCTCATGTTGAGTGCAAGGCAGGGTGACAACAAGTACCATCTTTTAACATCTTTTGGTAGAAGGCTGGGATCAAACCATCAGCCTTCACTGTCCAAACAGAAGCTCTATCCACTACACCACCTATCATGAAAACACTAATGCACACGAAGACATGAATTCCAAATCCCAATACTTACCCCACTACGATCACAAGCCAGGAAGAGATTTGTGAGAATAATCCGCCGAGCTTCTCTCTCCGTTGCTAGGCGATGTGCCCGTGCACATTTGGACATGTGGATCATGAACTGGTCAAATATTTCCGTTGGCAAGGAGTCGATATATGTCGATAAATACTGCAACAAAATTAAAGAAACAATGAATTCATGCACCTGATTATTATAATGAACTAAATATAGAAACTACAAATTAGTTTTAGGGTGAATAGAATCAAGATTTACAAACATGATGTCAAGAAACAAACAATTTAGCAAATTACAATCAAACATGAAATGGCAATGCATGATCTAAGGGAGGTAAATGCATAAAACCCCATAAATTGTCTCCCTTTGTCTACAATCTCACCGGAATAGCTATTTTATATTAAGGTGATGTAACTGATAGGCAAAAGTCAACCATAAATATATCTAACTTATCCGAGAGTAATTGTTACAGAATTCATTTCAGTTCCTTAGAAATTATTCATAAAAAATATTATTTCAACCTGATGAAATTCCTTCACTGTGAGCATTCGCCCACTTTCATCTGTTGGTTCAATGGCTGCTCCAAACCTCGCGGCCTCTTTCAGATCCTCAGGGAAAAGTTCAACCATTTCAGCAAATGACCTAAGAGTGTTTTGAACCTGAAAAACATAACATAGTCCATAAATTCAAGTGAAAATAAGAGATGCCTGAGTGAAAATAATGAACAACAGTTTTCATGGCTAAGATATTCATGATATTCACAAACTTGGGGACAATTTGGGGTCGCATCTGAGAACTTTATTTCTTACAACTGATATATCTGTTTAGGGCACAAAAGGTAGCCGTACTATTTGTCTTTTAAATCTTTTCATCCCACTTCTATTCTTCCACATGATTAATAATTCTGCTATAATTTAGAATCCTAAAAAACCCTATAATTTATCACCCTTAAAAAACATTAACTTACACACCCTTACTTAAACAAATATAACCAAGGTGTAGTTGTACAGAGAGTGAGTGAGTGAGTTGAGTTTTATGCCGCTTTTAGCAATATTCCAGCAATATCACGGCAGGGGACATCAGAAATGGGCTTCAAATATTGTACCCATGTGGGGAATCGAACCCGGGTCTTCGGCGTGATGAGCCAACGCTTAAACCACTTGGCTAACCACTAAATCTAGTGAGTGCATAGGCTTTCAATTCCCTTAGAAAAGTATTTCTGATGACAAATTTCACATCATTGTAACCCAAACAGAAGCAAGAAATAGATGTTTATCCCTGTACGCTTTAACCACTAGACTACCCCACCACCCTTGTACAAAGAGACCTAAGTGCTAACCTGGTTATACCGCCCTAACTCCCATACTTTAACACTGACTTACGACAGTCTTAGCGCTAAGATTGTTTTGTACAATGGCACCCATTACATTCCAACAAGGCGGCTTATCAGGTAAGATATGAAAATATCCTCCTTTCTCATGACAGTTTTTAAAACTGTAAGGAGAGAGGATTTTGTTTGATCATTCTATTTCTTTTTATGTAAAAGAATGCTATATTCTAAGACACCATGAAATCACTTTTAACCATGTCCCATTTCTTGAAGTATGAAAAGACAGATTTTACCAAGGATAGGTTTCCCTGCTGATCTTACAAAATTAGGAATGGTAAAAATGAGGAAATTTGTACAAAAACTAAAATTGTGTTTAAAAAGTTGTGCCTTAACAGTGCTAAAATTGAAGAAAATATCATGGTCAGGGGAAATTTAGGATCTGGTCATAAGAGACAAAGGAAAGGGTTTCACTGAGGCTTTGTTACACAATGTCTGACTGTCACCTACCAATGCAAGCTCTACTTTGCCATCAGACGTGAGCATCCATTCATTGAACTGCTTAAAGAGACAGTCTTCTCTCCTCTGTTTCTCCTGAACTCGTAGCATCTCTTTACGTTCTCTTTCTTCTCGTTTCAGCCTCGCTTCAGCCTTGATACGAGCCAATCTGTAAACAATGACACAAACGCTAATATAATATCAAACCAAATCAATTCTGTTTCTTGTTTAATGAATAGAAGCAGGAAGAATGTATATTAGGCCAGACCAATTTTATTTCTTGTTTTATGGATTTTGTCCTCAGAAAACCTAAAGGAAGGAGGGAACAAAAATAAAAAATAAAAATAAATAAATACTAAAAGTATTTTACTTTGGGAAATTAATGAAGTGTATATGGGGCAAAACACAATCTAAAAAAACTTTTCTTGTAAATTTACATTTTTGACCAATAAAGCATTAGGAGTTTACTTTTTGAGTGGGGAAAATTAACTTTTATTTTTTTCTTATTCTTGAAAAAATATGACTGGCGGATCCATAAAACAAGAAATAACACTGGTCTGGCCTTAAAAACCAAAACCATAAAAGCTGTTGACACAATTGTTTTGAGGTAAATTAATACAAAACAACTTTTGAAATAATCAGTTAACAAATATAGAAAGCTATAAGTGGTTAAAGAGATCTTATTTGCTTTCAAACATTTGCTGAAGCTCACCCCAAACTATTCCATCTATTCACTGACTATCAATAGCTGATCAGGTGAAAATATATTGTCTAAGGGAAATAACAAAGTTATGTAGTCCATATTCAACAAAAAGATACATTAATATTTATTTCAAGCTCTCATCTTGGAATCTGAAAACATTTTTCGTAGGTGTCTTTATTAAGTAATTACAGTGTGGTTCCTATCATCTATTTTCCACAAAACATATCTCGTTTGGTTATGATACCCTTTCTCCATCTCCATCTTAATTGTCAACATCTTGATCTCTCTTATCACTAACTTAGCACAGGATTTCTCTTCCGCAGCTACCCACGTCTGGAACAGTCTTCCCCTATCTCTCAGATCACCAATGGCAACAACAAACTTCAAATAAGCTGTACTGACATATATCTCTCTTCAAGCATACCTAAACTGACTGTCTTCTTGAATTTCTGTCTTTACAACATGTTTTAACTTTGTACAGTGCCACTGAACACCAAACTGATGGACTTTATGTGCTATTGATAAATATCCATTATTATTATTACTCATGAGATGGGAGAAATTGTGTAACATTTTGACATTAATATCTGGCTCAATTCCATCGGACATAAATCAATACATTCCATCCAAAACTTCGATCTGACAATATTCATAGACAGACATTAACATATGAACCTGAAACGAACAAATGAACGAAAAACTGTGATTTTGGTACTAAAAAGGAGAACAATAATGTCAAGGGCAAGAGCCATTAACATGACATTTAAAAAACATTTCTTCCAATTTAAATATTTCTACTTTTCTTGTGACCAACACATTGAAGGGATACCTGACCCCATTAGAACTTTAATAACCATCAACAATGTGTTGGGAAAAAAATCAATCTAAATATCATGTAATTTTAACAAATATTTGATTTTTTATGTTATCTACTCCTGTAGTGCACTGTACCTGTTATCTTCCAAGAGGAAGAGCTGTTTACGTAATTCCTCTGCTACTTCACGCAAACCACGAACGTACGGCGAGGCCTCAGAAAAGTTGCTGTACTTTGGATTATTCCTCAACAGATACTGAGCCAGGAAGTTCAGAGGGTTGAAATTAGGATCCATTATTGCCACCTCCGACAGCCCTCGTTTATCTGCTTCACACAGTAACTTCTCTACTCCCAGAATCAAAGTGGGAAAAACCTTATCAACCAAATATGCTCTCACTTCCACAGTGGCCTGATTGTCCTGGAGCCATTCTTTGGCCAAAAGCTCTGTTGGAATTTTCCTTGCTAATTTTCGGGCATCTTCCTTGGCTGCTTGTAAATGTTCTTTTTTTCTCATTTCTCATCCCAACTAAACGTTTCATCATACTTTGTTCGTGCAGTCGCTTCCATCTTCTCACAGCACTGCGGACAATTGGTTTCATATAATCTGGAGTTGATGGTGATTTCCTTGCACTGCTGGCACTTATAACTCTGACTGATCCTGCAGAACTTTTCTTGGATAACTGACCTGATGATACCCTCACCTCTGCCCTTGACCCTGATGAGGGTGTCCTTGGCTCAGACAGGGTAACTCTTCTTGCACTTCCTGCACTCCCAACACTCCCTGCCGGGGGTGGGACTACACGCTACTTCAGCCATCTTGCAGAGGCAAACTCTTATGTTGTGTTAAACCTGTGAATAAAAAGAAACATATATCACAATCAAGATGAGTAAGCCCACTCCAAAAATATTACCCTCATAAAAACAGGGATCCCTTACAGGACTAGTTATTGTTAAAGCTGTGGTGGCTGGGTGGGTTAGATCACTGACTTTGTCTGCTTGCGATTAGGTGCCTGACTCTGAAAGTGAGGGTTTTAGTCCCAGATGGAAATCAACCAAACAAACATACTAGAATCTGTACTTTACTGAGAAAGTGTAATCCTCTTTATGTTTTAGTTGTTATGGTCCAGACATTTCAATTAAACACAACTTATTTTGGAAGTCCACAATATATTTTCTAAGGTTCAAAGTTACATCAGTGAGATTTGTACTTGCCCAAGGGCAACAAATTATATTTTCTCACTTGTCAGACACTTTACTTTTACAAGCAAGGCAAGTCGGGTCATCTAAACGAACACCCTGTTTAAGATTATCATTAATCAATAGGTAATACTAACTACAGCCAGAGACAATGACATGGAGTAAATCCTGCATGTATTTATATGGTACAGGTAGCAGATTGAAAAATGTCCTTGTGGCTCTCAGTGAGGTGGCTTAACTATTTTGCTAAACTTTGTGATGTTTTCAGTAAAAACTTTTAAGTGTTGTTATCCACTAATTTTAAATAAATATCGGCAACATGATACTTATCATTTGACTGTACATTTTTTACAAAATGTTAATATAATCCAAAATATGAGATGTTCTCGTCACGAAATGTCTGAATTACTGTCGATGTTGGAACTATTGCCGATGTCCGCCACCTGTATCACTAATTTGTTATTTATTTGTTTGATACATCATTTGCCATGTTCAAAAGGATTGATTGATATAAATGACAGGAACACATTTTGCCAACACCTATCTTTATGTATTGTCAGGTTTTCACCCGTTTTCGGATGGTCGTGTTTACACACACCATAACAAGGCAAGTTGCATCATGTAGACAGTACAAACACTCAGATGATGGCTTATGTTTAAGACAGAGTTGTCTTTAACAAGTCAGTGAGATATTTTACAACTGTATATGTAATAACAGACAAACAACGGATGTTCTTTAGTGTTCATAAACTCATAACATGATTTACATCAATGTTTTTGAAAATGTACAAACATCACAACCTAAAAGTTACAAATATTACATTCACATACAACATTGTGACTGATGGAATATCAATTTCTGCAGTCAGAGAAGGAGAACACAACCACTTATACATATAAAGTATTTAAAGTTGAGATGGACCACATGATAATTGAAAACATGCATTATATGAGAAAAGATAAAAGTCTTGCAGAAGAACAGCAGATTCCAGTAAAAAATCAAATCAGCTCAGGCCTACTGTCTTCCAATATCATTATGTGCGTTTCGCTTCCCACCCTAAAAAGATTTATCTCAGGCTTAAATTTCTGTAGAAATTTGGAATTCTTCTAATTCTGTTGACATTGACAACCCTCAAACGATGTGCAATTAAGTTTGTATTTCTTACTAAACAGCAATATAACAAGCAACAAATTAAAAGCTAAAATAACATATAATATCCCCTTCATTGCAGAATCAGGGCACATACTCACAAGTATCATGTAAGCATTTCGTCCGCTATCCATTTGTGAAGCAGTAACACAGAGCACCGACCGCCATGTTTGTTGTCAACACGTTGCTAAGAGGAAGTGGTCTTCTACGCATGTGCATAACTGGAACCGGAAAGCACCTGCGGAAGTTGGGTCAGAGTCTGCGCGGATTTACTTCCTTACTCGGAACGAGTGTGAATGAGTACGAGTGCTGTTGTGTCACATTTCGTAATCAAATGCGGAAGACAAAAATACTTTTGAACTGTCGTTTCTAATTGAATTAAGCCAGCAATGGCTTTGGTGACAGTCCAACGATCTCCGAGCCCTAGCACCGATCCAGATTCGGTAAGTTTCATTTGCGAGTCAGTTAATGTGAGCGAACTGTCAACCCGATTCACTAAGTGCATTGTCAAAACTTCACACCTTCCCTGAGGCTGGATTGTTTTCGTTTGTTTGGCAGTAAACACGTGGGAAATCATTACATCCATGTTTCCTTACTTTAATCTATCACATTGTTTCATTAAGCAAAGCTGAAGTGTTTGTAAACAAAGGGCGGGTTATCAAAATAGATCGACTTCATTCTGATCAGAACACATCGAATTCAGGTATTGAATAGGACCTAATCATTATTGATACCAAATTCAACACTATGGATATCAATACCTCTGTTTATTGTTAGAACTGTCGGTCCACTGTGAAAACTGTGTCTCTAAACAATGGGTTTATATGTACATGGGCAGTTTATAGTCTCTAACTTGGTGATGTTTAAGAAAAAAGAATAAAAAAAACTCATGAAATAACATTGATCCTTAAATATTGTACAAGTTGCATGTCAGAAAATTAAAAGTTTAACCAAAGGGAATGTAGCTTGAGAGGCTATATTTACCAGTCTTCCCTAAAAAATGTGTTGAAGTGTTCAGAGTGGTTCACAACTTTTTAAAGTCCTATCCAGGATTAGAACTCAGCATACAAAGTCAGCAATTTAACTCAGCCACTAAGGCTTCAAATATGTATATAACATGTATGGCATCCTGTTATTCCTTTTTGTCCTTTAGTCAGGGATATAGTGATGTCATCGTCAGATTTCACGGTAAGAAGTATATCAATAATGTTCATAAGTGGAAAGCTGTATGATACAAATTGATAAATACGAATAGCAAATGAATAATTCACTGCCTAAGAAATGGTTATATGTATAAAGATTACTATGGTTAACATAAACATTGAGAAAGCAGACTTTTCATTTTAAACATTTAGAGCCTGACTAAAACTTTCCAAAATCTCCAGCTAACAATATATGTCATGATACATCAAATTCAAAATATTGATACCAAAATGGGTTATGTTATGCTTAAAATCTTTCTATCTCAAGCAAAAGAGCTTCCTAAACCAAGCAGTCACCAACTAACTGTAGGTCAACTATCCACCATGGCATCACGTGGATGGTAACTCTTGGTAGTTTCAGGAATACAAGTACTTTTTAACATTCTTTGTTATAAATATGGACTTGAAAAAACTCTTCTTCCTCGACCAGAGTGACTGTTAATTTCTTATGACAATGGTCAGTAACCACATTGTTGTCAAATAACATATATATGAGTGTGAACTATTATCCTGGTTAGTTTTTTTTCTTGTTTCGTTTTGATAAGAAACACCCAAATTACAGTAAAAACACTTCTTTTAAACTGACTGACTGACTGAGTTGCTGTTTTCAGCCGCTTTTAGCAATATTCCAGCTACATCACGGCAGGGGACACCAGAAATGGGCTTCACACAATGTATCCATGTAGGGATTCGAACCCGGGTCTTCGGCGTGACGAGCCAACGCTTTAACCACTAGGCTACCCCACCGCCCCACTTCTTTTTAAACAATTAATGAATATTTGACTCTGGTGATCACGAATACCGAATTGAATTCATGAAGGGATGAGATTCGATTTACTTAAGACGGCACAAAAACCATAGTGACCAGTCGACTAAATTACACTAGTGATGTACATGTAATAAATCTGTCATGAATATCACAAGTTGCCATTAATCTAATGTAAGGGATTGAATGCCAATTGACTATTCAAGCATAACATAACAGCTCATGACTCATACAAGTTCAAGCCTAAACAACTGGCTCATTGCTATAAGAGGAAATGCATATGTTAAATATGATCAAGTTTCCCGGGGTTTGTAATTAATAATGGAAATTATATGCCTTTGTATTAAATGGCCTGCAGTGTTTGAAATTTGAAAGTTAATTTAAATATTAACATGTACTCTTTAGGGTCTTTGGATTCAAATTCTAATGTATTAAACTTCAAGGACCCCCATTACTTATAACACTGGTTTGACTTGATTTGGAAACTATAAAAAATACCCTAAGTATTGTTAGGCCAAATCCTTGAGAAAACCCACAAAGAGCTAAATAAAAGAAATAACATCAACTGGAGGACTGTGTCACAGTTTCTGAACCCTATTATTTTCCCTATCATCCTGTCCTTTACTGTTAAAGCTCAAAATGAAGCAAGTTTAGGTTTTCCACAATATGTCACCTCACTGTCTCTTTTCTTATTTAAATGGAATTGTTTGTTTCTATCAAAAGTACATATTTTCAGAAACTAAGAGTGAGCCATGCAAATACACACAAAAAAGAAAATGTGTGTAAATTTTCATTCAGGCCAATAATGTTTCCTTAAAATGTGTAACAAAGTTTGTGTGTTTAATTGCTTACGCTGTTTGACATCAGGTTTTATAGAGGTATGATGAGACTTTGGACACCCTACTCCTCGATTGTCGTTATTTATGTATAAGAGATGTATATGTGATACAAGGCGGCCACCTACTGATCTCAACGGACCAATCCCATCCTCATCAAGTCGCACATTACTGTGTGGGACTTGACCTAATGGGTGTAGTAGTTAGTCATTAGGCAAGCACTTTCTCATTGTTGTAAATTACTCAAGTTAATTATTTAGGGAGTATCTTAATCAATAATGAGAGTATAATTATGGTCTTCACACTTACTCTCAATGATATCAACAGGGAGCATCTCTGAAGAATGTTTTTCTAGGCTAAAGTTTCGGTGTTGATGTGAACCCTCAGTTATGATGGTCTGTTGTGCAGGTTTCGGTGTTGATGTGAACCCTCAGTTATGAGGGTCTGTTGTGCAGGTTTCGGTGTTGATGTGAACCCTCAGTTGTGATTGTGCAGGGTAGGTTTTTCTGAATTTTCAAGTCTAGATTACCACAGTTTTATTTTTCTGAAAACGTCTCTGGGCACCTTTTTGTCATATGTAAAATAATTTAAGAACTGTTACACTGTAATATATGTTAATTTCAGAGATTATATGTTAAACAACGCCGAGAGTTCTATGGATATAGACGTTTCGGTGTAGCTACTAACACCCGTTATCAACATCATTTGCTTGATAACGGTGTTACTAACTACACCAAAACGTCACCCATATTATATTAAAGAAGTTGTATATCCATAGAGTAAGTTGGGTTGGGTTTTACGCTGCTTTTAGCAATTTTCCAGCAATATCACTGCGGGGGGCACCATAAATGGGCTTCACACATTGTGCCCATGTGGGGATTCGAACCCGGGTCGCCAGCGCGACGAGCCGACGCTTTAACCATAAGGCTACCCCACCGCCCATATATCCATAGAACTCTCCTCGGTATTCATCACACCAACTTCTAAATGCCACTCAAACAACTTGACTAGATGTAGAGATTCCAAGATGTTAGTCTATTGGCTGCTATGTAGAGATTCCAAGATGTTAGTCTATTGGCTGCTATGTAGAGATTCCAAGATGTTAGTCTATTGGCTGCTATGTAGAGATTCCAAGATGTTAGTCTAATGGCTGCTATGTAGAGATTCCAAGATGTTAGTCTATTGGCTGCTATGTAGAGATTCCAAGATGTTAGTCTATTGGCTGCTATGTAGAGATTCCAAGATGTTAGTCTATTGGCTGCTGCTGCTGTAGAGATTCCAAGATGTTAGTCTATTGGCTGCTATGTAGAGATTCCAAGATGTTAGTCTATTGGCTGCTATGTAGAGATTCCAAGATGTTAGTCTATTGGCTGCTATGTAGAGATTCCAAGATGTTAGTCTATTGGCTGCTATATAGAGATTCCAAGATGTTAGTCTATTGGCTGCTATATAGAGATTCCAAGATGTTAGTCTATTGGCTGCTATGTAGAGATTCCAAGATGTTAGTCTATTGGCTGCTATGTAGAGATTCCAAGATGTTAGTCTATTGGCTGCTATGTAGAGATTCCAATCAAATCACAGGGCAAGAGGAATGGTCAGTGTTGTTGTTCGTGTAGGTTGCTGATTGGCAATGGAGGCAATTAGCCCATTACACCCACACACTTACATTGCATAAGCTGTTGTATATTGGCATGTGTATATAACAGTATATTGCATGCCATGTGCAATAAGGAGAGGGGCTTGTTAGTGTACATAATTGGATACAGTGTGAGGTATTCTTGTTAGTGTGGTATTTTCATAATTGGATACAGTTTAGTTTTGAGGTATTCCAGCATGTGCTATTGTTGTTGGTATTTACAGACTGAGGTATTCCTGTGCTATTGTGTGGTATTTCACACTTACGCAAAATTATATCAAGAGGTATCATTTCTGTTATGTTTAGTTTTTGGTGTAGGTGTGAACCCTCAGTTACGAGGGTCTGTTGTGCAGCATTATCCAATTGACATGTACACATGATTTCTTTGGTTGGCATTGTTATTGTACATAATTGGATACAGAGTGAGGTATTCCTGTGCTATTGTCTTGTATTTCCTTGCTCTCAATGATATCAACAGGTATCATCTTAGAAGAATTTTTTTCTTGGATATAGTTTTGATGTAGGTGTGAACCCTCAGTTATGAGGGTCTGTTGTGCAGCATTATCCAGTTGACATGTACACATGATTTCTATGGTTTGCATTGTTATTGTACATAATTGGATACAGAGTGAGGTATTCCTGTGGAATTATGTGGTATTCCACTTTCTGGTTGTACCGTGGTGGTTTGCTTAAATATCTTGATGGTATGCAGTAGTCAGTACTCTTCGGACAATGGCATCATGACCATTATGAGGTTTTAATGCTTTGACAGGACATTTTTCTTATGAACTAGTTCATATATATTCTGAAATGGATTCCTTATGACAAAGAAGTTTATATCCATATATTCACCCTGTTATTGCTAAATTTGAAAACAGTTACGACATGTTTTTTTAAATAATCAGAGTCAATGCCCTCATGGGTGTAGCTGGAAAAACTCATGTCTTTTCCTCTGTATGCTCCTGCCATCATTTAGAGACTATTTCTCTCTTTTGACATTAGC